TTAATCAGGACTTCACAGACACATTAACTTTCTATAAAGAACTAAATACGAGAAAAATTATGCGAATGGTTTTGAAGTAAAAACATCAAAGTTGGGAATTTCAAAGAGATTGGAGAACTTAGAAAAAGTCCTAGGTTTGTGAAATGATTCATTTCTCCTAGACAGTGATTTAAAGTAAGATTCAGAAGGCTATTTATCAATAATATATTTCTGGAATTTTAAAACAAAACATGTCCTTTATTTTGGGACGCCATTCATATGCGCATGGTCTCGCCATGTGAGATGAACTGCTGAGTCGCTACGCAGCATTGTCTGCATTCGATACGCAGAAACGCGCGCGAAGGCATTTTTAAAAACAGGTCCCAGAAAAATTACCGTGATAGAATGAATCCACACCGTATTTTTTTTGTTTTAGAAGGAAACTACTGCAATTTGTACTGTCAAAGTTAGATCATAACCATTCCCAATTGTCTTTCTATCTACAACTATCTTTCTATCTATTCCTTAAACCTCTACTTCTAGTATATTTTTAGAACATTTATTCAACGACAATTTTCGTCACTGTCTCGTTCTACTATTGCTGAATCAAATTGTTTATTTCATGCGACCAGGACAATTAGCTGTCGTTAGAGCCGACTCGATTTCCCCATTTAATAGAGTCATAAATGCAAGACTGGGAAGGCTATACCATGTGATATGTTTTCACAAAATGAGACCCAATCCTACCTCCACTTTGATGTTCTTGATTGGATGAACCATCGGTCTCAGGAGGCGATTGGCCTCTTGAAACCCTTCAGATGTATCCAGAGATCTTCAGGTGTATCCGAGATTGAAGTTGGTTTCTGCAAACAGAATGCTATCTGGACTCTCCATTCAACGATTTATAGCTGACTAGAAAATTCTGTAAACCCAAACGCAGTTGTTTTTCTCTTCCAAGAAATGATTGTAAACCTATAAAAGAGCATATGAGAGAACACACATCCGGAAAAAACGAGGGTGGAAGAAGAGAAACACTCAGAATAGGTGGAGAAAACGCGCGGTGTCTATTTCTCCTTTGCTTTTTTTTGTTCGCCGTGCTTCCTCGCCCATCGTGCAACGTCCTTCTGTTTCTTGTGTATGTTGGAAATGAATAAAAATTGTGTGGCAGTACAACATAGATTGCTAATAGTAGACTATATTGAGCACAGAGAGGAACAGAGAACGCCTAAAACGAGATGAGAGCAATTGTTTCATTCTGACACCCCCAAAGAGGGCGCATGAACGAAAATAGGAGGTCAACATGAAGGGGAGCAGGGGGAAAGAAAAATGATGAGTAAGGAGAAACTGAGAAAAAATGAAAGAGAGAAAGGAAGCGAGGAGAAGAAGTGGCGGAGAATACTTTGATGAATTGTTTGAGGTGTGAACATGTGAAATATTACAGACGCTGGAAGAAGGGTTCAGCGTCTTATCGAATAGAGGAATCTTGATCGGATAGGGGTCAGAGTAGGATGATGAGGGAAAGTAATTTTTGAAGTTTTTGAAGTTTTCATTCAGATTCTTATCTCGGGAATGTTTTTGAGATCAAAGAATAAGAATCTGCTTCAAGAGTCGTTCAAAAAACTCACCGTAAAATCTCTAATAGAAGGGCCCCACACTGTCAAGTTTGTGCCAATTTATCTCGGTACCTACACAAAATATTAAAAATTTGCCAACTGATAAAATGCTAGGGATGTTATGATAAACAATATATCAATTGACAACTTTTGATATCTTTTGCAGGAACCGAGATAAATTGGCTCAAACTTGATAGTGTGGGAGCTCTTCTATTACGGGTTTTACGGTAACGTTTACGCTTCATCCCATCAGAATAGGATAAACTGGAAGACACTGTCTTAAAATAAAACCTCACTCCCCTATATTTCAACCCAATCTCAAACAACAACCAACCAATACCTTCCAAACTGATCAATCTCTCCATATCCAGACACGAAACAAACAAAAAAAAATGAAAAAGCGAGAGTGTGGCTTGGGCGTCTGGTGTAATAGAAACGAAAAAGGGTTATGATAAGGGCGTCCCAGCGAGAAAAAAACACTACTGATAATCAAAAAGTTTCGAATCTTCTCCTCCTCTGAACATATTTATGGTCTTGAAGGATGAGAAAAAAAATAGAGAGGAGAGATAGATGATACCACGGCAACAACCGCCAAGTGTGTTTGAAACGCAATCGGAAAGGTGTCGCTTTGTCAATGCGGAGAATGAAAACTGTTTATATGAAAGGAGTGAAGGAAAATTATACTTTTTGTAAGATGACATCTAGACTTGAAACTCATCTAAAAACATTTTTAGGAGATATGATGATCTGGTCGAATGGTCCTTGTAAGAAGATCGGAGATGTAAGGGGAAGCTTTCATGAAGACCACTCAGAAAAGGACATGCATGAAAAACCAAGGCTCGAGGTTTTGAACTTCCAAGATCCAGCCCGACCCTGTCTGCTCAGGTTTGAAACATTTTTGGTCCTTTGAAAGTATAGAAAAGGAAAGGATGTAGAGATCAAGCTTAAGATGTATCTAGCTTCAGAATATTTCTGACATCTAGGAGTATCCCAATCTTTGATGGTTGCAGATTCATTCTGACATGATCCCTTCTCTCATTCGTCTGAAAAGAGAAGATCCTTGAGGTCAAAATGTCTCCCTTGCACTCCCCCACGTTGCAACGAACGTCTAACTCCCTGGAACTCCAAACGGCTGCAAAAAAAACGAAGCGCTAAATGCAATCTGATGGAGACGTAGGTAACAAAACAACAAAACACACAGATATAAAAAAGAGACGCGACCAGCACCACCATGATCGCAGCAGCAGCAGCAACAAGGCAACGATCGAGTCCACACGAAACAAGAGGGCAGAAAACAAGAGGGCAAAAAAGACACAAGAGGGCAAAAAAATGGGCTCTCCCTCTGACGTCTCTTCTTCCTACGAACACTTTCCTTTTTCAGCCAAGGCCTTCCATTCGCCTCCTAGAGTCTTATACGGCGGCGCCTGGCGCCCTTGGTTCGCATTGATTTTGAGAAGGACAGAAAAAGAGCTAAAAAACTAAAATGAGAGAGTGTGACGATTAGAGGAGCAGAGGATTGTAAGTTTAAGTTGATTAAGACTTGAAGGAAGACGAGAATAAAAGAGGTTGTGTGCTCTTCTTTCAGTTTTGGAAGGAAACTGAAAAACGAAACACAAAAAAGAACACGAATGAGAAAAAATAGAGTGTGAAGCAAAACGATCGTATAATGTAAATGATGGGAAAATAAGAACACAAAGGAAAGAAACTGTTCGAGCAGTTAAAGAAACTGAATATTCAGTAAATGAAAAATATCTGGTTATGAATTTAATCGAAAACTTGAAGTTCAGAGAAACATACATAGGACTATGGTAGAAACTATACCATATATATCATACCATACAAAACGTGAGAGCTACACCATAAATGGTACACTAAATAAGAAGTGAGAACTACACCATAAATGGCATACCATAGAAAAGTTAAAGAAGGAGCTATTCCATATATGGTAACCATATGAGAAATGTGAACTGTACCATATATGACGGTGAGAACTCTACCATATATGGTACACCATATAAGAAGTGAGGATTATACCATTTATGGTACACCAAATAAGAAGTGAGAACTATACCATATAAGAAATAGAACTGTACCATATATGTCATACCATATAAAAATCGAGAACAATACCATATATGGTACACTAAGAAGTAAGAACTACCAAGTATGGTAAACCATATAAAAATTAGGAACTGTTCCATATATACCATAAAAAAGTAAGAACTATACAAGAAGCGAGAACTATACCATATATGATATACCACATAAAAAGTAAGAACTACGCCACATATATCGTACCATACAAGATGTAAAAACTACACCATATCTAGCGTACCATATGAGAAGTAACTTACCATATACGGTGGACCATATGGGAACTATACCATATCACAAAAATTCTTGTAAGATTACAAGATGAAAACTTCTCAAAGTCTGAAAGTTTGAATGTGAATGTTTATTTAGTACGGAAGCAACCATCCATAAAGTTCCTGTCACAATTTCACTCTGCTACACAATTAGTTATTAAATAATCTACCTATTAAAAATCTAGTTTTTTTCCTTTACAACTGACTCGCCTTACAAAAGTATGGTACTGTTCGAATAAATCACCTAATTAATGAGGTTTTCGTCGTGTGAGGTTTGTCTAACTGACCGTCAAAAACTATCTTGGCAAGCATCAAAAAGGAGAGTTAAATCAATTGATAAAAATGGTCGAATAGACATTCAACCAACTCTTATCAATCTAACCACCGTCCAAGAAGTGGTATATGCCGTTTCCCATTTCAACGAAAACGTAATGGAGTTGCCCTTTGCCCCTACACTTTGAAGCATCAAAAACAAAATAATTGTATTTGATATGAAGAAGTGTCTGTTCAGTACATTTATTGTATCTAACATCAATTTCAAATAAAATAATAATAATACATTTTCAACATATTACAATTTTAATCTCATGCAATCTGCTTCTTGAAATTGTCGAAGTACGCTTGGTTTGGCAATCTCAGATGGCATCGCAGCTCTCGATCAGTGTTCACACGGATCTGAAAACTCAAACGAATTAGGGATTTTTCAGAACTCCTAACCGTGTTCATAGTAGTAGCCAGAATTAGAATCGAAATTATTCCATACAATGGCCAGCTTCCATTCACTGAAAATTAAGCCACTCTTCAATACGTTTATACTAGAGCTCACATTCAACAATAGCATAGTACTGGTATCTTTCCAATTGCTCCCCAAATTGCATGAGAGTGATATAGCACAAGTTTTGGAAGACAATATAGGTGAACGACATGTTGGCGAACGTTTTGAGGCATGTTATAGAACTGAAATCAGGAGTATCCAAAACTCTACTATCTGTAATCTCTAACCTGATATTCTGCTCCAGTTGATATCGATTTGACAACGATGCATTCTTATCCTGTTCTCGGTGCTTCTGAAGTTGAAGGTGGTTTTCATAAGCATCAGCTACCCGTACTTTATTAACTCGGAGCAAATGCCGGAAGGACCACAGAGCCGCGAATTGGAAGAAAATACTTGTGGCTGCGCCGATTTGAGGACCGTATGGAGCATTGGTAGCCGCGGTCTATAAAAAGAAAACAACTGAATTGAAAGTTATTAAGGAATCTGTACCACACAATAATACATAATGACTCCTTCGAACTTGGTCTGTGAGTAGAGGAATCCAAGTGGACAAGCAGCAACCAGAAACTGAAATTGTAAGGAATTCAGGTGTCATTTTTGTGGATGAGTCCAAAACTATGATCCCACTGATTATTGCCATTCAAGGGCCTCGTCAATACCATTTTTTGCTCTTTTGCAGCAATAATTCTCTAAAACTCTGTTGATTCTTATTACACATCACTCCGTTTACTTGTCAATTCAATCGTTTTCCTGCTATAATGGTTCATAAACAATACAAAACGATGCTGTCAACCACGATTCGTTTCTCTTTACAACCATAAAACCGTTTACTCAGCGCAAGATAATTGTTCTACTTGTGAATAAGGGGAGGCACACAAAAAAGAAAACGCACACCAAAAAATTTAGACTTCAGGGATTTTTATCAAAGTCATACATTATTCAAAAGACGAAAGAAGTTTCAGATTTTTTGACAATTTTTAAATTAATTCAATATACCTAAAACATGTTATAGAAGGGCCCCACACTACACAGTTTGAGCTCAATTATCTAGATTCCTGTGAAAAATATCAAAAATTTGTCAACTAATATTATTCTTGTGCAAAAAATTGGAGTTGTGGCCGAATTTTCACACAAGTTAGGCCACCGTATTTCAAGGAGTATTTTCGAAAACACAGCCGGCAAACGAGTGCTACCGTAACCCAACAATAAATATTTTCGCAAAATTTTTGACTTATTTTTTTCCTTTTTATCGACTTTTCTCGATTTTTTCGCGGTTTTGGCCGTTTTTTCACCCAATGGTTTCACCTAATGTCAAAAATTTCAAAAAGTTTTTAAATTTTTTAAATAAAATTTCAAAAAGTCAAAAATTTTGCGAAAATATTTATTGTTGGGTTACGGTAGCACTCGTTTGCCGGCTGTGTTTTCGAAAATTCTCCTTGAAATACGGTGGCCTAACTTGTGTGAAAATTCGGCCACAACTCCAATTTTTTGCACAAGAATAATATTGTCAATTCACAAAGATCGCACCGGTGAACACACAAACAAACAAGTAAACAAGGGGGCGGAGCGATCCGCCTTTTTCCGCAAAGACGCCGCGTATTTTTTCGACGGTATTATAGCGATGCCGTTTTTTGGTAATTTTTCATCGAATTTCTTCCGAATTAAAGGAAATTCGTCGATTTTCTTCGAATTCATCCATCAACTAATAAGAAAAATCGCCTTCTCGTATCACAACTATGAAGAAGTGTTGAATAATCTGCGGTTAGTCGACAAATTACTCTAAATACTTCTCCGATCGAGTTTTTCAGGTTTTCAAGAAACTTTACAATGATAGTTTATGTTTTATGTGATCTCGAAGCTTTCCTATTTCCTATTTTCATGATTGCAGGATTCGATACGTCACATGGTCTTGCTCATTTCATTTTCACCCTGAATCAAAGAATAGTGTTTCAGTTTTTATTAAAACAAAGTTATATATTCCTTCACAAAATCGACGAATTTCCTTCAATTCGGAAGAAATTCGATGAAACATTACCAAAAAACGGCATCGCTAAAGTACCGTCGAAAAACTGCGCGGCGCCTTTGCGGAAAGGGGCGGATAGCTCCGCCCCCTTGTTTACTTGTTTATTTGTGTGTTCGCCGGTGCGATCTTTTTGAATTGACAATAGATTGTTTACCAATGGAGGAATGTTGTCTTTATTAGAAATATGATATCTTTCCCAGAAATCGAGATAATTGGACTCAAAGGGACGGTTTGGATGGTATTCCATTAAAGGAAATATGGGATAAACCGGTCTGCAATGGTCCCGTTTTAAATCCGGTGACTAAAAAATCGGATTTTTGGAATATATTTTTTTCTGAATCTAAAATTTGTGACGTTGAATATTTTCGACACAGTTGTTTCTCATGTTTTCCCTACCCACTCACCACCATCATCAACGTCTTATTCTATTGTCAATAATGTCTTCAAAACTTTTTCCTGTCAAGTGACCATTTTCACAAACCTGAATAACTGCTACAAAAACACCGATCCACACTGAATCATCCTCATACGTCATACTCCGTTTTGTAGCTAACCATCGTTCCAAAATCAAAGAAACTGCTGTTGAGTTGGTGAGCCAGAGGCCAGAGTTGTACATGAATCGAAGAATGAAACATCTACAAAAAATGGATAAACATATTTTCTCATAGTCATTGTTACCTGTAGATATTTGGAATCATTTCACATGGATTCGAAATAGTGAGGTAGTTTATCAGATCAGTGGCGTGGAGTGCGATTCTAAATGAACATCAGAATCAAACGGTATTAAAAAAAAAGAAATACCTTCCAGTACAATGAAGCAGAAATCCAAAAAGATGAAGTTGAAGTACTATTTTGAAATTTACATGCAGTAACTTCGAGTTTTTAGCTGACCAAAGTTTCCAGCTTCCCCATAGAAAAACTGGATATCCACACAAGCAAATGAATAGATTAATGGATAGAGAAAATCTCAAGAATTGAGATTTCGATATAAGCTCCATAAAGGTACAATTCACTGGAGTAGAAGTCATCGCTGGAATCAAGAAAATGAAAAGAAAGAAGTAAAAATAGTTAAATGAAAAGTAACAGAATGATCATGATGTATTAAAAATTCGCTTGAATGAGTAAGCTTGTGAAACAGAAAAAAAACTAACATTTGAACTAAATACTAGACAAATCTACTTTTTCTCAGAAACTGGGTTGAAAAATGAAAAAAGTAAGATATAATTTTTCGAGTATTCTCGAAGATTGCTTGATTTTTCGAGTATTCTCGAAAATTGTGGGATAAAGTTAACGTTGCTGAGACCAAAAACTTGATAAAAATAGAGAAAGACCATGCGATCAAATTATAGGTGGGAACTTGTTTCAGAAAACTTGGAATACTGTAGCAAAAATAAGAAAAGTCGGATAATTTAAAATAAGAAGTGCAGAGAGCGATGATGAGAATATTGATACGATAAGTACAGCTTATGGATATGGTTTGGGGAAGTTGGACATGTTGCCCTTCTGTTGGGCAAAGTGCTCAAAATTTCCTGACAAAAAATCCAAAAAATCATTGTTTGTAGCTGCACAAAAAGAAACAAAAATTCTGTCTTATTAAAATCGGAAACGTTTGAGAACAGCTGCAATTATGTATGATCTTAGTTATTGTTGCCTGGTGTCTGCGGGATTAGTGATCTCAATAATTGGATAGACTTCCAGAAAGGAAATTAATGAACTTCTGATACGACGTTTGGATCCAAAAGTTTCCTATATTCGCTAAAACAAGGTTCTGAACCGGAACGTGATACCAAGATTTTAGAGTTCAGGCACATTTAGTCATAGTCTGAAAACAATACAATCTAAAGTCAGAAGACCGGTCACATCCCGATTCTAAATTTGAATAAATACAACAATGACTCATTACAAAAAATAACATTAATATATTTATTAAAAACAGCGAACGTTCTGTATGAAAAAAAGTGTGGGCTGAATTGTTCGAGAAGAAAAAAATAAACAAAAGTTGCAGACCCGACAGGTGAAAAAAGAAAAAGCACGAACATTTAGGAAGAAGTCACCAGACATCATCGTTAATCAGCTGGTGATGATGCTCCTTTTTTTCATAGAACTGCGAAAAAATGACCATGAAAAAATGAAAAAATGACTATCCTTTCAGGTCTGCTAGTTACAATCTTTGAAGTTTCAGGTGACAAAAAAGACACAAAAATTGTAGAAAATGGGCTCAAATTTTTGCACTTCCCCCAATTTTTACTGGTCTGTCGAAAAGAAAAAAAAAGTACTGAAAAAATCAGCTTACTTTAGTCTAATTCTAAGGCACGTTGCGGCCGAAAATTCTATGGTGGGCGGAGGCCAAATCCTTAAAGGTGCATTTAAAGGAGCATCTATTTTCGTAAATTTTTCTGGCATTTTTTTAAATTTTCGATAAATATTATCGATTTGTTACTTTTTCCACAAAAATCCGAAGAATCGCAAAAAATTGCATGAAAAAAAAATTTTCAAGGATTTTTCGATAAATTACAATGAATATGAAAAATAGGCGAAAAAACGAAAAACATATCGCTACACCTAAGCTCCGCCCACTCCCGAATTTTCGGCCGTAAAGCATATCGAAATACAGTGAAGTTGAGAAAAATAATTCTAATAACAAAAAACTTTTAGGTTACGGTAGTTGTCGTAGTGGGACCTTCGGCCACCGCCACTGGCGTTTGTCTTCCACAGTTCAGATTTTTTTGTACCAGAACAATAGAATGCAAATACGATAATAAAAATGTTTTCAATGTGCTTTGCGGCTGAAATTTCACCAGAAAAATAGATCTTTCAAATTTAGGAGTACCGATTATAAATAAATAACTGCAAGGCTCAGAGCAGCGGTTTCTGGCTTCTCCTTAATTTTGACTACATTTTTTAAAAATAAAACTCTTTTGAAGTAGCTCAATGACCTTCTCTATTTTGAAGCTCTTTATGACATAACTTTCAGTTTGATTTTTAGCTTCGAAGCTAAAGGAATTCCTTGTCTCTGATCTGTCTGAATTTTGTACCGAAGACATCATTCCCTCATGCCACTTCATTTGATACAAAATTAGCGCAAAATATAGAACGGATCAGTGACTATATTTTTTTTGAAAAAAGTTTGAGATCTCACGTTTTACCACTAGAAACTACAGAAGTGAAAGAAGAAAAAATTGTTTATAAAATACAAGAAAACAAGAATAAGGTAGTAACAAGCCAGAAAAGAGCAGACAGAGTCCAAAGTCAGGCGATTTGTCGTTTGAATTCTTCAAAATAATGATTATGAGGAGCTTTCAGATGGCCAATTAAAGTGATTCCAATGCTCTTTCGTATCTGCAATAATAAATGACGTTTTTCTGAATAAATTGGATGAATAGTTTCAAACCTTTTTCATCTTTCTCGCTAGAACCAAAATTGATATAATTGAATACAATGGGAACGCCAAAACAACTGAAAATCTTTTTTTAGAGAAGAAGAATCTTCTAGACTCACATTCTAGAACTGATGCGTATAGATATCGTTCCCATGGACCCGCGAAGTGCATTAATAACAGATAAGATATATTGTAGATCGTTATGAAAGTTGTAGAGATATTGGCAAATGTTTTGAGGCAAGCGATTGAGCTAAAACTCCTTTTTTTCGAATTAAAGGCTCAACACATCAACAATAATACCTCATATTCTGTTCCAATTGATAACGATTAGACAGTGTCGAATGATGAATATTGGATTCACGGTTATGCTGAATAGTACTAGTATTTTCATCAGAGTAGGCGACCGCCACGCGTACTTTATTTTGGCGATAGAGGTAGTGGAATGTGAGCGAGCTGATATTTGGAATGTGAATCCAACTACGGCACTCATCTGTCCAACGAATGGAAGAGTAGCTTGGGCAGTCTGAAGAATTGAATTCGGAATGAAAACTAATGATTGAATAGATACCACGCAATAGTACATGGGTTCTCCGTCGAATTCAAGTTTTGAGTAGAGCACTAAGAGAGGAATCGCAGCAATGACAAACTGTAGAAAATACTCATTCAGATGATCGAAAATTCCCAAATCCGGAACTTCAGAAATTCGGAAACTCAGAAATTCCAAAATTTAGAAATTCAAGAATTCCGAAATTCCAATGTTTAGGAGTTTAGAAATTCGGAAATCCAGAAATTCGGAAGTTTGGAAATTCTGAAACTCGGAGATTAAAAAACTCGGGTATTCAGAAATTCAGAAATTTAGAAATTCAGAATTTTAGCATATCAGAAATTCAGATATTCAGAAATTCAGAAAGTCAAAAGTTCGGAAATTCCAAAATTTAGAAATTCAGAAGTTCGGAAATTCAGAAATTCAGAAGTTCGGAAATTCCAACATTTAGAAATTCAGAAGTTCGGAAATTCAAAAATTCGGTAAATTATAAAATTCGGAAATTCCAAAATTCAGGAATTCAGGAATTCATTCAGACGCTTGACATGTGCTCATGTATGTAACCTCATACAATATGGACTTTGATTTTCTGTTTCAGTGACAAAATTTCGGTAATCAAGGTTTCTGAAAGCTCACCAAAATGGCATCACAGATCAGATATTCATAGAAAACTCTAATCTGTCTCGTGAAAATTATTCCGAAAAGAGAAATAAAAATCATCTAATAACTCGTTACTGCAAAAGGTTGTTTACCTGTAAAGTTGCCAAAAATATTCCCAATAAGACAGATTCTTCTTCATAAGTGGTACTTCTTCTGGTAGCCAACCAACGTTCAATCACAAGAGAAACAGCAGTGGAATTGGTTATCCATAGCCCTGCGTTGTACAACAATCGGAGAACGAAACATCTGGAAATGTTCAAAAATAGTACGAAGAAGAGACCAAGAATTCACCTATAAATATTAGGAACCATATCGCATGGGTCATCTTTAGTAGTGTAGTTCATCAAATCCATAGAATGTAAAATAATGCGTCCAGAACAATGAAGCATGAATCCAAATAAATGAAGTTGAATCAGGATTTTGAAATTTGTGTGGAATAATTTCGAATACTTCATAGACCATAATTTCCATGACGCCCAGAATAAAACAGGAATTGCTGCCAGACAAAGAAACAGATTGACTGATAATGAAAATTTTAGAAGGTTGGAACTCGATAACCCAACCATCTCATTGCAATCTATCATTTTGGAATCTAAAAATTGATGAATATGACTCAAGTGAAGATAGACGGAAAAGAGCAAGAAGAGTGTGCTCACATGAAAATAATGAGCAGAAAAAAGTTAGATTATCTAATAGTATCGTTGTGTTGTTTGATGAAACTTTTTGGACTTTTTCTGGTGTTGAACTTTTTTGGAACATTCGACGGTGAGAAAGAAAAGGGCAAGATGTGTCTGATTTCTCTTTTTTTGGAAGAAAACTCGGAATGATAAAAGGATTCTGGACAGTGGTGAAGAAAAAATGAGACTAAGGAGCTTCCCAATTCTTTTAAAGTTGTCGAAGAAAATTCTAGAGAACAATTAGAGGAGATTTTTCGAAGTTTTCTTAGAGCTAAGGTATGCATTCTGACGTAACTGTCGCCCCACCTTTAATGTTTTTTAATCCCCCCCCCCCCCCCCTTTTTTTTTTGATTTTTTGATTTTTAAACCTGATGTAAAAGTTCTACTTTTAAAGAATTGGAACAGCTGAAACTGCCGAAAATGTCTTGCAATTATAAATACGGGACTGACACAAACTTGAAAAATTCTGATTCACACACTTTTTTTCAGAATTTCCTTCCTAGATCAGAAAGGGTAGAAACCACGTTTTTGCGGTCTGGCGATGATCAGAAGATGTCATTTTTATGTAATGAGGAAGCAAAAACACATTTTTACAAGTAAAAGTAGAATAATAACTACACCTGATGAAAAAGAATTTCATTTTCATTTTTGAAATTCTAAATATGAGAGAGAGAGAGAGTACACCTACATAATTATAGACTAGAAAAATGAAAAGAAGGCAAAAGAGCAGAGATTGAATGACAAATATTATTTGAAATTTTGAATGTTGAACTTGGGTTAATTTGGTATTTTGTTTCAAATGATGTTACGATTTTTGTAAGCATTTTTTTGGTTGGAAGATGTGTCTATCGAAAACACTCTAGCGTCAACTTTGAGCCCATATATCTTATTCCCTGAAAGAGATATCAAAAACTAGTCAACTGAAAATTTTTATCATAAAAACTAAAAAATTGTTGTCAGTTGACGCATTATTCAAAAAGTCACTCGTGAAATCTGAAGAAGAAAGAATCTATAAACGTCTGAATTCTGGATCAAAAAATTGTTTCGGATTTATGAAATCGAAATTTAAAAAATCGAAACGAAACAGTTGTAAATATTATGAAATGCTATCTGAGTGATCACACGGATTGTAGAAAGCTTCACAGAACAATTTTGAAAAACTTTCAAACAGAGTTAGCGAAGTGAAAGTTGTTAATACAAGGGGCATGTGATTATTTTGAGCCACTAACAAGAGACAACAAGACATACTAGAGATGTTAAACGAAGTCGAACAGAATGGAACGGAAGGATCTCAATGATTTTGTGTGCACAAGAACTTTCAGATTCCTGGAGAAAAAGCAATTGTTCGTGAGAAGATTCCGTTTCCGCTTGTTTGTCTAGTCTACGTGCGTATGCGGATCAGAACATTCTAGTGGGAGGCATTTCTGATTTCAAATGTATTACTTTTTTCTCGAAATTTTGAAATTTTGGCTACAATGTATTTTGTGACCGTTGGTCGATTTATATTTCCAGGAATTCAACCATGCAGCCACATCCGTTCAAAGGCTTGGTCAAATGGAGCCCCGGCGAGATCTCGCTACGGAGATTGTCAAATGTATCGAACGTAAAAAATACACATGTCAAATCTACTCCAACTTTGAAGTTATTAAATTTTGCCTGGCTTAAAAGTTATCTGATGCTCGATTTCTGACAAAGACTTTTGGAAACCTGTGAAGCAGAACTTCATCGGAGTATTTGTTTATCGCGAGAGATTTCAGTTACAGATTCTTCTTTTTTTTGTTATTTATTAGGTTCAACATGTTGAGTAAAAGAGAAATTTCGTTATTATTTCTTCGGCAGTGGCTTGACAGCTCCGATTTGTTGGTTGAAGTTCGCGAAGTACGCCTCCTTCCGATCAAGATTGAGTTGGGATGTAAGAGTGGAGCTGATGTGGTTCCGGACCTGAAACCAATTTTATTTAAAAAAAGGTTTTAAACTTTTAACTAACCGAGGATATTCTCTTGGTTACAAGAAGAACTGTGATTATTCCGTAGAGTGGAAACTGACAGTTCACTGAAATTTAGAATTTATTACCCACTCCGATTGATTCACAAACTCACATTCCATCAGAGCCAGATAATGTTCTTTCGGGATTCCCGGTGCCACTTTGAGAAGATAAGTGAAGGAACCAATCTGGAGTATGAGAAAGATTGTGCTGATGTTGGCGTAGATTTTCAGACATTGTGTAGAACTGTAATGATGATTGTGAAGATGCTCAGGATATTTTTAGATAATTTACGTTTTGTTCTGCTCTAGCTGGAATCTGGTGGACAAACTGGATCTTTGCATTTTCTCACGGAGCTTCTGAAAAGTTGCATTTTCAGCTCAATTGGTATTGCATGTGGAACCAACCTTGTTGAGATGGAAGAGGTATCCAAACATAATCCGAGCAATAATCTGGGCTCCAATTGCAACTCCTGAGTTCAGATTGGCGATTTCCGGATGTCCTGGTTTGTATACCGAGCAGTAGGGCATGAAAACACCATCGAACTTGAGATTAGAGTAGGCCAGATACAGTGGGAAAGACGCAATAGCTGGCTGAAAATAACTCTATAGAAACTCTGTATTAACTTCTGGAAAACAGCATAAACAATGATATTATCGTAGTCCTCAAAGTACGTCATCTACTGTATTTAGAAACGAGGCACACCACAAAAACAAGTAGTATCCTTCAAGGACCTGAGGTCCTAGGCTAGACTACTCCGAATTTTCAACCACGTCAGAAGTCATAATAACACTAGATTAATTGTCATATGTTCTGACTGTTACTGGGAAAATAATTCTAAAAGCCTATTTCCGGAAATCCATTTAACCAAATTCTCAGTAGCAGACACATCATAGCGTTCCGAAGGAATGATTGATAAATCGTCTTACCGCTAGAAACATGAGGAGGATCCCAATCCAAATGTACTGATTCTCGTATTGTCCTCTCAAATATGTGGCAATCATCCGTTCGATAATCAGTGAGACGGCCGTGCAGATGGTGATCCACATACCCGAGTTATACATCAATCGGAACACGAAACATCTAGAAGAAATCATGTTTAAAATGTTTAAATGCAAAATGAGGCACAAGAAGGCGGCAGTCTCCTGACGGAGCCTACACCTAACCACTCGGAGAATCTTACCTGTAAATGTCCGGAATCATGTCGCACGGATCTCGGAAGTGGTAGTTGTACAGGTCGAGTGAGTGAAGAATGACTCGTCCGTAGCAATGAATTATGAATCCGAGAAGATGCATTTGAATGATGAGACGGAAGTTTTTGTGGAAGTTCTTAGTGAAGGATCCCGACCATAATCTTATAGAAGCCCAAAAGAACATTGGGAAGCCGATGCAGGCTATAATGAGGTTGTAGACAATCGAGAGCTTCAGAGGGCTAAACAAAATCTTGGGTTGATAGATAGGAAGGGATTCTAGTTAAACTATTCCAAACTATCCTAAGACTTTCATTACAAGGTCATCTGAAATTTGAGGACACCTCTAATTGAAGTGCCCTTTTGCTGGTTCAGTGTTTTTTTTGTTCGAATTGTAGGTGTTTCCTCCCTCTAATTGAGGGGACCCTCTAGTTGAAGTGTCCTACAAGACACTCAACTAAAAAAACAAGATCTGGTCCTTAATACGAGTTCCATGGTTTATGGAGCTCTTCACTATGGGATTCTCATTGATCTAATATACCCACGCTATAAATACGCAACGGAAGCTAATCTCACCTGGAAGATGCCAAGGCAAGCATCGCTGAGCAGTTGGCATTCATGATGGGAAGTGGCTATTAGAAGCTCTGATGAAAAAAGGAAGGAAAGGAATGAGTCTAGCTTTCTCAAATAAGGAGGTGTGGCGAAAAGAAAGAAAGAGAAAAGCGGGCGTTGATTAGTGAGTAAGGCACATCTCCCAGGAGGATTCTCCACGTTTGTTTTTCACATTCAGAATGGAGATTGTTTAATCTTTCGAGCTTCTGGATAGAATTACTATTAAACTTTTGATTTTATGAGAAATGTGATTCAAATGATGCTATCCATGGAATCTAGGTTAGGTTAGCAGATCTCCAAGGAGTAAAGTGGTCTGTCGAACAGTGATCACACGGCTTGAAAAGGGTGAGAAAGTGAGAATTATGGCTAGGATCAATGAAATGAACAAGGAACTGAAAATTGGAACTGAAAAATGTGTTACTGGGTACGCATGAATACGTCTGCTTCGCAAAGTGCAAAGACATTGGTCTAACTGGCAGATATTTTTCTGGTACTAAAATCAGGAGACCCCGCAAATTCCGGGGAAAGAAAAAATCGGTGAAAAAAACCGGGGAAAGTGGGCGGAGTCTGGGGCGGAGCCTAAAATGCAACCCTGGCACGGNTTTGCCGCACGGTTTTTCTGCACATTTGGACACGGTCATGAGGGGGCGGAGCCTAAATTGCAACCCTGGCACGGTTTTGCCGCACGGTTTTTCTGCACGTTTGGACACGGTCATGAGGGGGTGGAGCCTAAATTGCAACCCTGGAACGGTTTTGCCGCACGGTTTTTCTCGACTCCGCCCACTTTCCCCGGTTTTTTTTCCCCGATTTTTTCTTTCCCCGGAATTTGCGGGGTCTCAAAATCAGAGAAACGGGAGATAAACGCCGCTGGTCGTGGCCGAAGGTCCCACAGCGACAAGTACCTTAAACTAAAAATACTCATATTTTCCGTATTTTTTATCTCGTTTTCCACTGCTTTTTGGTAAGTTTTGCTTATTTTCCCAGATAGGTCGGAAAACAATTTTGAATAATGAAAAAATTACTGAAAATAAAAATATTTATAGGCTACGGTAGTTGTTGTTGTGGGACCTTCCGGGTTGCTTATACCCTTGAAGGTTTACTTATGACCACATCGGCTGGAAAACTGAATCAGATATGCATCTGATGGAGTGGTTCGGCATGCGTCTTTCGATCTTGTCAAACAGTAAATAAAAAGAGACAGCATGCAGCAGATTTATGGTACCTCGTCTCTTCCGGTTGATGTTTATGGCTTATCTGGTGTATGCCGGCATGTTTCTTTGATATGAAAAAACACATCTATAGAACCTGCAGGGAATCAGAATGTCAAAGAGGACTCGAATTGCATTATTACCCAAAAATTTCCTGGTTTTCCTAGTTTACAGATATTCTACGAACCTTTAAAGAGAGTCATAAGTCTACAGGGATTGGTTTTATTGGATTTCCAGTATCCTACAGTATACGGTATTTACAGTCTGTATACCATGACGAGGCGTATACCATTTTACGACCATGTGTAGTCGAGGCGTCTCTCGTTGCGTAGTAGAAGGTAACAAGTGGGCGTGTCTTATGGGGAGGGGCGTGGAATGGGTGGTCCCGATAACCGGATCTAATATTCAATCATTCATTCGTTATTTCATTTGCCACTATCTCCTTACCACCATAATATTATTGTCTGAGCCTAACCATTTAATTTTTCAGAAGATGTCTCCTGTTCTCCTAATCCTCCTATCAATCTTCTCATTGGTCTCTGCCACTGGACATCTTCGAATCGAGTTCACTGCTTCCAACAACTGCGCTCTTCGAATGATCACTGCGTTTAGCGATGAGACAATTCAGTTGAGCATGGGAGAGAAACGAGTTTCCAGTTTCCACCCTGCTCCAGGAACAAGGGACAAAGTTAGACTCAGCCTTTCTACCGCTTCTGGAAAATCTGTGGTTTACGATTTTGCCTTGAAAAACACTGGTCAACAAATCCGAAACATCTATGAAGATACTGATCTAGTGGTTTTGATCCAGTCGAGTTACGAGTGCAATGAAGGATTCTTCGGATTAACGTGCGAATTTGTTGGCACTTCGTCAATCACTACAACGACGACGGCAACGACGACGACCGTCAGCACCACAACGGAATCAAAGAAAACAACACCAACAGAATCTCCTCTTGTTGCCACCACTCAAGCGGCATTGTTTTCTGACTCTCAGAACAAGTAAGCTTATTTTTTTTTCAAAAATACCCAAAAATGCATTACTCATTTTCAGCAGCACCACCATCTTCATTCTTGTTGCCATAATCATCTTGCTCACAGCTCTAATCATCGTCTTCGGATGCCTTCTCATCTCGTCACGTCGATCCCCTCAACACCTCTTCTTGGCTGACAAAACAAAAATAGAAAAGGAAACTTTTTCTGCAGAGAACAAAGGCAAACTTCTGATGGAAGAGGAACATATCTACGAGGAAATCCGATATACTACTGCTCCACTCCGATCCATCTTCAGCCAAAAATCAGAAAATTAATTTAAGAAGCAAGACGATTTTTTCATGACAAATTTTACGGTTATAAAATCACTCCAACTAGTCTATCCTTTTTTATGTACATATACCTCCTTCTCAATATAACTTTTTATACAAATAAATTAATATCCATGAACATCTGTTTATAATTGTCTGACTAGCTAAAAAGGTGTGAAAACGTGTCCAATGCATTCTCCTTTACACATACCTTTTTGACGGCGTCTCCTGCTTCCGGAAGGTGCGAAAACACCAAGGAGGATAGCCACTGGTTCATAGTTAAGTGTGAACTGATGCTAGTTAAAAAATAAAGATTAGCTCATTCCATCCGGTTAGGTGTGAGAATATGTTCATCAGATTCATATAGACAAATACAGTTAGGCGCATAATTACCCGGACTCAAGTTTGTACTAGCATAACATTTGAGTAAATCGTTGTACCGAGCTCAAATATGAATTAAACAAATACAAATAGTTCATCAGTAAACTGGCGAAGTTTCAAACTATTTTACATTGTTTGAGCTGAGTTCTCGCTTACCAAAGTTGCTTCATCTTAAGAAAATCAAAACGGCGCATATGAAATTTATGCCGTTCATCTTTGGACAATCATAATAATAGGTAAACTTGACGAATTGCTCTGAAAATTTTATTAGCTTTGAATCGAACGTAAAATTATATTTCTGCCGATTTTCGTGCTTCCAAGATTTTTATGTTTAAAGATATACCCGTTTTTATCAAACCGGACAACTCTGCGGTGGTTCAAAGCAGGTGTGAACAACTATAAAGGACACAACCATTTATATAAAATTATACACAGAATGCAGACATTAGATACCCGCACTGTATTAAATTCACAAATGTAAAGCTAGTAAAAGAAGGAACTAGAAAATGAGTAATAAAAATAAGTTATGTATTTAGAATTATGCAGATATGTACACTTGATCTCCTTTTAGAAACTTCGCTTCCTTGGAATCCTTCTCTCGGGACTTCGAGACGTGGTAAGCTGAATCAGAATACTGAGGATATTGAATGAATTGGATCGAAGGTTGTTAAATCGAGCGGAGGATAATGTTCGGATTTTGGAGGCGATGAGATGGCAGCTTCATACCACATCTCGGGCAGAAGATACTTTTTATGATGGACAAGTGTCTAGAAAGACAAACAGTAGGAATCACAGAGGAAAAGTCAGTGATGACTTACTTTGAGATTGTTGCTGACTCTGTATTGTGCAGAATCATCGATGGTAGAGAGGACAATAAGAACTTGGCGGGATAAAGGAGGAACCACATCGACTATTTGAAGCAAGCCTCGAGATGACTGAATGTTCATTGAATGCGAGCAGTCCACTCTGAAGTTTCAAGTTATGATATTTTTTCTGATGCCTTTCTGCTTACCCAACATGCAAATATTTATTCTCTAAACAGTTATCCGCCATGATAATCATCCCTCTAAACTTGTTGGTCAGTGTTCGAATGACAACTCCGTTATTGGTATTCTGCACAACATCTCCTTCTTTTATGATGACCTGATGCAACGACTCTTGGGTCATTTTCCGTGTCAATGCGATGTGCTCCGCGAAAATTGGGAAACGAGTATGAACGACAATGTTGACTCTTCCCTTCTTGTGGGCCAGAAGTGCTCTTTGACTGTGACATACGATTGTATACTCGCCGGGAGTCAGGAAGAACTCATCGATTGTGAAATGATTGTCAGCAATTCTAGATGACATTTCAACCAATTCTCCAACTCTTCCGTCTCCGGCTGTTCTATGCACACAAACCATCAAGTCGTTCTAAAACATTTTTTTCCGAATAAGCTTTCAAAAACGAAACGTACCAGATTGTCTGTTTTGTTAAAGGCCCCCTTCTGAAATGCAGTTACTGACATTTCACAAGTCTCCGTTACAATCATCTGAAGTGCCTTATCGGAACGGCTTCCAACATCTTGGGTAACACGAAGTTCACTCCAATCCATACGTAGTTTGCAAACTGTGACTGAAGCGAATCGTGCCACAAAATCATCCAGCTCCATCCAGAATGCTCCTGTCTCATCTCTTCTCATGTTAAGAAGCCGTTGTTTCAAATCCACAGGCCATCCTGGCCAACCATCCGACCATTTTCCTTTCCAAACAAATTGTCCCCATGGATTCCTAATCCGAAGTAGACGGTGACCATGTTCATAAACGACGTCTAGAATTGAATAAGCGTGATTTGTTAGTAGACCCATTGCACGGAATTCAGATTCAGCAACGGCGTTTTCGAATGCTCCGCAGTGACAACACATGAGGAAACCAGATTCTCTGGAAATTGAAATAAGGATTTAGCCTATCAGAAAATAGGCTTACTTGGAACTGACTAATAGAGCCCAGAAAGTGTCAACGTCATCTGAATTGATTGGAACTGGAGGGCAGTTATAGTTCACACAAGATGCTCCAGTGAGCATTGAAAGTCCTTGAGTTAGTGAGGCTCCATGGAGTTTTGAATAGCTTCCCAGCTCCTTGGCCATTGCTTTTTCAATCAGTGGAACCCATAACTGATTTCTCCTTCCGACAGCCATTGCAATAGAGTTTGTATGTTGATAACACGGGAAGAAATCATCCACAATCACAACTTTCCACTTCCCTTCGACACATAATCTAAATATACTGACTAGTTAAAAACAACACTCAAAAGCAGCTCACCTGATCTGATAGACTCCGTAATGTGAGTATTGTTTTCTTGGAATTATTTCATCAAGCACATCCGGTCTTTCAGCAATCAAAGCCATCGCCGACATCAACCAACAGTCACCAACCAACGTTCCCTGTTCAATATCAGATGGTCGTGGATTGTTTGCAACGGACCATGGGAATGATCTTCCGTCTTTCGTAAACATTTGCGATGGACGGAGCCAATGAAGAAAATCGGGTTCCTCGTGTCTTTTGACCCCATTTTTTGTGAAATGAAGGACTCCAATTGACTTTTTGTTATGAAGAAATTGATCGTCAATAAATGGACTATTTGAGGCTCTGAAAATCGTACTATCATAAAAAAATCGGTTGACCTCAAAGCGTCATCCGGGTTTATTACTGCCTGGAAGTGAACCTAATGTTTTTATTTATTTTCTAAAAATGAAAGCATTGATAAACGCTTTCTTTTAGTGATAAGGCAGTGTAATGCAAACCTTAACGGAAATATAGTGTCCTAAACACTTGAGGGGTTTTATGGCTAACGTTAACGGAAAGATTATAGTGAGAAGATTCTAGTATTTTTTTGTTAGTTTCAATAACTTACGTGCAATATTTGATGATGTCGTCGTAGATGACGTCGCTCTTCTTCTTTGCTTCTTTTTTCAAAGTTGAAGTAATTTTGGAGCACATAGACGGCTGGTGAGGGTCTTCTGCGGCGTCTTGAACGTTTTCGTACCGGTTAGGACGCTCCTAAAAACACCCGATTTTTATAATAACAACCTCCAAGGATAGACAAAGAGGCGGGAGCAAAGGGAGAGAACTTCCGTCAAAAACAGAATGGACATAAAATTTTGTGGTGCGCCCTCCGGTTTCTATGGGTGCCTCGTGTAAATATGATGACTTTTTGAGACAGGGGTGGATGAAAAGGATTTCGTAAGACTTCAAGAAGGAACTTGCAGGTGAGCACTTTATGAAAAAGAATCGACGGGTCATTAAAAAAGAAACGAGCGGCCATTCACAGAAATAGTGCCGGTCAGTTTTTTGACATGAAAAGGGCAAAAGAGAACTAGGAGTTGTACAACTTTCGGAGATAAGAACAGTGACCAAAACTGATACGAAAGAGGGTGGCACGGTGCCAAGTGAGAAGGCATTGCGGGCTACTGGGAGAATATAACTATTTTCTAGATATTTTCAGATTTATAGACTGTTTGAAAAGATATCTACAGTACCGGTCAATAAGATATACAAAAACGCATTTTTCAGTTGTTTTTTGACCATTTTTAGGAGTCTGGAGCTCAACTGTCAAGTTTCCAATCACTTGAAAAACATTGGAGAATATAAAACAGACCTAACCTGCATTCACAGAATTTTTTGAAAATTCCTCACGTTTTCAGTACAAAACTAGGCATAAAGGGGCACCCTCCAAAACTTTCAAAGTGATCGTAAACTTGACATCCAAGCTTCAGACTCCCAATAAATGGGGAAAAAAGTGGCGGAAAATCAACTGAAAAATACTTTCTTATATATCTTACCGGTACTGTAACTACTATAGACACTCTTCCTGTAAGGTTTTTCTTTGAATCTTTCTGTGTTATTTAGGACGGCTACATTTTTGACGAGCATAATTCCTTCTTAAGCAGAATTCTGCGACATTTTGGTGTCTTATAATTTAATAAACCGTATTCTCATCTGGAAAAGTACAAGACTATCAATTCACACAGGAATCAAAGTTCCACTGATAATTTTAAGTACCGATTTTGTCTTGTCGAACTTTCGTGAAACTCAGAGAACATTCTGGAATTGTCTTTTCTAGGGCGATGATAACTTGTTAGATACTACACACGAATCAGAAATGCCGGTCAATATATTTTTCGTGGGGTCTCTAGAGGGGAAATTCAATTTCAGAGGCCGTTCTAATATTATAAAAGTTACGCGGAAAGTAGAACCCCAACAGATTTCAAACCTCCGTTTTTTGCCTCACATCTAAAATAAATTCGAAAAACTTACAACTTGTGGAGTGTCGACAAAGAAGGTGGAAGTTGAAGGGTATTGGTTGTCTGAAAAGATCAAAAGTTTTATTATTAAATTTAAAAAATAGAAACGGAAATGAAATCATAATTGGGTTTCGTTTTTTATAAAGTGAAGCTGAAAAAATGAAAATGGCTGAAATATAGTGATACTAATGTTTGTTCTAGAGTTTCACAGTGAGGCGTGAAGAAGCTGAAATACAGTGTGATTCATTCATGTATTGTCAAATGTCAAGTCGTGGGAGTAATTAGGAAATGACACAGAGGTTAATGAAACGATTGTCAGCAATATTCCTAACATGAATTGCGAGGTTTCGTTGATATTTACGATCTTGTGTTACAACTGATAAAGAGTTTTCCCGAACGGTGTAATTTTTGATTTGAATAGAAAAATTTGAACTCACCATTTGGGTTGTTACTTTGACCATCAACAAATGGACCATTCGGAAGAGGAGTTCTGAAAAAAGTGGACTTTCAGCGTTGAGATTTTCCATACGGACTATGAAAAAAGTTATCTACCGCACAACCTGTATTAGAAGGACCGGTTCTTTTGTTGTTCCAAGGTACCTCCGGAGGGTCCTTCTATTACAGATGCCCTTCAATTAGAGGGGGGCTCTTCTGTTTTCCAACCATTTTTTCCGAGTTTTTTTCGTCGAAAAATTCGTAAAACTCTAATCCAAAACTAATGGAAATCGAAAATTTCACCGAAACCGAGCAAGGTTTGGAGCAAAACAAAACTATTTAAACCAATTTTTTGTGAAATTGTGAAATTTCCAGAATATTTTGGGGTCCCTTTTATTACAGTATCCCTCTCATTTTTCCTGTTTCCTTTTTCAGGGACCTTTTATCAGAGTGGCCCTTCTATCAGCGGGGTCTTTCGAATACAGTTTTAACGGTATTTTAAAGTTTCGAGTCAATTCGAAACTGCGACACTTTGAAACCAGTCATTAAAATAACCGTTAATTTCGAAATCGTGGTAATACAGTAATACAGGCGGATGGATAAATTTCAGACTACAAAAACAATATTCGGTTTTTTTTCCAAAATTCAACTTTTTCCTTAAATTTTTTCATTTTCCGAGTTTCAGAATGTGTTATCAGAAAGTGCATTTTTGAAAACCCTAAAGTTGGTTTCATATTCTGAAATTTATCCAATCGCCAGTATTACCACTGTTTCGAAATGATCGGTTTCGAAATGACTGGTTTAGAAGTTTCGCAATTTTGAAGTGACGCGGAGCCAATTTTGAAATTCAAATTTAAAAAAACGAACCTAAAATGAGAAACTCTCACAAAATTATGAGCAGGCCTCCTTTCTTTGATTGTAACCAAATCTGATATAGCATTCGATACATCTCGAACTAAAAAAAAGGCGATATTCGAAAAAAAAGAAGAAAAAACTCTTACCAGTATCCGTTATAATTTTCGGAACCATACTTCCAACGGATTTTGTAGGTTTTTTATCCATTGGTTTTTGGGAACCACATCCTTGACAAATTGTATAGAACGGATCGTTGATAAGTGTACAGTAGAGACAACTCCATGATGGCATTTTTGTCTGGAAAAGGTGTTGGCAATTGAAAATGAAATCAAGTAGGAATTTAGAAAATTGGAAAGTTCTTGAGATAATTATCAAGGTTTGGAGCAACCAATAACAGTATTTCTCACTGGTTTTGAAATTATAAAAATAAGTCCATCACATGTTGAAAAAGCAAATGCGCTCTACCATGCAACCATCTCTTTTTCCCGGGGACGAAAATTTCATGTGTTTCCCATTTCTAGGCCACAACGAGAGTTTCAAAAACGGACGAAAATTGAAAAAAAAATGGCTCAAAACTAACATTGGTTCAAAAAGTTTCTGCGGCTTTAAGTACAATTGAACAAAATTTTGAGAGGTTGAGGTGCTGGGGAAGAGAAGAGATGTTATGCAAACAGAGGCAATTTCATAACATGCGTGTTCGCAGAAAGAAAAAGAAAAAGAGGATTCGTTTTCACTCGAGGAGAGTGAGAGACTATGAGAAAGTAGAAGAGAAATAGAGATGGAAAGAAGAAAAAAGAATGAAGATCTTTCTGTTGAACCAGGTGAATTGTCACAAAATGTGTTGGTATGAGTCAGTAGTACCAGTATAACAAACACACAAAAGGGAAGTATACGAATGACGACACTGGCAGACTAATTCGATTAACTGGTGTCAAGTAGAGTAAACGTTTGGAAGTTTGGGTTGAAACAATTTTACATCAGAATGATAATAATTGAGTATCAAATCCAATGAAATTCATAAGAAGAAAGCATGAAAATCAAACCTAGGTTCAAGAAAACGTTGGTTTCAGAAAAAAGAGAACCTGTAATAGAGGAGCCCCACAATTTAAAGTTTGGGCTGATTTTTTTTGGCTCATTTGCAAGATATCAAAAATGTGTTAACTGAGGAAATTTTAACAACACTATAAGAAAAATTATCACTTGACAACTTTTTGATATCTCTGACAGGATAAATTAACTCAAAGTTGAATTCTAGTGGCCCTTCTATTACAGTGATCTTTTGAAAAAGCATCATCCCGAATAATATGATTTCGACTTCATTTCAGATCAGATTTGCTCATCCGCGAACTTCAAGCAGTTCCAAAATTTTGTTTTCTCGTTAATGTATGCCAGATGACACAGATCCCAACTTAAAGGAACACGGAATATTGAACTCTTTTGCCTGACCCATATACTTAACGTATTTTAGATACGTAATAAATTATTATTATTAAATTATGTTTTGCCACATTCAGTTGACCAGTACCTGTTAATGGATGACCAAAATAACCGATAATTGTCAAATTTCGAATATCTTACCACAAAAATGAGAACACCTGATTGCCGATTGTTGTCACTATAATTGCCAAGTCAGGATTAGAAATAATTGAGCTCAATGTCGACGGTTTGCTCCTGCTGTTTCCTATTTCCCAAAAAAAAAAATCCAGCGTTTCCAATTTCAGTGTGTCTACAGTTCAATATTGTACTCTTCCTTTCTCTGAAAAAAGTTCAAAAGATGTCTGCAGCAACGTCTTCTCTGTCATTTTTTCCTCTCGATTTCGCTATTTTTCTGCTATCCAAATAAACGTTTCTTTTTTTCCAAGCACATCACCCAAAACGGTTCTATTTTTAGTTTCACGACAGTAAAAAGAGACGGTATCAATTGAATTGTCAAAAAAGGGAAAGACCAAGAAGAAGAAGAAGAAGAGAATATTCAAAAATGTGGTAAACGAAATGCCAAAACTTTTTCATAGAGAAGAAGAAAAACCATAACTAGAGAGGAGACCACTTGACGATTGGAAATTGGAACTTTGTGTTCTCAATTTTCTTGTCCTCTTCCTTCTTATTAACATCCATCATAATTATGTTCTCCATTTAAACGTACTGTTTCTACTTTCATTATATTTTCACATTTGTTTCCATTTCTTATGTTTCTTGACCATCAAGCTCAATGGAATCGAACATGATGTAAAAAATTTAGATTTGATTTGAAACAGAAAAAATATATGTAAAATACGATTTTGATTGTTTTGTACTTTTTTTGAATTTTTGAAACATGGAAAGCCTGAAACAAAACACATATTTTTCACATTTATCAATTTCATCTTAAGAATTTTTGAAGCTAGTTTTGACAAAAATATATTACCCTGGTACAAAAAATGTAGCTATGGAAGAGAAATGCTGGTGGCCGTGGCGGAGGATCTTAAAATGAATACCTACAGTAACCTTCCAGTATTTTTCTTTTTTTCTTTTCTCGTGATCACTGCTTTCCGTATATATTTCTGTTATTTTTCCAAAGAGAAGTCGGAGGATAAAAATTAAAATTGGCGAAAATCGAGCTAACCAATCCGGAAAGTTGAAAAAAAAATGGTTTTGGTTACGGTAGTTGTGTTTGTGGGAGCTTCGGCCACGGCCACCAGCGTTTCTCTTCCTTTTTTGCGCAATCTATTTTAATAATTTCAACTATAAGGTGTGCTTTTTATTTTTCTTGATTTTCGCCTTATTCGTAAACCGCAACTAGAATAATTTCTTTGACTAAAAACTATGTTGCGATATTTAGTGTGCCATTTTTCTATAGGGTGCAAAGTCATAGAAATCTTAAAATAGCACTTTAAAATGTGCTTGTTGCAAAGATCTAAATGTCATCAAGTTCTGTAATTGTACAACTGATAATTTTTTTTTTGAAATATAGTGAAAAGTTGAATACTTCCAAGGTGAAGAAATGGAAAAAAATTAATCTGAGAATTTGAATCTTGTTTGGAAAATTGAAAACAATAACCTATAGAATGGGACCATCGAAATTTCAAGATTTATCTTATTCAATTATACGTAGCGCTTTCAGAATCGACGCTCAATATATATGATATCTATGTGGATGTTTTGGCCATAAAACCGTCCATGTCGGAAGGGTGTTTTTTTTCCCTATTCTCTGAATCCTTTGAAAGCTAAAATAATCCATTTTTATAGTTTGATCCGTGCTTTTCAAAGAGCAATCGTTTTGTCTCCGGACAGTTTCATTCTCTTGACATTCTTCATGTTTCAAGTCTCTCAAAATTCAAATTCAAATTATTATTATAGCCATCTCCCGCCCCTATGCTTATCACACTTTTTTTGATCGGTCACTTTAATATAATGATATCAATCTTACATACATCTATTTTTAGAAATGACTGTACAAAAAGAGCTAAATATAGGAGTAAAATGCACCCGAAATAGACTCAAAACTTCGTAACTCACCACCACCTTTCATGTTTGAATTTTAATTTCCGGGAAGAAGAAGAAGACACTTATATGGAAAAAAGATAACGTCGCCTCATTTCTGATATTTCCAGATAGTTGTATGCTCTCGGTCAGTCAGTTGACTGTTTGTATACAATTATTCAATACTTTTCAGATTTAATTCCGAAATTTCACATTATTATTTTTCATACTTGTAACGGGCCGGGCCGGGCCGGGTTTTTTTCCCGAATTTTGGAGGCCCGGCCCGGCGGGCCTGTCATTCCACAAGCTTGAAAATTTCAAAAAACACATAAGGGGACCTTTATGTGATTTTTTTCGATCAAAACATTTTTTTCGAGTTTTTAAAAATATTTTTTAAATCAAACAGACAAACAATCCAAAAAGCACAAAAAAAAATATAGAAAATTGTATTGAAAGCTCAAAATTCGGTTCAAAATGACAAAATTTTTGCTACCGGGCCTACCGGGCCGGGCCCGGACCTTGAAATTTTCCTCAGGCCCGGGCTTTGGCGGGCCGGCCCGGAATTTTACAAGTATGTTATTTTTCTTATTTAATGTTTTGAAGAACCACCAAAAATAATGAAAATTCAAGTGCACCGTACGGCGGTGACGTCAGAACTAACAGTGACCAGTTTTCAATTGGTTTAGTCACATAATTATAGTCGCATCGTCAAAAAAAAGACGAGAGTCATTTCGGAAATTGATCTTCCGTTTTTGACAACTAATGATTTATGTGTGTGTTCTATTTCGAAAACTTTCAAAAAACGAACAATAGTCTCTCGTGGGCGTATATTGTCAAAACAGACTGTCACATATTGGAACTTCCAGATTATAACGAACCAAACGTTTTTTGAACTCTAGGAATCAGTATACAGGAGTTTTTTGGAGTAGAGTATGCATTCTAACGTAACGGTGTATAATGCTTTGTGTTCATTCTGCGTACAGCTATCCTGCTTTCATGTATACCATCAGACTGCCATTCCAGCTTTGCACGCGTGGCTCAGTCGGTAGCTGCGCCACACCTTCAATATTTGTCCCACAAGTTCAACTCTTCGAGAGGCTTATATGAACAATTTCGAGAAAAATATTTTTTTCCTGTCCTTCCACCTTCAAAATCAATATACGATTTCTTCTTTCCCCTAATTTTAATCTTTAGTGATAAGCAACATAACTTTTGTCCAGTAATTGTGCTCACCTGATGAAAACCCACGCGACCTACCTACCTCCTGTTATAGTTTTTTTGCTATAACTTGACATTTATTCTACTGATCAACAAAAACAAAACATTTCAGATCTTTGACTCTGGAAGCTCTGCGTATTTTCAATCGCGTGCTCTCTATCACTAACTGTCTCTTCTTATCAATTTATGATCGAATGCAGTCACGAATCAATGGTCGCTTCTGGTCAAATGACATGCTCAACATATCGATCGATTCGACTTCTACCAAAATTATTCCTTTTTATTTCGCTAACTTTACTGTATATACCAGAAGCCGAATGTCAGAATGTCCTGAGTCTAGCCGAAACGAAGCATTCGTGTATGGCACTGAAAGCAGATATCGGAGAAGGATGTGTATGTAAACAAACGAAAAGATACGGACAACCAGAATGTTGTTGTATGGGATTGGAGGTGGTACGATTGCCTGCCAATCTGGCTCTGGATGTTGGATATTTGTAAGTTAAAGGATCGAACGTTGAAAAAAAAAACCATACTTGATAAACGGATGGACAAAGTTTCAAGCCGTAAAGCCGCCGATCGGGCCATACCTGGTCCTGCCTGTTTTTTCTTCTGTAACTTTGTTTATAGCCGATTTTTACCGTATCTGATTCAGTTGGTCAAAAATATTAATCCTTAAAGGTGGGGGGACATGAAAAAAATAATGTTCTCGAAATTCCGTTCAAAGATGCCCCTCGAGGAGTTGAACTTGTGAGGGCGATGATTGAGGGTGCGGCGCCGCTACCGACTGAGGCACGCGGGCAAAGAGAAAACGCACGCCCGTTTGCATACATAAAGACGAGGACGACAGCTGTACGCAGAGTGACATTAAGCGTTGTACACCGTCACGGTAGAATGCATACCCTAGCTACAAAAAAACTACGAAAAATCTCCTGTCCCCCCACCTTTAAATGAAAAACCACCACAAAATAAGTGAGAGAAAACTAAAAAAATGAATATTCAGGTACCTACATAACACTTCAATCTCTGAAATTACATCAAATTTCTTTGACTCCTATCCGTCAATCCGAGAACTAGAAATCGACAATTCCCGTTTCTTGGAACACATCGATGGTTTCTCTTTTACGGTTCTCCCAAAACTTCGAAAACTTTCTGTGGTGAGGTGTCCAAACCTTAGCGAAATTTCTGGAAAGCTTCTGGTCAATAACACTCGGATTCAGACTGTGTAAGATTTCGTTTTTATGAATCTTGTAAACCAGAACACTTGTTTTCAGAATTCTGAAAAACAATGGTCTTCGAACGATGCCTCTCTTCGAATGACAGATTTTCATCATGTGTTAGTGGATAGAATTGATTTATCTCAAAACCAAATCAAGTTTATTGGAGACTCAAAAGTCAGAAACGTGAGAGCCAGAACTGTTGTTTTGAGTGAGAACAATCTTTTGGAAATATCCGGATATGCATTCACAGAGAGTCAATTTTTGAAACTGTGAGTGATAAGTCTTCGTCATAGATAAAACGCTACAATGGTATTTCAATAAGAAACTCATCAAAAATATTCAGAAAGCTAAACAACAACCCAAACCTACGAAGTCTGTCAGTAGATGCTTTCAAGAACATGGCTGGGCTTCAGACTTTGTGAGTTTCCAAAAGTTCTATGAAAATGAAATTCCGATTTCTCAGAGATCTCTCACATACTGCGATCAGCACTCTACCAATCAATGGTTTGAAAAAACTGAAGACCCTAGTTTTGAATAACGTCCCAACTCTCAAAAGTCTTCCAAGTATTTTGAGTTTCACCGATCTGGAAACTGCCCACTTCACCTATCCGCATCACTGTTGTTTGTTCAAATATGTAGATGACGTGACGATGAATGATAACGGAAAATATCAACGGAATGCTAAAGAAATTCATAAAAGAATTTGTGAAAAACGAGAGCAGCAGGAGTTAGCAAGAAGAAGGAAACGTGATACTTCTGGAGTGGATTTTCTGGAAATGTTGTTGAAGGAATGGACAGATAATAGTACTTATACAGGACCAGATGATAACGATGATGATGAGTTGCCACGTATGTTTCGAAATTACCCAATATTGTCGGAATAAACAAAAACTGTCACCTCATGTGTGCAGAAGACGATCGCCAAAAAACTGAAATCTATGCCACGACCTAAAAATTGAAATCTAGGTCAGGACCTAAAAATTGAAATCTAGGTCATGACTTAGAAATTCATGTCTACGTCATGACCTAAAAATTAAAATCTAGGGCACGACCTAAAAATTCAAATCTAGGTCATGACCTAAAAATTAAAATCTAGGGCACGACCTAAAAATTCAAATCTAGGTATCACCTAAAAATCGAAATCTAGGTCATGACCTAAAAATCGAAATCTAGGTCATGACCTAAAAATCGAAATCTAGGTCATGACCTAAAAATCGAAATCTAGGTCATGACCTAAAAATCGAAATCTAGGTCATGACCTAAAAATCGAAATCTAGGTCATGACCTAAAAATTAAAATCTAGGGCACGACCTAAAAATTCAAATCTAGGTCATGACCTAAAAATTAAAATCTAGGGCACGACCTAAAAATTCAAATCTAGATCATGATCTAAAAATCGAAATCTAGGTCATGACCTAAAAATCGAAATCTAGGTCATGATCTAAAAATCGAAATCTAGGTCATGACCTAAAAATCGAAATCTAGGTCATGACCTAAAAATCGAAATCTAGGTCATGACCTAAAAATCGAAATCTAGGTCATGACCTAAAAATCGAAATCTAGGTCACGACCTAAAAATCGAAATCTAGGTCATGACCTAAAAATTCAAATCTAGGTTACGACCTAAAAATTGAAAACTAGGGCACGACGTAAAATTTAAAAAAATTTAAAAAATCACAAAATTTTAAAATTTAAAAAATCACAAAACTAAAAACAAAAATATCACAGTTTTTAAATTATGACAATAACTGCACAGCCTTCTTTTTTCAGCTTTCACTGAAATTGGAGCGGAACCATGCCAATCGATTGGTGAAGAAGTTCAAAAATACTATTCAAATATTACCTGTTACCCACAACCAGATGCTTTGAATCCATGCGAAAATATTGTCGGATACCCATTTCTTCGAGTTGCCATCTGGATTGTATGTTTCGCTGCAATCGTAGGAAACATTGTTGTTTGGATCTTATTAGGAATTGTTTATGAGAAGCGAATGAGAATTCATTATTTGTACATGATCAATATGTCAGTTGCTGATATGTTCACAGGTTGGCTCTGATAAGATTTTGAGAAGTTTCTTCAACTTTTTGTTTAGGAGTGTATCTGGCAGTTCTTGCCATCGCCGACGCAAAGATGTCAGATGAATACTACCGTCATGCAGTCTGGTGGCAAACTGGATGGGGATGCAGAGCCGCTGGTTTCTTGGCTGTTTTTGCTTCGGAGCTAGGAATTATTTCCCTGTTTTTGATTGCATTCGAAATGTCATACAATACGAGACAATCATTCCGTGGACGAAGACTCAGTCCGAAAGTTGGAGTACTTTTAATGATTGGTGGATGGTTGTTTGCTATTGTGATGGCTATTCTCCCATGGTTCGGAGTGTCTTCATACTCTGAAAGTAGTGTGTGTCTACCATTGAAAGCTACAACAATGTTTGACAAGAGTTATCTGATATTTGGATTGAGTTTCAACTTTTTGGCATTCACAGCGATGGCATTGTCATACGGTTTCATTGTGAAAATGCTCAAAGTAATTTCAATTTTTAAAATTGTTTTGATGTTTCTATTATCAAATAATTTTTTTAGGAAAATGAAACAAGAGAGGAGGATCGAGCATTGATCACTAAAATGACAGTACTAGTGGTTACCGATCTAATCTGCTGGTTCCCAACTCTCTTCTTCGGATTCACCGCCACCATCGGATTCCCTCTTCTCTCCCTATCTTCTGCTAAATTCGTCCTCGTATTCTTCTTCCCGATCAACGCATTCGCAAATCCATTTCTCTATGTTTTCTTTACTGAGGTTATTCAACATCGTGTGAGAAGCAAGACGATTCCAGTCATCCGGAGAATCACAACTGGACCACTGAATGCCGCGAGTTCTCTATCGAATTTCTATCACTCCCAACCACCAGGAGCCCATAGAAGAAGCCGAGATGAGCAAGCAAGTCCGTCTGGAATGCATTTGGCAGTTACCCAGGTATGCCAGGTATATCAAGAGAGAATTCGGGGATTAGGAATGGCTCCTAAAAATTATTGATTTCAGACAACGTCATTGAACAGTACACCGAGAGGATCCAATGTCTCTTCGAGAGCTTCAGATGCCATGCTTTTTGATTATGAAAGAAGAGCAAGGTATCAGAGATATCAGAGGAGATCAGTGGTCTTATTTAACACATTTTTTTTTCATTTGCAGCGCCTCTCCACGAGTTTCCTTCGATATTCCGATTTCTCCAACAACTCCAAGATCCGATAGAAAGAATCGGATATCATTACTGAAACGGATAGTGTCATCAGTTCCAGAAGTATCAGATCTATCAGAACATTCTAGTGAAAGTCATCACGAACATGTTCCTCATCCTCGTAGAAAACTGAGATCTTCACTGAATCGGATACTAGCACTGGGCAGAAGACAGGAAGGATCAGCCGATTCGGGTAGAGGTTCTATTGCCTCGTCTTCTGGATCGGTAAGTGACTTTCAGAGAAATTCTTGAGACCTTGTTTTTTTTTCAGCGAGACCAAAACGAGCGTGTCTCCCTAACAAGCAATACGTCTTCAATTCTGAGTCCCCTTCTCTCACTTCCGTTCAATCAAGGCTCGTCCACGAATCCAAATAATTTAATTCTTCCACCAGAATCCCCTGCGTCAAAAAATCGCCGAAAATCGACACCAGCTATACCACTTCTTGTAGTTTCTGATTGCTCATAGATGTTAATTTTGTATCATATTAGATTTTGTCTATTTTTGTTTTCTCTTTATTTATTCCTCCATATATTGCGGGTCAATGAATACGAGCCTCTTTTTCTTCCAAATTTGCCTTTTGATTAATGTTTCTTTTTTCCCCGTGAGAATTTTTTGATTATTCATCTCGATTCAATAAATCTTTTCATAATGATGACGTTGGTGCTTCAACATAGGGGAAATCTCTTCCTTGTTTTTGTGGTTCAATTTCAGATATTCAATTTCAGAAATTCGAGGAAAATCGAGGCTTCTGAAATGAAATAAAGACAAACAAGAAACCCTGAAATTTCAGAAAACACTTTCTAATTGAAAACTTACCAGGAGAAAAATCTAGACAAAATTTCCAGAAGCAATTGGAAATAAGGCGGCCGACCGACAGCTGTTGACTGCACAAATGCATAAATTCGGTCGGCGGACGGCGACTTTCGGCCGACCGAATGGGATCCTAACTTAGAAACATCCTCTTGAAAAGAAATAGGTTCGAAAAATCTTGAAAATCGATTTTTTGATATCCAAAATGAAACTGGACTCTGTTCTATAGTTTAGAGATCCAGGAGAAACGCTAGAGGTTGATAAATTGTTCTCAAAAAACGGCTGGAATTGATAGTTTTGCTAGAAAAACTGATCGGAGAGTGTCAATTTTTGTATAAGGGCACTCCAAAAGTTTTCTGGGGAAGACATGGCCTGAAAGATGATCATGAGGTTCAAGTTGCTTTTCTTCAATTTAAACGGAGACATAAAATGTTTTATGGCTGCTTCCGGTCCCTTCAATCCGTTTGTTTGTTTAGGAAAATTAAAATTGATAAAACTCGATCTACATTTCTTTCAACCAAGTTTCTAAAGATGAACTGAAAAACCAGCACTAGAAACTACTCTCTAGAAAATTCTTGTTCGAACCAATAAAAATGTCAACTCAATTGAAAAACGGTTTTCCGTCCCACCTATCTTGTTTAAAATTTCCCCTCCATGCCCCATTACTCCCAATTTGCATTCATCATACCACTTTGTTACTCACATTCTCTGTTTTTTCGTTCTAATTTACCTTCCTAATAATTTTTTCCCTTCTTGCAGGTTTCCTTCCTTGTTTTTTTCCGTTTCTTTTCATTTCATCCCCCAACTCACACAAAACACAATTGCTTTTTTCCTCGTTTTCCTTTTACCAAATTAAGGGTGTTTCAAGAAAACGAGCCAATTAGCAATAAGTTTCCAGAAAGCCAAACACCTAAAAAGGCGGTGTTGAATGAGTTTTCGGATCACCAGAGCAAATGGAGCAACAAAAAAGAGCAATAGAAGGAGAAGAAGAAGTAGAAGACGACAATTAGTTTTGTTGGCGAAGAACAAGATACGTGTCTCTTCTCTTCTTTTTGTCGATGACTCTTTGTTTCTTGAGTGCTCAGAAAAGTGATGATAGAAGACGAAGAAGTAGACGAAGAATTCCAAGTGCATCATTTTGTCGACTACACGTGTAGATTCTTATCTAGGGGTCCATCTAAATTCTTGTTTTTTCCGCCGTTTTCCCCTTATTTATTCGTCGTTGGAGTTGAATTAACACTAATATTTTCAGCGATTTCAGGGAAACTCTAGAATCCTTGGAGTTTTGGAGATTATAATACACCAATTTGAAGGTTCAATTTTCTCAAAAGTACAACCACTTCAAACTGAGCTTCCTGTTATTAATTACCGTAGTTCTGAGGAGAATCTAGGAAATAAAAATTCACAAAATAGATATCAATTTCGTAAAAAATTCGGGTTTTAACTAGTAATTTCGGTACCATCAGAAATTTAAAAAAATTAAGGACCGAAATACGTAAACAACTAGAACCGGAATTCAAGGTTTAAAAAATTTGAGATTGCGTAGTTTCAGACATATAACTCATGGACTTCAGAACTCTTTGTAAGACCCGCTTTCTCGTTTTTCCTACTTTTTAAACCCATTTTTTCCAATTTTCTATCTCCAAATCTCCAGAAATCCAGATCGATTTTCTGAAAAAACATATTCCACTCCCTCTTTCTCTTCTTTGTGTTTACAATCTCAGCCGTTTTTTTTTCGACTTCGTTCAAAAAATGAAACGAAGGCTTATCTTTTTTGAATGTAGTGGAATCACTTGTATCTACTTTAATTCCTCTTCCTTCTTCTTTTTTTTCGTGAGAATTCCCATTTTTTGAAAGAACATAAAATTTCAAAATAGATATTGATTCCGAGCAGGTGAATTGATCTCAAGAACAAGAAAAATCCGATGTCTTTTCTTCTCGATATCACTTCTCAAATTTCAAATTTCTTGTTATTTTTTTTCTACTTCAACATGTGAAATTGAGCCGCGCTTTGTTTTTTTTTCTTTTAAAATTTTTGAAATTTTTGGTTTGATTCAAAGGTCCTCAATTTTTAAAGTACCTTTTGATCTCTGAAAAGCAAGACACATCTCCGCGTTGTGAAGTATTTTTGAATATACATACTTGAACTAGTTTTCAATAAGAAATCAAAACTCTGAATTTCTTTTTTCTGTCATTCTGATTCATGGAAGTTTGGAATAGGATTTGTGAATTGTAAACTAATCAGTCACATTCGAATCATTCATTTTTCCGCTTTATGAAATTATTGGGACAATTGAAACAAATAACTTTTAAAATTAAGACTTTGATGCTCAAATTGATGTGTATCATTCTAAATCTTCACCTAAACTGATAGTTAAAATATTATGTTCTTATTTATATTTTGCATTTTTAAAATTTATTTTTTGTCTGAAGTTTTCAATTTCAGACTTTAAAATTCTTACAATGTTGTTAGAACTCCAAAAAACGAAAGAACAACTTTCAAAAAAAATTCTTTGAAATCAACAACACCTTACAAAGAATCCTTTTTCGTTTTGTCGTATTTTCAAAATATTTTCGATCTCTCTCTCCTAGATAAAAGATTTCTGTCATTTTTTCTGAAAACTACTGATATGCTTAAATTTTCCAATTTTCGGTTATTCATTTTAAGAATTCAATATTCGTTAATCCTATATACACAAATATATTCATTTTCCGATTTATGTATTTTTCCAGACTTTTTTTCGTGACGAAGACATGATTTTCTTTCTTTTCTTTGCTGTCATTTTCAGCGAGACTGTGTACTTTGTAACACCTCTAGGCTGAAATTAGATCATAAGGAGAAGAGTGACTCTATATTTTGCCACTTTCCGCTGATAGTGAGATCAGATCTTCTCTCAAAAACTGATTTCCATAAAACTTTGATTTAAAGGAGGCGAGACAGCAAAAATTTCGGGGGACAGTTCGGGGGACGAAATCGCGCCGCGCTCATGTAGACCATCGGTCGTCAGGCGCCTTCGCGCCCCTGTAGCTCAGCCGGTAGCGGTGCTGTACCCTTGAGATACCTGTCATGAGTTCAAGCCCTCATGGGGGTTCTCTATGCAAAATATCAGGAAAACTTTTTTTTGGTGTCTGGCCTCCTTTAAAATATTTGCAGATTTTCTGATTATTGTTTTTATTGTTCTGTAAAATCACCGATAAGCATTTCCAGATTCTTTTATTATGAACGATAGTAAACGCTTGGTCTGGTGTATTTTTTTTCTTGAAGCCTCGCTTTTCTTCAGTTTTTCATTCATAGTAAAGATATAACTAGAAATTGATCAGAACTCTGATCCACATTGTCTCATCCGAATGCATTTTTTCTCACTTTGACAAGACAACTTTTTCGTTTTCTATCTATACAAAAACATCCCATCTTCTCATCCATTTTCAAAAATAAATCAAAACTCTGAGTTTCTTTTTTTTCATTCTGATTCGAAAAAATTTGGAAAGGATTTGTAAATGGGCAGCTAATCAGTTGCATTCGGATTATTCAGTTATCTGCGTTGTGTAAATGATAGAAAATATCTAAACCATAGTTGCAAAATCTCGGGCCGGCCCGCGGGTCGGCCCGTCGAGAAATTTGGCGGGCCGGCCCGGGGTTTGTACAGACGCTGGTTTTTTTTTGAATTATTTCGAAATTTTTTTAGAAACTTGAAAAAAACGACCTATTTTTGACTACTTTCTACTTTGTTAATTTTGTTGAAGAATGTAACCTTTTTTCTTTTTTAATTCAAAAAGACACCCAATTTTTTATTGGAAGTTTTTCAACTGTGGTAGGCGGGCCGGGCCGAGAAAATTCGTCTACCGGCCCGGCCTTTTGCAACTCTAAACAAGTAATTTTTGAAATCAGAATTTTGATTATTCTCTCGATTCATATTTAGAAGTGTATCAAAAATTGTATTTCCAACTTTATTTCCGGAAAACGTTTTTGATGAACAAATATTTGCGGATTTTCAGCTTATTTTTTTCTGTAAAACCACCGGTAAGTGTGTAATAGGCAAAAAAATTTTTTGATTTGATTTTATTCTAGTTCAAAAATCGGAAAAATATTCCACAACGACAACAACCGTACCTACAACATTTTGATAGTCCGAATTTATTTTCTCGATTTTTGTGTTTTCAGTCAATTTTGTCACTATCAAAACTTTTCCTTTTCCAAATCGTTCGGAGAAAAATAACAGAAAACTTGATGTAATTAAGTGAACACTGAGAAATTAAATCTTGAAAATAAATATATTTTTAGGTTACGGTAGTTGTCATTGCAGAACCTTTCGCTTTGGCCACTGGAGTTCCTCTTCCACTCTTTTTTGTACCAGAATAATAGATACAAATAATACATATCACTCACTTCAACAAGAGAAATTTCTAGTTGTCTGTCTACAAAAAAAAACAAACATTCTCCATCTTCTCATCCATGTCATTCCATTTTCTCTCTGTTATATCAATGTGAAGTGCATTAAGATGAATTGGATTTTCACTCAATTTCCGCCCTTTCCTTTTTTCCTTTCTACGTTAGCCATCCTTTTCCTATTTTACTTGAAGTCATGTTTTACGTATTCTTTTTTCCAGAGAACATGTATCCTTTCAATCGAACGACTTCAATACATGCTGAAAATGCCATGCCAAATATTGAAGAAATGGAGGAAGAGGACGAGGAAATGGGACGTTCTAATGGAAAAATGTACTCGAATCGACACACTTTGGTTGGTTTTCTTCATTTGTTTTCGAACCAAAACACCCTAGGACGTTCTTAGTGTAGAGCCCAGAGAACACTTTCAACAATTAAAATAATCTAAAAGATCTGGAAACTCTTGTATTCTTTTTACCTTTTCAGCTGAATTCTCACTTTTCAGCCGGGTGAATTTTCGAACAAAAAGAAACACTAACTCTCTATTTCACCTGTTTTTTTCAGAAAGTGAAATCACGGAAAACAAAATTGTTCTCTGAGGAAATCACGAATTCGTTAATTATCTGATTGTTTCAGGTGAAACGAATTTTTGCGAGTTTCTTCCTGATTGAAATATTACTTTTATGTAGCATCTGTAGGCTACGAAGGTTCTTGATTTCATCTTCCGAATTTCCTTATTGCTCTAATAAATTCGCACCCAATATTTGAACTTTGAGGTCTATTATCTCGATTCCTTCGAATGATATGAAAAAAAAAAACTTCAACTCATAAATTGTTTATCATGAAGCAACCATTATTTTATCAGCCGACCATTTTTGTTTTGATATCTTGCATAGGAATTGAGATAATTGAGCTCAAAGTGCACACTTCGGCATGTCGCTCAACTCAACGATGACACACTTCTGATGGGCGTTCCGAACTGAACCAACTTTTTGGAACCTTTTTTAAAGCTAAAAATGGATATCAAATCCAATATCTTTCTTTTTTGCCCATTACACACCACATTAATAGAAGCAATTATTATTTTTGATTAGCTCTAATATACATTCAGAACATACAAAGACACCCCCAAAGTTCGGCTTGCCATTGATTATCCAGAAAAACCAGAAAACCAAATTGATACAATGGATCAAACCCAAAAACTTGAATCACCCACCGTCTCACCTAATCCTAGTTTTGTTTCCCTTGTTCCTGACAATTGTTACTAATTCCTGTTCCAGTCTGATCATTTCTTTTTCAGATGGACTCTGATGGAATTCATCAAGCCCCACCACCTGGATCTCCTGTTGAAAAGACGATCCTTGCTTCGATTCTTGAAATGTCCAGCGTCAACGACAAATGGGTGAAAAAATTTGCGATGCCTGTTGCAGCAAACAAAAAAGAGAAGAAGCGAAGAGAATCACTTTTCGAGTGTTCATGGAGGTAATTTTCTGGCGCCGAAATTCCTGAAAAATCTTGTTTTTTCCTGGTTGGGAGATGAGTTGGTTGACTCGTTGGACTGGAGTCATTCGTTTTTCTCCAAAATTCCAAGAAAAATAAACTCTAAAATGTTTTTCTTTGTTTTGGCATAATCCTTCGGTAAATCTTGTCTCAATAGGGTATAAATTCCGGGATCGCTTTGTAGACGGGAGAGGTTTTGGCCAAACTCAATTTGTTATTAGCATCATAAAGAGATTAGCACTTGGAGTTTCTACATGATTGTAGTACTTTTTTCAAAGATCCGGGTTTTGAGTAAAAAATATGTACTAGTGGCTACAGACAAAAAATGTTCTCATTAAAAATTTCGCGCCTAATCAGCTATTTATCAACATCCCTTCCTCTTCTCAATTGGCTCCATCTCTAGATTTCCTCAATTCAATGTAACAGATGTGAGATGTAACATTTCCTGCACTTCCTGAATGATTTCATTTTTTCTTCTCTGTTTCGATCTCTTAATCGATTCTTGGAAACCGACTGGAACCGGATGAAATCATTTGACAGCTGGAGCTGAAAATCTATTTTCCGTTTCAGTTTTTTGCAAGTTTTGAAGGAGTCACTTGAAAATTACGGTTATGCAAATGAGCCTCAGCCGAGATTTTGATGAAAATTTCAGGATATTTTGAGAATAGTCGACCTAGGCACTTCTGAAAATTTTAGAATCCGCTCGCCAGAAAATCGGGACACTTCGAAACCAGTCATTCCGCAACCGGTAATTTCGAAACTGTGGTAATACAGACGAATAGATTTTTTAGACTGAAAAGACAATTTCATGGTTTTCAAATATGCATTTCCTGATAGAACACATTTTGAAGTTTTAAAAAAATCCAAAATTTTATTTTTCCGAAAAATGTTATTGTTGAATTTTTTGAGTTTCAGAATGTGTTCTATCAAAAAAAGGATATTTGAAAACCCGAAAATCGTTTTTGTAATCTGAAATTTATTCATTCGGCTGTATTACCAAGGTTTCGAGATGACTGGTTTCGGAATGACTGATTTCAAAGTATCGCGGTTTCGAAGTGACGCGAAGCTCAAATTTCATGTTCTGAAACGCCCAAGAAATTGAGAACATCGTTGTTTTGCACTGAAAACGCGATTTTTTAATACTGAAACTCATATAACTCGGCACTAGCGAGCGGATTTTGAAATTTTCAGAAGTGTCTAAATAGGCTATTCTTTTTTCCTGAAACTTTCATCGAAATCTCGGTTGAGGTTCACTTGTAAATGCAAAAATTTCAAGCGCTTTCCAAAACTTGCACACAGAAACGGAAAACAGATTTTCAGCTCCAGCTGTCAAATGATTTCATCTGGTTCCAATAGATTTGAGAAAAATCGATTAAGAGATAAACACAGGAAAAAATGGAGGAAGTGCAGGAAATGTTACATCTCACATGTTACAGAATTCGTGAATTGAGGAAATCTAGAGATGGACGCAAAAGGGTTTGGTTAAATAGTTGATTAGGTTCGCAACCTAGAAAAGCTATTTTAAACCTATTCTGAATTTTCTATCCAAATCTGGGTGCACAAGGTTGAGGTTCCCATTGTACTCATTTGAGACCCATCGTGTCACATTTTTGACAAGAACATAAGGTTCAAATCTGTTTTTCCTTTATCTTTCAAAAACACGACAATGCACACGAAACGCCCAGATCCTCTTCTCTAATGCCAAATGAGATTCTTTTTTTGGGGTTTCAGTGGGTGTTTGTATTTGATCCTCTTCTTTTTTCTTTTCTTTTTTTCTTCATTTTTTGTCCCTAGAACCAATTAATTGTTTATTTTTTCTCGGCTCCTTCTGTTGCTTCATTTCGCTTAAAGGCATCTTCTGTCGCGTTCCCCAACACTTCCACGTGTTTTCAGACATCATCACTTTTTTGTTTATTTTCAAATCGGACAGCAACAAAAAAACACATAAAAAGAACCATTCAGAAAACTTGAAAATTTCTAGATCAGTTATTTTTTCGATTCTTTTTTGACTGACATTGCATCAAAAGAAAAGAAATCGCCCAGAGGCAAGATTTAGTATATCCGAATGCTTCATGTGCCTTGTTGGTCTGAAAACGTTGTGTTCTTTTTTTAATAATTAAGTTTTGTTCGATAGTAGTTTGCTCTTTATTCAAGGAAGTTGAAGTTCATGAACTTTTTTGTCATAATTGAGTTAGACAAAAGTTTTGGTCCAGCTCATTTCAGTTGAGTCAGAAAAAGGTTTGAAGCAACTTCAAAAAAAAAACTATGGGTCTCTGATATTCTGGATTTTCCGTAGAGCCTATATAAAAGCTTCTAGCCTAAATCTCTGAAGGCGTTCTTCCAATTATCTTCCAATAAAGGATTTTTGCACTTTTGGTTTTCAAAATTACACTTTAACGAATCTCATTTCAGTTCTGGAAGTTCCAGAATTTTCTCATTATATATTAGGCTCCGCCCCTTTTGTTGTGGTCGCTGGTTCCGACTACTACTTAAATACGGGAGCTCTGAAAAATATCAAGACCAAAGATTCAAAATTCCTTTTTTAGTTCCAAATTTCCGGAATTTCGGAGTATTCTGATTTTAAATTTTTTGGAATATTGGAATATTCTAAAATATTGTAGTCCGAAAAGCTCTGATTCCGAAAAAAAAACTGGAAATATTCCGACCGGAATTTTATTCCGTAACTTTTTTTCAGAATTTTTCCGGTCGGAGTTTCATTTCGAAAACTTTGAGAATTTTTGGAATTCCTTGCCTAACATCTCTGGACTCTCACTTTTCGCATCTATCGATACTTGCTGCTTTTTCCAAAGGACACACAACTAGACCTTCTCTATTATCACTGTCACATATCTCGAACTTTCTTCCACTTCCCTCCTGCTCTTTTCCCTTTCCTCTGCAAATCTTCAATTCCCCGAACTGCTCCTGTTTGTCTTCCTTTTCCGTTCACGAGGTCATCCTCATCGGCATCTGCTCCTCCTTTTCGTCTACCACTTCTATCCATCATCTTCAGAAGACATCCCCTCCTTGTTTCTTCTGGATTCAAACTCTCATCTTCCAACTTCATCTGCTCCTTTGACCTTCTGTTTTGATCCCGGGCACCGATAAATAGTATGCCTTTTCTTTTCTGAAAAAGAAGCGACAAGCATATGGAAATCGGATATTTTCTCTTTTGACGACGGTGTGTATAAGAGAAGTGTCCTTCGTTAGGACACTTCTTCTCTTTTTCAGAAAGTTTTTGAATACGTTGAAGTGTCTCGGATTTCATATTCAATCTTGATCTGTTGCTCATCATCCCACCCCCTTTTAAGCGTTTTTTTTTCTGATATTTCCGATTCATGTTAAACAAGAAAACTTGACATTAAAAACCAATGATTCTTTAGATTTTAAAAACGCTCCTCCTCCCAAGAGGCACCTTTTTGTTTGGTGTTTTCAGTTTCAGTTCACTCATTCTCTATTCCATGTTTTCTAGCATTTTCTATGAGAAACATTGGACTGTTCGGTCATATATCCTTATCTGAACTTGGTTAAGAATCAAAAAAGATTTCAAGCGAATATTTTAAGAATTTCTATGGACACTTTGGACACTTTTGTCTCCAATTTCCAACAAGAACAATAGAATCATTCTTCATCCATTTCTGGTCTTTTCCTGAGCGGATCAAGTAACATTTTAACGAGAACATTGTTGTTTTTAGGAGAAATCGGATTTTTAAATTCAGAATACTGTGTAGAACGTTAAAAACTGAATCTGATGGTTTGTGACAATTATTGGAGACATAAGGTCAATAAGATATACAAAAATGTATATTTTCAGTTGATTTTCAGCATTTTCAAAAATCTGGAGCTCGGCTGTCAAATCCACGATTACTTCGAAAAATTAGACACCTGTTTGAAATGGTCAATTTGCTGAAAAACTACTATTTTTCAAAAAAATTCTATGAATGCAAAGTTTTCAATTATATAACTGTTTTACATCCTCCAAAATTTTCAAAACGGTCGGAAACTTGACAGCCGTGCTCCAAACCCCTGAAAACGGCTAAAAATCAACAAGAAAAAATGTTTTGTGTATCTTATTGATTGGTTCTGTAGCTAGTTTTGTAAAAATTCCCCAAATCTAAAATCTTGATACGAAAAACTGATTTATGTTGTCTTTAAAATAACCTTTTCTTCTTAGTGAGTGGTTTTTTTTTCAGTTCATTCTATGTTTAGAATTGCTCGAAACAAAAAGGAATCAGATTTTTATCTACACTTTTTTCTCCTAGAAAAAGTCAATACAAACATACCCACGAATATTCTGTTTCATGAAATTTAAATTCAAACTTCCTTGTACCATATATTGCACCATTTATGGTTCATTTTCACTAAAAAGCTAACAAGCTCCTCCAAGATATTATAGTTATTCTGAGAATGCCAAATAAGAAAGAATCAAAACCAAAAGACACGAGAGAGATCTTTATTTCCAAATTCAACGGTCCTCTGGTTTTCTCTCAAACAGAAACTTCATGAATTTGCAATCAAACCAAAACAAAACGTTTTTTGCAACTCCACATACATTTTCTGGAACCATGTTCTTAATTTTCCTTCTTCCTCCTCTCCTTCTCCCGCACTTCTTCCATGTGACACATTCTTCTTTATTTCATTAAACTTCTTTACGAGTATTTCTTTTCTTCTTCACTTTCCTTTTTTGTGCACCCGGATGAAAGCCAGATCCGTATCAAATACTTGAATATCTGCGAGAAACAAAAACTCATTTTTCCTTCCTTCTTCCCGCCTCTTGTCTTTTTTGCCTTTTTTCCCTTTTTAATTTGTGCTCTTCCTGTTTTTTTCCCGCCTTCTCCGGCCTTGTCGTCCATTTTCTATCCCGAAATGAAGAGTCAGAATTTTTTCCCGAAAAGCACCGGATATGTTTTTTGCCCGTTTGGAGGTGCATTTCTCTGAACAGATCGGGCATTTCTCTGAACAGATTTTTATCAGAATTGTAAAATTGGTCATGAGACAGTATTATTTCGGATCTTTGACAGAGCTAGGTAGTTAGAAATCATTCCCAAAATTAAGTGATTTGTATTTCAGTCAGACTGAAGAAAACCAAAATGTATTAATTTTCAATATCTGGAACGGAAGAGTGCGCCACCTCCACTCAACAAATACAAATATTTTCTTAAAGGTGGGGGACAGGAGATTAATGCCACTCTGCGTACAGCCAGCGTCCCCGCCTTTATGTATGCAATCGGGCGCCGGGTGCCTTTTTGCCCGCGTGGCTCAGTCGGTAGCGGCGCCGCACTCTCAATCCTCGCCCATGCTAGCTCAACTCCTCGAGGGGCATATTCAGACGGAATTTCGAGAACATTATTTTTTTTTCTTGTCTCCCCACCTTTAAGAACTGATATTCCAGACATTTTTTTATTCTTGTGGCTAAATATCGTAAAGCCTGTAGAAGGGCCCTAGATTTCAACTTTGATTCAATTTTCCTGGTTCCTGTAAAAGATAACAAAAATTGTCAACTGATAAATTGTTCATAATAAAATCAAAAGTGTTTCGTTCTTTGACACATTTTTAATATTTTGCTCAGGAATTAAGATAATTGAGCTCAAACTTGACAGTGTGGGGGCCCTTCTATTAAAAGTTTTAAAGTGGTACATTTTGGTTCCGTTCAAAGTTGACTGTTACGAAAAATAACTCTTTACTGAAATTTTATAAACATACTTTCCAAAGTTCACAAACTCGTTATGTCTCGCCTTTTAACTTTTATGAATGTTTCACAGTTGGTATGAATAATTCATTCGTTAGAAAAGTTTCGAAATATTGAATTTTCTGGTGTCATACTTATCGCGGACCGGGCTAGGTGAAACACCTTGAGTTTTGAAATCAGCAATGTTTGTTTTGGATCTTCCCCAGACCGGAGTTTGACAAGTCTTGTTCTCGGAAACGGATCGTTTTAAAAATTTATAACTGTAAAATTTTTTTTCTGTATTTATAAATTTCTCATTTTTATTGGATTGCTCACTCCTATTCTGAATTGAGTCTTTCCCAAATCTTGACCATTCTCCTAAATTTTCCACCTCTCAGATGCCCTCATTCTCAAATGGTAGTCCATTACACATTGATCTGAGCCAACATCCACATTCTCAAAGTCGCTCAAATCATTCAAATCTAAACAATCATCATAAAGCGGAAACGGAAGATCTGGAGAGTAGTGATGTGGAGAATGCATTGATCATGAACAACGGAGACAATCATTTTTCCACAAATGAACAATTATCTTCTTCATCGGGAAGAAGGTAATTATAAAAAGTACTTTCCAGAGATAATGGGATAAAAATTTAATTGGAAATGAAAATTGGAAGGGTAATTGTTTCTAGGAACTTCAGGAGAAGAATAAAGAACAATGAGATGGATTCACACAGTTCCAAATAAAATGATATTGACCAATACGATTTCCAGGGGTGTCCACTGTGTGTCCAATTCCCTCCGATCCATTCTGTTCCTGTTCCGACTCCTTGCAATTTTCCCAACATCCACAGATAGGAGATCACGAAGGAAGAGGGATCACAAATCAATTATTGTAAATAACACCATCATTCGAAAACAAATCGTATTATAAAATTTCAGAAATGGGTTCTATATCTTAACTACATTGTTCTGGCAGTGCTGCTCAACTCGTTTCTAATAAAAATGAACATTCGGGTACTCATGCTTTACAAGGTAACTCTCAAAAACTGAAGTACACTATTCCTAAATTCTTTAAGTTGAAATTCGGTCTTATGCATACTGGAACTGTTTCATCAATGATCACAGCTACCAAACCAGTCATCAACGTGGTCGTGATTGTCTTGTCAGCGATGAAGTTCAGATCTCATCAGAGACTTTTGAAGGTTTGTTGTTGTCAGAATTATTAGAACAAAAGATGACATGAATACGTATTCATTGAAATAGGTAAAATTCGATGTACAAAAAATCAGTTCGTTTGTTGAGATGGTCCAAATCCAGCTTCTCTCTTTCCGTAGTATCCAGCATAAGCAGATCCATATCCATATCCACCGTAGTATCCATTGTATGCTCCATATCCTCCGTAATAAGATGGATAATAAGAAGAGGTATATCCGTATCCGTAGTATTGAGCACTAGCCTCTTGAACCATGGAGCACATGACGAGGGCCAAGACACAGAGAAGGCTGGAAATGAATTTATATGATAAGGTTTAGAAAAGGGAAACTCACAATTTGGCGTTCATTTTCAAAGTGGAAATTGTTAGAAAAATGAGTAGATTCTTGTTTGAACCTACCGAAAAGTTCCATTTTATACTGCCGCTGTTCTATTTGCTCTGAGTTTTTTTTTGGATTCTCAAACAGTTTCGCCGCAAAATGTGTCAAAAATATAACTGGTAGGATTGCACTAAAATGATCAGATCATTGAGGAAAGTACAACGACTACCGTAAACCTGTATTAGACGGGCCCCTCTAATTGATGGCGCCTCTATTTGAAGTGCTCCAATATAGAGAGCCCACGAAAAATAGAAAAAACCTTCAAATACAAGTTTTACGGCATCGGAAATATTTTCAGACAATTGATATGGTAGATGTGTGCTTTCGAAGTGCATTCGGAGTATCTCCACCTCTTCGAATCTACAAATTCGCGTTCTTCTTTACCTTGTCCATTGTTTTCTCTTCTGCATTAATTCTCAAAGTTGTCGAATTCATCGGAACGGATCAAGTATTCGGAGACCATATTCTCACGGATAGTAGTTTCATTTTGGTGCCAGTTCTGAGTCTCTGGAATATAATTCCACTTCTTTACTATCACCTCTACAACGTTTTGGTTCGTTTCTACTGCCGAACACTGATCAAATCGATGAATCGGGAACACAAAAAACGACACTTTAGCTTGAAATTTTACTATGAACAATTCACAAGAATCACAAATGTACAAGAAGCAATTGGTGACGTCTTCAACCCACTGCTTCTGTTTTCCTTGGCTTGGAGTCTTCTGGTTTTATGTCTCACTATTTATTTCTCGTCAGAGCCGACGTCTACGTAACCGATTTTGTTTTCGGAAATCACAATGAACGTAGAATTTTCAGCCTGTTGGTACCAATTACTCCAGAACAAGTTCAAAATCAAAAAGTAAGAGAGAAGCTAACCATCGCAGTACATGTATCAATCTGTTGGGCCGCCTATCAGGTTATCATGGCAATTCTTCATATTCTTATTATCTGCTCAACGGGAATGATGACTAATGAAACTGTAAGTTTCCTAACAGTTAGCATTTTCAAATTTTATTTTTTAAAAATGTTTTAGACTCGCCAAATCGTCAACGCTGTTCTCCGAATAGTCCCTGATGCTAATGCTGATCTTGACCGCTTCCAAATATCTTGCTTCGTTCATAAAATGACCACACAATTCATGTGGGGAATGACTGTCTGGAGAGCTTTTCCATTGGAACGAACCACTTTCTTCACGGTAGGCGGTTTTAAAGTTACAGGTAATTACCGTAATCCAATTCTAGCTTATCTCTGTCATCGTGACATACTCTCTGTTGCTCTTCCGTTTCAAAGATGATATGCATACAAATCCACCCTATATGGCAGCCATGGCAACATTCAATTCGACTGTTACTTCGACTGTTGCTCCAGCTATTGGATAACTTGTTTTTCGATATTCATTTTCAAAGTTTCACCCGTTTTTCTGGTATTTTTCCATTCGTTCCCAGTTTAAAAATCAACAGGTTGCCCCCATGTTTTTGAAGCAAACTTCTATCAGAGCTTGCACTTTGAGCCAATTTATCTCGATTGCTGTGAAAAATATCAAAAAGTAGCCCACTGACAAAATGTTTCTGACGTTATGATAAACATTTTATCAGTTGATAGCTTTTGATATATTCTATGGGAAGTGAGATATATGGGCGCAAAGAGCAAGTGTATGAGTTTTTTGTAAAATGAATTTTTTTTTTGCCAAATATGTATTTAGAAAAAATAAAACAGTGCATGTGACAAGCTAGATGGGTGAAAGTGGGGGCTGTGAAAAATGTAATAGAATCCAAATATGTGGGGATTTACACGTAGAATCAAGTTGATAGTAAGCAATTGATGTCAAAAACGGACAGTTAAAAATAGAGTGAGTGGTGCAAAACTAAAGCCTAAAGGATAATAAGTTCAACATATTTTTGGGGGAGACATCATATAAAGAAAAACATGAACATTGCGATGAATGCCAGGGAGGAATCTCTTCGAGTTTCGAAATTCGCATTTTCCAGAGCTTTCTTCGCTTCCAGTTCCATTTCTTCTGCCTTCTTCCGTTGAAGCTCTTCTTCATATTCTTTTCTTTGCTTCTCTTCTTCCGCAGCTGCTTGGATTTCAGCTTCTTTCTTTTCTCGTTCTTCTCGTTCACGTTTTCGGGTTGCTGGATCTGGAAGAGAATAAAATTAAGGCTTCCATTTCGTTCAGACTAAAACCACCGACCGCTTGAAACACCCACATTTCAAGATTCTATGATATATCAAAATCCAAAATAGCGCGCTTACCTTTGTATGGCTCATCAGCCACCTGGGTAGCTTTGCTCTTCTTGTTTTTCCCGGATTTCTTCTCAGCAGACGATCCGCCTTTCTCTCCAGAAGACCCTCCACCCATCGTCCCATTTCCAGTTTTAAATCCAGTTCCAGATGCTCCACCAATCCCTCCACCAGTCTCTTTCAGTCTTTGTCTCATCTGAGCAATCCATTCTTCTTTTCCACTTGAAATCTGCTCAACATTCTTTCCGAACTTCTCTTCTGGTGGCGTGTTTCCAATGGCTAAAGTAAAAAAGTTTCAGGCATCGAAAAAAATCAAAACACTTACAAACATCACAATTTTTCCCGCCGAATCCAGTAGCACATTCACAAAAGTAGGTACTGTATCCTTTCGTGGTACGGCAAGTTCCATTATTCAAACAGGGATTCGTTTCGCATGGTCCTGAAACTTTGAACATTTATAAGTTTGTGAGAAAACTAAAAACCCACTCTCATCACACTTTGGTCCTCCGAATCCAGCCGCACAGAAACATTCGTACGACGGCTTCTCATCGACGTCATCATCGTTATATTTTAGCTGACATGTGGCACCATTCATACAAGGTTTCTCAGCACATGGATCAAAATCTGAAGAGAAATCTGACTTTGGCTACAAAAAATTGGTTTGAATTCTTACCAACAACTTTTTCACAGTTATTTCCATGGTAACCAGGTTGGCACTTGCAGTAATGAGTGTCCTTTTTCCAAACAAAAATGCAAGTTCCATTGTGTTTACATGGATTTTTAGCCAGGCAGGTGTCAGTGGCATTGGGTTCTGGAACAGGAAAAATCTTATGAAAAGTTGAAGGGAAAAAACTTACTATAAATATCTCCAATGATCTCCTTCATTTTGAATTTGTCGTTGTTGTGCCATGGCTTTTTGGCTGAAAAAATAATTTTCAAATAATAAAATACCAGTCAGTTTGCCAGGGGGCTCAACCTTCTGGCGTACGCTTACTGTGGCTGATACTTAAATTTCTAATTTCTTAATTTCTTTTTTTACGAATTTTCCGAATTTTTCGAATATATTCCGAATTTTTCGATAACAGGAGGCTCAAGTTTACAAATTTCTGAATATCAAAGGTTTCGAAATTGCTAAGTTCTGAATTTTTCAGTTTTCGAACTTCAAGACTTCAGGATTTCAAACTTCCTCATTTCCCGAGTTTCTCAAATCTTCCAACTTTCCGAACTTCTGAATTTTAAGATGATCAAAAAATGTTCTGTACATATTCTGAAATACGGAACATTTAAATTCCAAAATGTTAAGTTTATTAATTTTTCGATATCCAAAACTTTGGATTCTTCGAATTCCGAATATCTGAGTTTCAGGGTTCCTGACATTCTAAAATTTAAAATTATCAAATTTTCACACTTAAAGAACCAGTATTAAAAACGTTTGCAGAGAAGTTTATGTGAAAGTAAGCATAATTTTAAAAAGTAGTTTGATTCTCAGCCCTATAGGTTCCCGAGCAAGATGAAGTTCCCATGTTAAAAAAATATATGACTTACGATCTTTCTTCGCAGGATTCTCACAGGTGTGCAGACAGGTCAACTCATCTTGGAATATATTCTCATTTTCACCTTTACATCCGTCATACCAAAATGGAAAGCATTTCTAAAACTTTTTTAGTTAATCTGGCTCAAAAATAAAATCCATCTCTTACCTTTGAATTCTTATCAAAATAGTACTGCTGTCGCCATCTTCCTCCATTGCATTCCTTTTTGAGCCCTTCATCGAAATCCTCGAGGCATGCTCCTGAAAACTTTTTGTGTTTTGTTTTATTGTTCATCCTCCCCAAAAAAAAGAAACATTTTTCTCAGAAAAGGAAGTGACAGTTCATCATTCAAAGTCTCGTTCGCTTCTTCTTCTTCTTCTTCTTTTTGTTGTTCTGTTATTTTCCGAGAGAGAAAAGGAGAGAAATCCGAGAAGAATGATGAATAAATGGGTTTAGTGGAGAAAGTTTGAAATGTGAGGGTGGAGAAAAAACATCAAAACAAGGGTGGTTTTTGTTGTCAACTCACTTGATTTGTACATCGGTTGAGATTCACACAACCATTGACATGTCAATTGGTCATCGAAAATATTTCTGGAATCCGAACGGCATCCGTCAAACCAAAATTGACGGCATGTCAAAGAGGCGTGGTCGAAATAGTAGCGTTGTTGCCATTGACCTAGAATTGGTAATATTGGAAAAAAACAGACATTTCAAAAAATCTCACCATTCAAACATTGATTCCGGTAGTTCATGTCAAATTTATCCCAGCATACTTCTGAACGACAATTAATGAATGGAAGTAGTTGAGATAGAAATATCAGGGATATCCTGAAGTCTAAAGAACATCTTCTGTCGTCAAGTCGTCGTCGTTCTCGTCGTCTTCTTTTGACATGATGATTATGTGAGGTGATGCGTCCACGTGGAATCATCTCATCTTGCGAAGGATGATATGGAACGGGACACAACACAATACTCCACGAAGCCTTTTTCTGGGGTTCCATTTTTGAGGAAAAAGTGTTTTTGAGTAGAGAAATAAAAGAAGAATGGAAGAACGAAAATGTATAACTATTCGAGTGATTGGGAAATTCCGGGGTCCTTTTTATGGGACAATGGACAATTTCAGCAAAATGGTTGGGAAGGAAATGGGGTCCGGTATGCAATTTGTATGGGGGCACGAGACGCCATAATTATATAGGTCGGGAACTAACCACTTGGGATTGGAAAATGGAGAAAAATAACATGGTCTGATGGATTCTAGTTTTCAAGAAAGGGCTGAAATTTTCAGTCAACCAATTCAGAGATTTTTGAGGAAACAGAACTACCGTAAAACGTGTATTAGAATGAGCCACTTTAATAGAAGGGCCCCTCTAATAGAAAGGCCCTCCGAGAGAGGCTTGAAAAAATAGAAGATAGTTTTCAATAAAAAAATATTCCGAAAACTTCAAAACTCCGCAAAAAATTATTGAAACACTATTTTTTGTTCACAAAATGGCAGGAAATATAGAAGGGCTCCTCTAATTGAAGAGCCCTGTAATAGAAGGGACCACCGGAGAAAACTCGGAACAATAAATCGGCCGGACCTTCTAATACAGGTTTTACGGTATGTCTAATTATTGAAATTATGCGCCAGGAACACTAAAATTGAGTTCCAGCTGTTTAGAGAAAAAAAGGATTGGAGGTCCTCAACATCAAAAAAAATTCCAAAAAAAACGCCAAAAACTCTAAAATAAACAAGAAAAAGAACGTTGAAGTGACACACTCTTTTGTGACGGACGACATCAAAAAATTGATCAAAACCGCCGCCTTTCTATTTTTCCTCCGAAAAAAAAACTTTTTTAGAGAATGCGTTGTGTTTGTGTTTGGTGCGGTTCGTCGGATGACATCTTCTCATACAGAAAAAAAGAAATAAGGATGAAAAAAAGAGAGAAAGCTGGGAAACCGAGAGTTGGCACGAAATATAGGCCTTCTTCCAACGTCGTCTTCTTTTTTCGTTTCTGACGACGTCTTCCGTCTCAGGGCATCTCTCAACCCTCCGGAGGGACCAAAAACTCGCTCCGTTAACTTTGAAGAAGAAGGAAAAGAAGAAGGCCCTCTGAGAGGGTCCCCCCGTTTATAAGCTTCCCTTTCCTCTCCATATTTTCTCGCGACCCCCTCAACCACTATCTTGACATGAAATCAAAAATCGAATTATATCTGTTTGAGTGAGTGGGATATTTGGTAAGCATCCGATTGCACCCTCATCATTGTCATCAGTCGATTTTGAAATTAGATTTTCCCAAAAAAACGGAGTAGTGGTAATCTTTGAGCCAGTGGGAGCTATTTTTGGCACTATTGAGTACCGAGATTAGGTTAAAATTGTGGAAAATCGGAGTTCATTGGTCTTCAAAAAAATGCGTAGGTCAGAGTTTTGATCTTTCGAAACTGGTCAATTGTTAAGTTCACTCGAAAGCTGTTCTATTTTTTTCTGTTTTTTTGGCATTCCTATGGACTTTTTATTCGCATGAACACACCTTACAGTACAGGGTAGCGCATAATTACCCTGACTTAAGTTTGTACTAACATAAAAATTGAGTAAAGCGTTGTACTGGGCTGAAATTTAACGGCTAAAAATCAAATACTTCATCAATAAACTTGCTAAGGTTCAAATTATGTGATAAACTTTGAGCTGAGTTATAGCTTGTCAAAATAGCTTCATCTCATGACAATCACAACTGTATCCTTGGACAATCATAACAAAACTTAGAATTGAGGAATCGCTTTGAAAATTTCAGTAGCTTAGAATCAAACCTAAATTCATATTCATACAAGTTTTTGTGCATTCAAATCAGTTATGTCTAAAGATATACCTGTTTTTAACAGTCCGGGAAATTGTGTGCCACTCTGTGACTTCTGATTCTTTCAGAATACCAAAAGCCCAACTCCGTTGTTTCAGAAGCAACATTTAGAGAGAAAAAATACTATAAAAAAGAGCAAAAAGTAGAGGTAAACAAGAAACAAACACCACGAGAGCAAATTCCGCAACAACTCTTTTCAAGCGGAACGACCCTGACCACATTCTTCGAACAATGACCATGCCGGAAATGATCCTAGAGCAACGACGTCAAAAAGAAAGTGGAGGTGGCTCCACTACTATGAATCGAGAATAGCAATTACTTTTGGGGGCACGCCTTCTCCGGAAGACTTTCTCAGAAGAGGTGCTGTGAACGGCATTAAAAGAGACGCTAATCCGAAATGCCACTATAGTTTTCAGACAAAAAAGACTTCGAGAAACGGATGAGAAGACGGAAGTAAGGGCTTGTTGAGAGAGACTTTACGAAGAAAATAATGGCTGAGAAAAACAATTTCCTGACGACTTGACGATTCAGAAGTATCCTGGGAATGACTTACCTGCCCTAGTGAGTACATTTGTCTCCTCACACATGGAAGTACAAGTGTCATATTCAGAGAAAATGTTCCGAGAACGACCACGACATCCGTCATACCAAAATTGCTCGCACCTGGAAAACAAACACTTGAAAACTTCAGAATGAGACATGGATTACATTCTTGTCTGATGGTTGAAATAGAAGTGAGGTCTCCAGTTCTCATTACTACATGTGTCCTTGTAGTCGTGGTCGAATTTGTCCAAGCATGAGTCTGAAAAATTACAATTTTTGGTTTTAACTTTACATGATAAATCTCACTTTTGGATACTGTACAGTTATAGCCATTTCCTGCGAACCCGGCAAGACAAGTGCAGATGAAACTGCCTTCTCGATTGATGCATTCCGCATTTTTGTCACAGATTTCTGGACGGCGCAGACATTCGTTCACATCTGGAGTTAAAAATATTACCAATTACACTTCAATGAATTTCAAACCAGTGCAATTAAATCCATCTCCTTCGTATCCTTCTTTGCATTGACAGACTCCACTATTACACGTTGAATGCATAGAACAATCCTTGCAGTCGATTGAAGATCTTCCTGAATATCAAATCAGAAAAATTGACTCTATCTGAGTTTTATGATCCCATGAGATGTTTGATCACACGGATGTAGGTGTGGGTGTTTGGGATGATAGGTCGTGGAACACTAAAAGTGAGATACTGTGAGTTAAATTAATTTAGGATCCTATATTTCTGCAGTCTGGCCAAAACTAGAATAGTTGCCAAAAATCTGTAAATGCAGTTCGATTCTGCATGTTTAAAAAAACCCCCGCGCACAATTTTTGGGAGTTTCATCGTTTTTCGTTCCCGAGGAACACCGGAAAGTCACTTTTTCAGCGGTACAATATGTTTAGGGAAACCCCCCTACAATACCATGGGACCATTGAAACCGTATCGGTCCACTGAAACCCTATGGGAATAAACTCCGATAGAGCCTCTAAATCTACCTAATTCAAACCAACTAACCCAGTCCAACATAGGTACAATGCTTTCCGTCTCCTCTGTACGACGCCATACATTCACATTTATAGGATCCAATCTCGTTGACGCACCATGCATTTTTATCGCACACTGCTTTGTATCCACGGCATTCATCAATATCTGCAATTATATTATATCAGTCATATGCTTGCCGCGCCTCCGGCACTTGTGGCTATTGCATCTTCGGCGCGAGTTGACTTTTGTATTTTACTGTTCGTCACTTTTCAAAAGGTGACCTCAAATTGTATTTGATTTTCAAGCTCTTCGAAAATTATTCGTTTTTTTTAAATATTCACGTTACGCAATAAATAAAAAATCAACAAATATTAGGTCGCACCCCCTCCTACTGTCCACGTTGAAAAATTCCACATATTGAAAAAAAAACAGTTTCTTGTGAAATCGCAAACTTCATTTTTATTACTCGTTGGATAATTTCCACTGGCACTTTTTCACTGGTAAGAAGCTCTTTGCACGCTGCTTATTGTAGTTTCTTGTCTTTCGATTGGTGAAAATGCGAAAAAAGTTATAAAAGGCCCTCAGGGTCGCCATGTTTGGTGGTTCATGGCTAGGTGAATTCATTTTCACTGAACGTCCCCCTTTCAAAATCGATCCAATTAAAGATTCAAAAAAAGAAACATCAATGAGTAGTGTTGTCATAGACTTCTGCCACTGAAGACTTACTAATGGAAATTTTCTCAACAGTAATGGGCAAATGAGCCTAGAAAATGGGGTTTTTAGTTGGTGTTTTCCCCCGGTGAAAAACCATTTTCTCTTTCATGTACTGAGCCTCTACGTGGCGAAAGGGATCAACAGACGAAAGTCTGGCTAATCAGTGCAATATTGAACTTTGTTTTTTTTTGGAACAAATTTTCAATTATCATTAAAAAACATGTTTCCATTGATTTTGACCATTTTCAGGAGTCTCTTGGCAAAATTCGATTATTTGAAATTTTTGTAGGGTTTAAAATAGACCTATTAGGTTGGCTAAAAAATAATGAGTGGCGTGTTTGTCGGAACGTATTTCTCTATCCGGAGAACATTTTTGCTCTCCCTTTTTTTTTTATTCGAAAGAGCGTTTTTTTGCGCATCGTTTGATATATAGTCTCAGTTTGTCATTCTGTTTTTTCAATTGGGAATTCCGTTTAGAAAACGTCGTTCCAAAAAATGCGCGGGAAGGTACAAATTTAAGTTGGTCAAAAATGCCGCGCAAGCTCTTAGTTCTCTCTCAAACGTATTCAAACAAGCTTTTCTATAAAAAATTGATTCGTACGCTAGTTTGAACGTTTTCATAATGAAGATGAAAGCTTGGAAAACCGTGAACACACCGTTCGACTAAAAATCATGGACAGTGAACTGCTGAGAGACTTAAACGAGTCGGATCCTTGTCAAACGACTCGTAGTCTTTCAGAACCGTTTTCTTGTACTAATGGTACCATTGAAAACCATTTGCACAAATTGGAAAGTCGAACAGTTGCAGAAGTTTTTTCCTACAACCACTCCCTCCTCGCACTTATCAGAATTATCCTTCTTTTCTCGGAGAATATCGCCTTTCTCGATTCTTATGTTATGTCGGATGATAAAGTGATTCAGTACGTTAATACTACTCAGAATAGACAACGGTTGTCCCTCGGAGAACCGGCCAAAACAACTCGAAATGAGAGATATACGGAAAGAAAGTAATGCTATGTGTATGGTGGAAGAGCAAGGGTCTTGTATGTTTTGAAGTTCTGGAAAAAGGTCTAACAGCCACTACTGAATTCTATCAATGATAATTGGGCCAAATGCAGCAAGCGTTAAGACGTCAAGGTGTGAATACACCAACGACAAAATTCCTTCATGATAATGCTCGGCCGCATGTGTCAAAAGTCACTCAGCAGAAAATCGAGGAAATGGGCTGGGAAGTTCTCCCTCATCCGCCAAGTAGCCCTGATTTGGCACTTTCACATTTCCAGTAATTCATATCAATGCGACCTTCATTAGCCGAGAAACACTTCAAAAGCCGCGTTGAGACCGAAAAATGTGTGGTCGCCTACTTTGGGTCGCAGCCAGTGGGGTTCTTTCACAGCGGACCCCATTCTTTGCGCGGATGTTGGCTACAAGTAGTTGATAATTATGGCAAATAGCTTTTGAGTTAATCTTGTCTACTTCCTTTTTTATGAAAAATTCAATTGATCATAAAAACAACCATTATTTTTTAGCCAACCTAATAGATTGTACACTTCACATTCATGGAATTTCTGAAAGACACCCTTTTTGGCCCGTTTCTGAAAACGTGAGAAATGTAGGTGTCTTTCTGAAATCTGGAGAAAAGAATTTTCTAAAAATTCTGTGAATGCAAAGTTTTCAATCTAGGTTTGTTTTAGACTCTCCACAATTTTCAAAGTGATCGAAAAATTGACAGTCGAGCTCCAGTCTCCTGAAAATGGTCAAAATACACTGAACGTTTTTTGATATCTTTTCGACCGGTACTGTATTTTTTAAGTTGCAACAGTTTTGCTAATCATCTTTATCATCTTTATTAATTGATCTCCTAATTTTAAACTGTATATCTACCTACCATTCTTATAATAAATAAATGAAGTTGCGTCCTTTTATTTATCTACCAGCCATCTGTTTGCCGCGTCTCTGGCGCTTCAAACAGTTGACTGTTGCGCCTTCGGCGCGTTTCACTGTTTTCTTTTGGTTCTTCGCTTCTATCCTTTTTCTATTTCTATTTCTCAAAGGATAGAATATCTACTCCACCCTCCCCATCTTCCCGTGTGGTCCTCATGGCTCAGCTGTGTACGTGCGCAGTGTGGTGCGGAAAGTGCCGAGTTCAGTTTTGCTGGCAGCCACACTCTTATTTAAAAATCCAAAAGATGACAGCCGGACAGGGGGACCAACAGGGGCGTCTAGGGTTTTATATATAAGGAAGATCTTTTTTCTGAAAATTATTGTCTTCTGGTCTCCATACCGATGCACTCTCCATATTGGTTCTTCTCGTATCCACTCCTGCATTCACAAGTATAATTGAATTTTGAGTGAGATTTACAGAAGGAAGTTCTCAAATCACATTGATCGCAAGCTGAAATACTGATTGACACATTGGCTATCCTTCCCTATCTTACCAATTTGAGGAGAAAGTCTTTCAGCGCACACTTTCCTGCACATGTGCAAACTATAGAACTTGTTATCATTCCCTCCACACCCATAATAAAAGAACTTCTCGCATTCTCCAGATTCCTGGTTGAAAAAATACCACCAATGACCATTTCGTTCATCTCCACAGTGTCCTTGATCAGCATCCAGGAGGCAGAGATCTGAGAAGGTATTCTCTACTTTGTTCAGTGTATTCAATTTGTGAACTCTCTCTTGTGCACTTCTACCAGTTATAATTTTTGACACATTTAGCAGCGAAACTGTTTGAGAGCCCAAAAAAACTCAGAGCAAATAGAACAGCGGCAGTATAAAATGGAACTTTTCGGTAGGTTCAAACAAGAATCTACTCATTCTTCTAACAATTTCCACTTTGAAAATGAACGCCAAATTGTGAGTTTCTCAATTTCCACACCTTTCCTATCATATGAATTTATTTCCAGCCTTCTCTGTGTCTTGGCCCTTGTCATGTGCTCCATCGTTCAAGAGGCTAGTGCTCAATACTACGGATACGGATATGCCTCTTCTTATTATCCATCTTATTACGGAGGATATGGAGCATACAATGGATACTACGGTGGATATGGATATGGATCTGCTTATGCTGGATACTACGGAAAGAGAGAAGCTGGATTTGGATCATCTCAACAAGCGAACTGATTCTTTTATAAATTTCCGAAATTGACTTTCTCAATGAATACGTGCTCAATCAATTCTGTCTTTTGAAAATCAAAACTGAGTTTTAGGTCAATAACTTTATAAAAACATACGGAAAGATACTGTAGAAATGAGCGTTCTTAAATGCCATACTACTCAAACACCCGCATTTAATACCTGGAACCGCCACAGGATTGAACATTTTGTACTTGCACTGCTTGACACATTGTTGCTTGGAAGAGAATCTATTTTTGGTCCCCATACATCCTCCATAATGGAATTCCTTGCATTCCTCGGCCATTTGATCCCAAAACCATTGAACTTGATAGTACTGGCATGGTCCAGGATCGACATCTTCCAAACAAATGTCTTCATTGTCTAGAAGGAATTGTTTTATCGAAATTTGAAAAACACAGGTGCTTACTTTTTACGAAAAGTGGTTCATCTTTCGAATGAACTTGATTCAAAAATACGAAAAAGAAGACAAAAAGTGTGTGGAATTGTAGAAACATTTTTGTCATCAATGAAGATCGAGAAAAAAAAGAAGAAGGGTTGGGAGAAGGAGGGGACGAAATCAAAAATGCATGGATCTTCCACCCCATCATCATATATGTATTCATACGGTTTTTTTCTGTTTATCGACCCCTTCTTCTTTTTTCATTGATGTTTAGAAGTGTGAATACTTTATCAGTTCTCGATTCTTTCTATTTTGGAAGGATACACTTTTTTCCAGGAATTAAACAGGGAAGTAGTGCAGGAAAACTCAATCTTGTAACTGTTTTAGATCTTTGGTGATCTGTGATGATTCTCAATCAGCAAATGATCCAGTGGGGGAACAAACCCAACAATTCAAGCGTACAAAATTCAAAATTTCCAAGTATTTTTGTTTCCTTTCCAATGGTCCCCAATTCTTTTTGCCAATTCTTTTTTCACTATTCTATCCAAGATGACGTGGAATACTGATGCCGCTGTTCTGAAAAGAGCGGAAAAACTTAAAAGAACGATTCCCTGGCTGGGATGGTCCATCATCGTGGATGGCACTTACGCGGTATTTCAGAAAAGACATGGTTGATATAGAGAGAGGAGATTATGGGCCAGGCAGTGTTTGTTCGTTCTTGGGACACCTTTTAACTGTATGGCATGGAGTTCCCACCTAAACGAGCAGAAGACGACACATGTCTGGTGATGAGAGAGTATGGGATTGGAAAAGAGCAGAGACTGACCAATCTAGAAGTTGAATCATAATACAGATCTCGCAACAATACGTACAACAGAAAGAACAAATGGGAAGGCATAAATGACACTTATGTGGGATACGGTATGATCAAAGTGTTAATAAATTTTGTGAAATGATGACACTAGACTCCAGATGACGATTCCAAGAAATCCCTAACTTTCAGTAGTCCAATTTTATAACAATTTCACACCGTTTCAACTTTTCAACTATGATTGCATAACCTCTTTGAATGAGCCGCGATCCCAATAGTTGCGCAATTTCACATTGAAAAAACCATACATTTAATATCTGGAAAAACAGCAATTCGACATTTTTGTGGTTTTAATGTTCCCGCTTTTTAAACGAGAGCACAGAACATGGGTTGAACTGAAAAAGGGATGTTGAAAGTCAGAACTTCAGTTTGAGATCGAAGTTGTCTCTCTCAGGTCTGAAGTATTTTTCAATGATTCGCGAAATCCTTGTTCTCTTCCTCCGGATGATCCCTAACGATTGACAATTTTTCTTTTTCACTATTCTACCCAGGATCACGGAGAATTGCGATGTCGCTATTCTGAAATGAGCGGAAAAAACTTCAAAGAATGGTTGTCTGGCTGGGATGGACCATCATCGTCGATGGCACTTGTTTCAGAAACGACATGGTTGATAAAGAGAGAGGTATATGCGCCCACTCAGTGTTTGTTTATTTTGTTAGACTCCTTCTATTGTATGACACGTAGTCAACACCTAAACGAACAGAAGGCGTCGTCGCATGTCCTTCGTTGAGATAAACGTTATGAAATGATGACAAAAATATCATTCAGCGAGATTTTCAGAAGTCCGAAAATTTCTCACCATTTCAATTTTTCCAATATGATTGCATAACCTCTTTGTATGAGCCGCCACCCCAATAGTTGCGCAACTTGTCATCGAAAAAACCCCATTTGGTTTTGTGGAAGAAATGCAATTCGACATTTTCATGGGTTTTAATGTTCCCGCTTTTTTTTCAAAAGTGTACAATCACCACTTCAAGATGGTGCGAACTGAAAAAGAGGACCAGATATTCAGAACTTCTTTTTGAAATCCAAGAAAAGTATAGTGCAACTGCTAGGTTTTCGATTTGAAATATTTTCGAAGTCCTTTTTCTCTTCCTTCCGGATGGTTCCTGACAATTGCATATTCTTCGTTTACTGAGCTACACAAGATGACGTGACAACGTCACTCTGAAAAGAACGGTAAACTTCAAAACAATTGGTTTACTGCTGGAATGGCAAGAATGGCACTTCGCGGTAGTTATGAAAAGAACTTATTGAGGAGATTATGCACCCCCATCCAATGTTTATTTGTTCTTGGGGCACCTTTTAACTGTATGACATGTAGTTGCCACCTAAACGAGCAGAAGGTGTTGCATGCCTGGTGGCAAGAGAGTATGACCTATCGAAAAGTGGTACCATAATACTGACCTCGTAACGAGCAGACGTACAACAGGCGGAACAAACGGGAAGGCATGAATGATATTAATGTGGGTACGGTAGGCGAGGAGAGGGGTGCTTGGGGTGATTGAGAGTCGATGAAGTTTTTGAAAAAAATATTGTGCTTGAAAGGGAATAATTGAACATCACACTGCGCAGTGTTTAGAAAAGCGTACACACTGAAAATAGTACTATCTGAAATTCAATTCTGATTTTTCTTCAGCTTCCTTGATTTGGGTTCGGACGATATGTCCAATTTCCAATTATTATTTATTTCGGAAAATCTGTTTATCTTGTTATCTAATTTATTAAATTTTTTAAATTTCTCATTCTTAAGATTAAGCCTGCAGATAAGATATATTTCTCAAATTTCAGATTTTACAGATACAAAAGATGAAAGAACAGTTATCTTTTGATTAAATCTTGCACTCCGAACGACTCATATTGAATGACTCATGTTTCAGATGAAGCCACGCCTACTGATTAATCATTGGGTTCTGGTCATTGTCACCAGGCCGTGTTGTTTTTGAGAGGTTTTCACCAAACAGTTTCAAAATCATGGATTTCGCTTCCTTGCTCGGTTTGAGGTCCACCACTATGTACATCATCGTTTTCGGACTCCAGGGAACCCTTTCCCTCAGATACTTGGTAGAGAAATTTTGATGATTATATCTAAACCCTTTTGTTCCAGAAGTCGCTGATGGTTAGCTCGCATCCGTCTCTCGGATTGAACAAGACACAAATTGCAATGGTGATTGCTATCCTGGAGAATCGTCCAATCGATGTTCTGATGCTTGGAGGATCTCGTGATTTCGAGGATGGGGAAGACAAGGAAACCGCTGAGTTCATTATCAATCGTGCTGTGGAGATTCTCATGGCGGAAGGTACGGTTTCCTAACTTTAGACGTTGGAAGGCATTTTTATTTTCAGGATACGCAGGAGGTCAGGATTGATTCTGGATGCTTTGTAATGAAAGAATTTCATTGATTATGTAATTTTTTTTTCGATTCTGTGTTTCATGTTTCAAAAGTTAAGTTTTAATAAAAATTTCAATAATCTGTTGAAATTCTTGGTTTCATTCTATTCATAGAACGGGCAGGTCTGGATTGACCTTAATTTAAAGAAAATCATTCAAAAAAGAAGGCAAATAAATTGCACCTCTTTGATCAATTATGACAGCTGTGCTCTGAAGTATGGTCATAAATCATATCGACAAATTCTTGATGTGGTCAATAACAACTTAGTGGTGTCAAAAGGCATACGGTCGTAAATTGGGGGTGATTAGCGCAATGGCTCCGAGGAGAGGATCCCCACCCTCCCCACCCCTCATGTCTTCTGTTCATCCCAGTCAGGTCATCCCATCAGACAAGTCAGTGCGTCTTCTTCCATCTTTATCCAGTGCAAAATGAGCGGGTGAGTTACCGTAATTTTCTCCGAAATGTTACAATAAGATTGTTTTTCAGGGTCGCAGATCTTACGGAATTCATTTTGACAGCGTCAATCCTCCAACCGAATTCTTCAATCGACCAGATCAAGGATATCGTATCCCATATTCCGATGGCTAGTACTCTACGAAAGAAATGCGAATTGGCGATTGCTTTTAGAGAAGGAAGGCTCACCAATATCATGGCTATTGGAAAATCAATGATGGGTCTGGAAATCTCCAATGGAGATGAGAATCTTCCGGTGCAACAGGTAAAAAGTTGATAGCAGATTTGGAACTTGAATTAATGATTACAGTATGTCGACTCTCCAAATCTTTCTAATGTAAGTCAGAGAAATTCACTTCAAGAAAAAGAAAAGCGGATTTGTTTGAGTGTAAGTCGTCTCAATGAGTGTCTAAATTCCATTAACACATTTCAGCAAACAGAACGCAATTTTGTTTTGGAAAAGATGAATGCAAAAGATGGAGCCCTTTCCAAAGAAGAGAAAATGGAAATTGCAACTGCTCTTGGTCATACCTATCGTCGTGTGTCTAATCATATCACAAATGTAAAAGCTATCCGGTAAGAGATGACATTCCTTTTGAACGTTAAAAAAATCAAGTAAACATTTTCAGCAAACGAAAAATCCGAAAGCAGGAACAGAAAGAGAAATTGGATTCAGTTTCGGAAAACAGTTCTCCAATCGACAAGATCAAGGATATCGTATCTCAAATTCCGATGGCTAGCACTCTTCCAAAGAAATGTGAAATGGAAATTGCTTTTCGAAAGGGAAGACTCACTGACATCATGGCCATTGGAAAATCGATGGTGGGTCTTGGAATCTCCAATGGAGATCAGAATCTTCCGGTGCGACAGGTGAAAAGTTGATAGCAGATTTGGAATTTGAATTATTGATTACAGAACATCGCTTCCCCAGTTCTTTCCAACGTTTCTCAAAGAGATTCACTTCAAGAAAAAGAACATCGGATTTGTTTGAGTGTAAGTCATCGAAATATATTGTAATCCGAATTATTGATTACAGAACGTCTATCCCCCAATTCTGACTCTGGGAGATTTACTCAAAGAGAAAAAAAAATACGAATCGTTTAAGCGTAAGTTTCCCAATAGATGCCTAATTCCCATTGACATATTTCAGTTTTCGGAACGAAGATACATTTTGGAAAAGATGGCTCAAAAAGATGGAAACCTTTCGAAAGAAGAAAAGGCGGTCATTGCGATGGCTCTTGGTCTTACTGATCGTCGAGTTTCTAGATATATCAATGATGTGAAAGGTGCCCGGTAAGAGACAACATTTACTGAACGTTTTGAAATCAATTTATCATTTTCAGCAAGCGAAAAATTCAAAGGCAGGAGCAGAAGGAAAACCTGGATTCAATTGTGGAGAACAGTTTGGACTACGACGCATCTTACTGACTCTACCAGCGGTATCTTGTTTTATCATTCCAATGTTTCACTCCCATTTTCTTCCATTCCCTGCGAGATGATGATCCTTGATAATTTATGTTTCAAAGTTCTACATTGCTTATAATCATATCGTTTTCCTGGAACCGTATTATATTCCTTTTCTTTCCATTATTTTATTCAAAATGAAAACATTAACTCGGGAGATTTTTCTTCATATTTCAGAGGTAATATAACCTGTGAACCCCGAAAGTGTTTTTTCCTTCCAAACGGGCACATGTATCGGATTGCGCAACGGAGTATATCTGCTAACAAGTTGAAGAATTGCGCAACGAATGATATACTCACTTGTGTCATTATGCCTTCCGAGCCATGATGGTGCAAATTGCGCAATAAGCACTAAAAAGGTTTGGTGACTCATCAGTTGAGAATATAACACTCCAAGCTGTAGAAGGCAGTAAGCCGAAATTTCCAAAATTGTTGACAAATTAAATATGGCAAATCTTCACTAGACACTAATGAGAGAAGGTATGATAGATGGGAGAAACGTTAATCCGCTTATTAGAACCTGGAGAACGAGACTAGAATTGTGGAAGAGAGAGTTAGCCACCATCGGATACTGTCATGTGGAAATGGCATATTCAGATTTGTTTTGAATCAAAAACAATTTTTTCAGCTCCTCGAAACGTTCGAATATAACGTTCGAATAGAAATGGTTCCAATGGTTGTGGTACATCTTCCTCGCTATTAGCTGTCCAATTCCCACTAAAAAGTAGAAACGTCAATATAATCGTAGTCTAAAAATCATATGATCTTCCCTATGTAACCGTTCTCAATCATTACTGTTCTTGTTTTCCTCCTGTTCGGTATATATGCGAGCCTAGCCGAGCCCCTTTCTCCTCCCTCCTACGAGAGGGGCGTGGCTTGGTACATCTTTCATACACCACCAGACGTTCCCGGAGGCACAATAGTGGGCGGAGTCTCCGCCCATTTCATCACCAGTTAGGTGTCATGACTTCACTTGACAGTTTCTTCTTGTTCTCCCTTATCCTACTCATTTTCGTCGTCTGCTGGATCTGAACACATGTTCGTACACAGCTGTGGCCAAGCTGTGGCAAAGTCGCTATGGCAGGTGGACAACATTTTTGTTATCATTTTTTGTTCTTCCCTCTTCGTCTTTTTTTTCTTCATTGTTATGAATGCAAATTCTATTGTACCTTTTTTACAGATGGCGATGAAAATCAAGCAAGAAATTATTGAGGAAGAGGTAGCAGAAGTTCCTAGAGTGAGCGTGAAACAGGAAGTCGTTGAAGATGGGGGGTTCTGGATGGCGCATGGTGAAGGAGCCACTGTTCCGAATCATGTGGAGCACAATAATTGGAATCAGAATCTCACGCAGCACACACCAACCAACTTGCTGATCCCAAAAAAAGAGTCGTCGTGTCCGAACCTGATTGCCGTTCTCTCTGGGAAGGCTCCCAGAGAGCCAAGGACAAAAACGTCGCCCGTTTTCAAGTCGCCGAAGCCGTACACCAGGAAACAGCCGAAAAATAAGAGTGAAACCAGAATCTCCGAGGAACAGACCATGATCCACATTCGGAACGTTTACGAAATGGAATTTCACAACTTCATGTTCTATGCTTATAGAAGTTTTTATGGCTACCAACAACACATTCCATTCCCACTTCCACCGGTGAGTTCAACTGTCCGTATTTTTGATTCAAGCTGTCAATAATTGTTCACTGGTGTTCATTAAAAATGTTCAAACTTTCAGAATGTGCACCCTTCATGGCTCTGAAGCAGGAATGCCACCAAAGATGAGCGGAATTCCTTTGCCGTCTTCCGGATTTAAATATTTACTCCTTCTTTCTTTTCCTGAATTGTTTCCTCTCTTCCGGATACTTACAACGAGTTCTATTTAAAAAATTTAAATTTTAAAAATATTTTCTAACTGTTGTTCCTCATTTCTTCTTCCCTTTTCCGGGTTTTTTGTTCTTTATTCCTTATTTAGGATTTTCAATTGGTTTTTTTTTCATTCCGCGCCGTCTCTGCTGCCACTTCTCTTTCCCGAATATAGTTATAGTCTAGTTGAATTATAGCTTGGTTAAAGTTATATTTTCCAATTTGGTATCTGTTTTTTAATAAATAGTTTCATCTTCTAAAAGCTACTCATATTTTTTTTTCCATTTTGGATAACGAATCCGGCGCTTTCTTTTTTTAAAACCTTTCCAGATAACCTTTCAGTATCATAAGTTCGTGGGAAACCATTTGGCCTTCATAAAAGTTGTATGCCTGTCCGAAATCAATCCCTTTTTCGATTCAACCCGCTTGATATTGTAGGTTTCTCACGATTTGCTTATTCATGTCGCTTCTTTCATAGTCAAACGGGTATTGGTTGTTGATAGCTATGCAAATTTTTTGCACATCGTGCCTTTCTGTAGCTCATTTGCCGAAAAACAGATGATGTGGAACTGATATATTTGGTACTTTCGTTTATATCAATCAATACAGTTCTGATTATCCATATCCTAATATTTCAGACCAAATGATCCATCATAATGCAAATGCTTTCAACAATCTAGATAAACACAGTGGTGAGAGTTATACTTGATTTCTGAACCATTCCAATTATTTCTAGGACTTAGTTGGGATAATGCTGAATTTCTTCTACGATGGATACTTCAAAATCATCACGAGTACCTTCAAAATAATCACGAGAAGGAAAAATTGAAATCTATGCCAGTGGAAAAAACAATCGACCTTGTATGGCAATTCTGATTGTGAGCGCATTGTCGCAAGTTTTGAACTGTTAGGTGATTTCTAATATTTCTTCCCTAAAATCCATCTATTTTTCAGGCGCCTAACTGTTTTGAGCCATCGATGTGGTCTCAAAATTTTCAATCATTCTTCTTGGATCTTGAGCGAAACGCAGTCGTTTTTCGGTTAGTTACTTTTATCTAAAATTCTCTGGATATTGTGTGAATTGGAAACTTTCTAGAACGACTTCTACGTTTAGAACGAAGTTTAGAACATTTATGGGATACTGTAGAAAAAATACTTCTTGAAAATGTTGCTGTCATAGAAATAGAATAAGATGACGTGCTGTTTTCTTCAAATTTCTTATTTTCGTCTTGTGCCTCTTCTCCCAAAAAACCCATTACAGTATCTCTATTTATGACGGAGAATCTTGCACGATCCGCTCTTCTATTTGCTGACCCTTCGGCCCTCTCTCATCCTATCCCATACCAGTCGTTTTCGTTTCTTTTAAATTCAAAAAAAGAAACGATGCGTTCACATGTGCACCACCCAGCAGCCACCGCACCTACCACATTCATTCGATGTGTCTCTTCCTTTTCTTTTTCGTCCATACCCCTTTTTTGTTTCACATGTGTCCCTTATTCCAGCTGCAGAGACAAATTTTCTGCGAGAATAAGCTATAGGTAATAAGCTTTTCGATGTTTTCTGGTTGTTCTTTTTCTAGAAAAATGATTCTGAGAAAACCCAAAAAAAAATGCCGAAGCTGGATACAGTACGGCCTGGATTTTGTGCTATTCCTTTACCGATTAAAGCGAGAACCCAAATAAACAATTTTTCCTGAGAATTAACGAACTTCAATGATCATATTTCGTTTATTTCTTGACCAAATTCCATTAAATTAGAAATTCTGAATCCAGCGTTTCGTGAGCTCTCAAATAAGCATAAACATGACATAGTTGGAACGCAAGAGTGAATATGACGCACTGCTAGCTACGCGATCACTGAGAAAAAATCTTTGTAGTCATAATCGCAGTACTTTGTTTGGATAACACAAGCGTTTGTTCCATTTTTATGATCACTAATAGTGAGGTGTTTCTAAATAATCAGAAATCATATTTGAAAAAACCACAGTTGATATGCATTTCTCTCACATTCATCCCATTTCCATTTGTTTTTTTCTTCCTCCGGGATCTTTCCTTCCATACAAAACGAACTTTTTCTCAGGTAATGCCTGACCATATTGCTCACAATTTAACCGAACCATGGTTTCTTCTAACGCCGAAAGAATGGATTGTACCCAAGATGGAGGAGATTCGAGTTCTGATTGCTCCTGAATTGGAAACTTCTTCTATTCAAGGGACGTCCCAGGTATTGCTATAATTATCTCTGATTCGTCAGATCATCCATTCAGAGAAATATTTCAGGAGAAATATCAGAAGCTCGGATTCTTTTTCCTCAGGTCCTTCCTGAGAAAAATTAACAGCGGAGTGAACCAGTACAAGCTGAGAGACATCTATGTTGGGATGATGGAATGGACTATTCTCACCGAGGTAAAAATGATAGAATACCGTATTTGCTCTAATGAGCTCACTTATCTCGCTTTCTTCAAAAGATATCAGAATGTGGTCAACTGATAAATTTTTCATCATAATATCAGCCACAATTTTATCAGTTGACATATTTTTAAATTTCTAATAAAAACCGAGATAATTGAGATTCAAGAGTGCGTATTGCTCAGGCTTCTATCACAGCAAATACAGTAGTTTTTCAAGTTCGTTTTAATTACAGAAGATAAAAATGAGCGAAGAGAATATTCAATCCGCTGTCAACACCATCAAATGGATAACGCAGTTGGAACTGAATAAGGATGTTTTAGCCAACCTATATGACAAATCCAAGTTGATGGCGAATGGGGAGGAAAACAAGACGGAAATCTGCATATTTGCTCTTCTCAATACCTTCACCCAAGTGACGCTGACACACAGCTGTGTGGTAGGTTAAGCATTCGTCCGAAACATTCTCGAAAATTTTCTTTCAGTTCCACCAGCACCTCTGTTGGGTTCCATGCTTCAGCTATGTCTTCTACAACCACTTCCTCTCAGCTCTCTCTGTTGGGATGGAATTGCAGAAGAGAGATGATGCGTTGAATATTATTCCGTATGCTTTAAGTCCACCATCTTCCCGCCCATCATCTTCCAGCACACCGGTGCCGACCAATCGACTGCGGGCACCATCGAAAAGAGGCAACTTTCCGGTAAGCATAAAGAAAAGTCCGGTTAACTTGTCCAATCCCAAATTCTTTACAGGAGCACGTCAGAAAAATATTAGATGAGCTATTCAAGCAAACTGATGGTCAGTTTGAACCGAATGAACTAGCAGTGCTGGCTGATCGTTTCAAAGATCACATGACACTGCATCAAATTCGTGTCTACTTCAAGAATATGAGAGCCAAGAAGAAGAAGAGAATGGAGTGTGAGCAGAGTCTGAATGAGCTGCTGGTTTAGGTCCGAGATGTGGATTGCAATTGATAAAGTTGCTCGGTTTTTTGTTTTTAATAATACACGGTTCTTGTCTTGAATGAGCGATCTTTATATTGGAGTTGCGTTTCTTATCACTGTGATTATATTTACTTCAGGAGATTTTACGATGATTATCTTTGTCATTTCAAGAATCATTTTCAAAACCCCTTTCGAAGCATGGACTCTCCCGAAAGCAGTCTTCCGAGTCTCATAGAAGATGATTCTCCTCGTTTTCAGTACGTCACTATAAACTGGAACAGTGGCTGCAAGTCTTTTGGAATCCCAAATGTCGGCTCTAAATTACTGAATCCGATCATTGTGATTTTTTAGGTTGAAGTTATTGAAATTGGAACTGAAAGTCAAAAGGATGATGATTACAGTCTGACAACGTCTTTCAGTCATAAATTCACGAACCATACACCGGATCTTGAAATGAGTTTTGTATGAGCAAAAATGAAAGTTATATAGGATCAGGAACACATTTTCAGGATTGGTGGAATCCGCCTGGATTCTCAAATCACTACATTTTCTTGCCGGATTCAGGAGTACGTCTGAAATTTCCTCGATAAATGTATACAGTAAAAAGTTCAGATCTATGACAAATTGATTTCACAACCGTGGACATCCCCGTCGACTGAGTTCCTGAGACCAAAATACGTTTCAAATGGACTACCGTTGGCCTCCATGTTGACTCCTTTACGGAAGAATTTAAAATTGATCAAGGTTAACATTGAAGAAAACTTATTAAATTTCCAAGTAACAGTTTAGAGAGTTCCTACCAGCGAAATCGCAAAATACATAAAACCGGAGGATTTGGAGAAGAAGTGGGTACAAGCATTTAAAGACTTCTCGACTCGATGGATGCAGATGGAAAGCCCACAGTGTCTAAGAGTAGACTTCAGATCCTATGGCGCAGTTTCAAGAAGGCTCACAAAATCAAACTGAATTCCGTTTATAATTAACCTCGTTCTAGTGTTGTTAACTGTTTGAAAATAAAGTTTAGATTGAAATTGATAACAGGTAGATCAGAAAATATTTTGATCTATATTTTGAACCGGTTGGTTTCAGTTTTCTCGGTGTTTCAGTCACCTAATTTCTATCGTTCCCATTTTTTCATATTTTTTAAATCTTCTTCCTATTTCCAAACTTCTGAATTTCAGCACTATGTCATCTCCGGATGTCTACTTTCTGAACCTCTTGACGACTACACACTACGAAAGAACCATGGAGAATTTAAAAACGGAACTGATACCCGTCATGGAGAAATGTTCTTGGTTTGCAAGACAAGATACAGAGGTGAGGGAGCCGAACCTGGAAGAAAACCTGTAATAGAAGGGCCCCATACCGTTAACTTTGAGTCCATTTATCTCGGTTTCTTCGAAAGTTTTCACATAGTTGTTAACTGATAAATTGCTTATCATAAAATCAGAAGTATTTTGTCAGTTGGTAGCTTTTTCATATTTTGGACAGGTACCGAGATAAATTGGCTCAAAGTTAAAAGTTAGGGTGCCCTTCTATTACAGGGTTTACGGTATTTTCAGAATGTTTTCAATGCGAAAGCCAGCAAATTTTTATTTTATAAAATCTTTCAGACATCATTCAGCCATCTCTTTCGAGCCTTCCGTGAAGCATCCGTCGTTACTTCTCGCAATGAAGGAGACATCCAACTGTTGAACATCATCGGGAATATGTTGAAACATATGCTGGAAAACCTGGAACTATCCATTAACAAATCGGGCGACAGCGATCGAGTTCCATACTCGCAGTGGTTCATCAAGAAATTCGATTTGAACTTTGTCGATTCACTCCACAATCAATACGTCCTTCAGCAAGATACAAGACATGAGTGGCACGATTTGTCGATGTTGAGTGCATTCTGCCAAGTCAACTATAAGGTTAGCTTTTTTTTGGATACTCGTTGGGTAGATCAAATGTTTCGGTTTTAGATTTTCCCCTTACAGATGAGCATGAAAAATTATTTTCTCGAAGTTCCATTCATACAAGCGACCGCTCTAGCTTTGCTCGCGTGGCTCAGTCGGTAGCGGCGCCGTACCTTCAATACTCGCCCCCACAAGTTCAACTCCTCGAAGGGCTTGTATGAACGAAATTTCGAGAGAAATTATTTTTTTTAATGTTAAATCATTCATTAAATTTTGCAGTGCGACTATCCAATGACATCAAACGAATGGGCGATTCGACTCTCCGCCTTCTGCGTGCTATTTTTCAAAACCTTCATTCACATCTTCAATGAAATCTTCGATTGAAAAGGACTCTATATCTTGCCTGTAATAGTTGTTATTACTGTAATAATTCGAATGATATTCGGCCCATCTTCTTCCCATCATGTATTGCTTTTTACTAATGCAATTTTTACCCTTCATTTTCCCCATCTTGTCTATTTTCTTTTAAAGATAAAAATTCAGTTTTTTCTAACAAGGTTTTCTCTGATTGCTAATCACTATAAGTAACAAACAACGTGACGAGAGTCAATTAACATGTAATTGATATCACTTTTTGGTTACGATTATCGCTTTATCAAAAAGTTACGTCATCTTCTTCAGTGTAAAAACTGCAAAAGAATGACTTTTTGTTGAATAAACACCTACGCTTCTGAAATAAGTGACATTCACAGTTTGGGTTCTGTTACAGGAGTGATAAGCAAAAGAAGGGGGTACTGTAGTATGGTAGTTCGAAAAATCGAAGCCATGGAGGAGAAATGCCGGGAGCCGTGGCCGAAGATCCCACAACGAAGACTACTGTACCGAAGCCTAGAAAAGCAATGAAAACCTACAAAATAAATGAGAAAAATAAACATATTTTAGGTTACGGTAGTTGTCGTTGTGGGACATTCGGCTACGGTAGGTTACGGTAGTTGTCGTTGTGGGACATTCGGTTACGGTAGTTGTCGTTGTGGGACATTCGGTCCGATTTTTGTACCAGAATAATACTTTAGCTGATACCATTTTTATTGGGTCAGAGTGTTCCATTCAGAGTATTCATTCGGAGAATTCCACTTTTCTACTTTCTTGTTATGTCAATTGAAGATTTTTGTCTCCTAATTGATAAAGTGTGCACTAGAAACTTCTACAATCAGTTCCTTTAAAAATCACAAGACTTTTACAACTGTTTACTTCAATTTCAATAATTTTCCAATAAAAAAAATAGTTCTTCCATATTTGGGTGCATCAGAAGTAGAACAGAATGTGGTGTTATCATCGAGTCAATTATGAAATTTCGTGATAATAATATAAATCATGTTTCTAAAAATAGAAACATAATTTGCAAGGGTGCGGCTTTTCGGGGCAACAGGTCAACTTCTTTTTCCAGCTTCACATACCGGACATTTCTCGTATGTACGTCATTTGACCGTTCGACTGATAAGAGAAATGATTTATGAGGTCTCTAATTGATAAACAATATTGTAACACCACTACTCGTTTGGATGCTCAAGTATAATCCATTTGCGTCTCTTTCTCCGAAACCCACCACATTTCGTTCCGTTATCTCTTTCAGGGGTTAAACACACTTCAACAGAAAAAAGTGCCCGTGATAAGGACATGTTAAAGTGAACTACAAGGTGATAATCGAATCAATTTTATTTCAGGCAGTTGCTCGACTCTCTTCCTTCTCTTTTTCTCTTTCCATTTTTACCTGATTAGACGGGCAGGGCGGAGCCACACTCTTTTTTCCAACAGTTTCTGTTTCATTTTCCTTGATTTTTTTTCATTGGGGACGGTCGGGCATTTTTTTTAGTAGCTCTAGGTTACTGTAGCCGTTTTTTGTGTGTAGTGGACTGGTTTAAATATTCGATGATATTATTCTAGTACGCTCGAAAATCGAGAAAATGAATCCGGAAAACAAAACTGGTACTTGTCTTTGTTGAACCTGCAGCCATCTGCGTTTCTCTTCTACAGATCTGATTTTTTGAACCATAATGATACCGTTTTGTATGAAAATCGTCCAGTCATTATTCTTCTATTTTCTGGAAAATCGCCTGAGATTCCTGTCAGGAGTGATTTTCCGTTATTCACCATTATCCTCTTCCTTCCTAATTTTCTCAGTCATTCCATTTCTCCAGATGACTGCCCGAACAGAAATCGAGCACCGCAACCTCTATTACAAGCGCCGTTCATCGTGCAGTGGCCTTTACAAAAGTGAACCAATGAAGGTTTGTGCCACACTATAAATGATCAATGATTCCTTTTTCTCCTACCGAAAGTTTCCAGAAGGTTTCTTTTTATCAGAAAGATAGAAATTCTAGGGAGTGGAAGCTGATTAGTAGGTCAAAGTTTTCTAACGATAACTACATTAGTTTTCAGGGAGTGTAAGCCTGTCAATGACAGCGAATAAGGGGTTTCCCGAAATTGAAAATATAAGTATTATACGAAAGACTTTCCTTTTCAGACCCGATCAGCCACATCAGCAACTACAGAAGGAGAAACAAGCGCCGCCCGAGAAGAAGAGATGATCCGATCGAGAGAGCCACGTGTCAAATCGACATCTGTATGCATGGGGTCCCTTCAATTGGAAGGTGAACGTCGTCTTACGAAACCTCCACCTCGGACACTCAACGATTTTCAATTTCTGAGTCCTGAAACTCTAACAATGCAAAACTATGAGCTCCAAACGATCAGACCGCCCGCAATTTCAACATCAGAAATTTTTTGTGAACCTCCACCGGTATACATCTACCGAGTGATCCCGCCGCATGAAAGTGAGCTTTGGTTCCTCTTTGAAATGTTATTTATATTATTTCAGGACACATTTCATCGAAAAAGCCGCCAAATAAGGTTGTGGAATATATGAAAGAACATAAGCATACATTGATTGCTTGGGGATTCGGAATATTCGCTGTCACATTGTGCCTTGTCGTGATTGTTCTTCAATGTAGATCGAACTTCAAATGAATATCGACTCTACCATCTATTTAATGTACATAATTGTATTCTGTGAATATTCATGCTCAAACCCGCGTCCAAAAATTTGAATGATCAAAGAAAAATTGCTGAGTACATAATAACGATAATAAAGTGAATTAAAAAATATATGTATAGTGCATGAAATTCAATAAACATCAATTTGCTCTGCTAGCGTCTTCATTGAACGAACCACAGGGCACGATGTCGCTGTTCCCGAGAAGAATTCGATCTAAAAAATCGTTAAGCCTTTTTTCTGCCATTTTTAGGTGGAAAATTCGTAAATGTCAACGCCAGAAATTGCTCTTTCCCTTTCTATCAAGTTTATGTCACATGTGAAACAAAAAAGTTCCACGGTACATGAAACGAAGTAGGAGGTCGTAAAGATAAGATAAGGGTGCTCGACAAGCACGACTTATTGTATTTTATAGGTTTGTTGATTCTGACAACTGACCAGAAGGCTATCAGTACCAGGAAATCAAAAATTGAAAGCAATTTGGCATATAATAAAAGTTAGAAATGACATTAATGGAATCACTTACCTCAAAAACTAGATCCAGCCTCTGCAGTTGCTGTTCTAACGCCTCTAACCGTCGCTTTCCATCTCTTCGCTTTTCCAAATCACTGGATTTTCGAACTGCCTAAAAATCAGTTATGTACAACTTATAAAAATTGAAAATCCCTCACTATTGCTTCTTCACAAGTGTATCCGATCAAACGATGTAGTGTTGAATTGTCGATAAATGCTTCCGTTGTCCCGGAATCATCTTTTAAACTCACTTTCATTGTCCATAACTCATCGACAACTCGCAACGGCTCAACGATGTCATCGATAAAGGCCAAAATAAGAAATCGTTTTGATCCTATTGAGTATTTGATTTTCTTTAGACTATCTATAAATGTTGACAGCTTCAGACTTGAAAAAGCTTTTAGAGCCTCCCGTTCTTCTTTGGAATACGACTCTTCCTCTTCTTTTTTCTTCACGTCTTCTCCTTTTGCTTCCGAAAGGCGTTCCTTTTTAATTTGCGGTGGAGGTGGAGTCACGAGTTCAATTACTTGTATATCATCATCACTTTCTGCTTCAATTTTCACTTTTTTCAACGGCGGCTGAGCTTGCACTCGGAATGGATTCTTCGTCTGGTTGGGGCACGACACAGGTTCTTCGTCTTTTTCAATCATCCCCTCTAATAATTCATCCATCGGATCAAGCCGTCGTGACGTCAGAATTCCAGTGCTACGACGATGTAGCGCTTCTAACGGAGGAGTTTTCGTCTGCTTTTTGGGTGAGCGATTAGATATTCGTCGAGTGGGCTCGAACTCTTCTTCTTCGTCATTTTGAATCCGGCGAATGAGAGACGAAACCAGAATAGCTTCTTTCGGTTTTCTCGTAGATGAGTGTTGGTTTTCGTAATCTGGAAACAGGTCTTGTAACTAAAAATCTGGGCGACGAAGTATCTCGAAGCGAATTCTCGAGAGAAAAATTTATTTTTTTTCTTCACTATTTTGCAGAATTCTTAGACCTTTTTACGTTTTTTAGCTAATTTTGAAGATTATTTTTCGATTTTTCCGGTTTTGTGTTGTAAATTTGAGAGGATGGTTTGCGAAGATTACTGTAGATTACTGCAGAAAACCAACTTCCTCTTGTGGTTTTTTTTGACACAAAATCAGCTTTTTTTCTGCATTTTGACGTGATTGTGTTTGCAAAAAAAGCCACAAAAGGATCTTCGCGAATACCCTCTGGTAATCGGTTTCTAACCAGTTTCGGGCAATTTTCCAACCAGATTCGGGAACGCGCATTTTCCAACCAGATTCGAGTAAAATTCCAACCAGATTCGGAAAGTTTTTATTTTCCGACCAGATCCGGTGATTTTCTGACCAGATCCGACCGAGAAAGCTAATTTCCCAACCTGATTCGGACAATTTTCTAACCAGGTCTAGCCATTTCTGCTCCGGAATTTTCCCGAATCTGGTTGGAAACCGATTACCAGAGCCGTTCCATCAAACTTCACACGAAAAAACCGGGAAAATCGAAAAATAATTTTTAAAAATAGCTGAAAAGTTTTCTTTGAAAACCTAAAAATGTCTAAAAATTTTGCAAAATAGCAAAGAAAAATCACTAATTTTTTTGAATTTTTTCTTTGTTTCTATATGAATCCTAATATTTTTCTACACTGTGTACATCAGTAGGTCGTTAACGCTCGTTTCAGAGCCTGATCTGGAGAACGGGGAAAACAGCTATACCAACCTGAGCCTTCACTGTCAGAAATATGGTTTTCTTCGTCAAAGACATCTGGGGACATTTCCCGTGGTTCTGGAGCTCTCGATTTCGACGGCCTGGAAATTCGGGAATTAGTTGAGTTCCGAGAATCAGAATACCATACGTGCAAGGGACCGGTTTCTTTTGGAAATATCGACTAATCATTGACGACGGTCCTGGTTGAGAAGGTGGCGGATTGGGTCGAGAAACGGAGGTGGACGTAGATGGCTGATTAGAAGCCGCCTGTCTTTCAGAAGGAACCGAAGTAGATGTCGATGGTTTGTGATCTTTGATTTTCAGCATTCGCGCATATTCTTCCACTGGTAGATGACAGTTCAACAGAGGTAACACTTCTCCACCAAGGATTCGGCAATTTCCGGGTTTCAACAAGAATGTGCCTCGTCGAATGTCGCATGGAGGCTCGATGAGAAGTTTCGTTCCTGGTTTGCAGTGGAGAGAAAGTTGAGGACATTTCCAGAATTCGATCGCGTTTAGAAATGATTCACCATCGGTTAGAGACAGCTTCAAAAGTCGTGATGGTTTCTGGAACCTAATATTTCAATAAAATTCTGATATCAAACTTGAAATGGTTTACTTGATCTGAGTCATCTTCTTTTTCGTGAAAAACCTTCTCGAAACCCGAATTGTCTTCTTTTTTACCACTTCTGTTCAAATTGCAATATTGCTGGTAATATGGACTTCCAGTATCGATAAATCCATTCACTTGACATACAATTGGTCCTTGCAGATGTTGTTTCTGAATGCTCGAATCAATTCCGTGGTTTCCAAATGCAGGGAACGATGTTGATTCAATGTTTGAACATGTCCACTGATCCAGAACAATATTTGCAAATGTTTCATTGTCCTGAAATACGATTCGTTAGGCTTGAGACTATTATTTCTGTATAAACTCATACAAAATCTCTCGAAAGCGGCACATGGTTGTGTAGAAAATCGATAACTGAATTCAGCCATTCTTCTTTTAACAGAATATGTCTGTCACCAAAATATTGCAGCAGAAATGTGCATTCAGAGCTCATGAAGCAAGGATTGTGTTCAAAAAGTAATTATTCGCGGTAAGTGTATCCGCGCGCCGCAGAGTTGCAAGAACCTCGTGCGGCGTTTGCTTGTCGGAATACGAAGCCCCGCCCATTTTTTGTTTTATTTATTTTTGCCATTTCTGAGTATTAGAAACAAAATAACTGAAGCTTTTGTGATTTTCCGGTTCCGGATGTCACAAAAATTAATCTTTGTTGTTTTATCTGTTAAAGGTGTCCAAATTATAGGAAAAAATGGCTGATAATCTTATGCGCGGACGAAAAAGAGGGCGCGGAGGGATGCGGGCAGTATTTAGAAAAGGAACGTCTGAGGAGCCAGAGCAAGAAGAGCCGATTCTCACAAAAGAAGAATATTTGAAAAAGTAGGTTTAGAAGATAAACAAAGATAATTTATTAACGATTTCTCAACATTCGAGTTTTTGCTGAACAACAATTTTCTTTTCAGAAAAAGGATGCTTCTTCGACGCGCGGTCCTTGCTGAAAATCAATACAATGCACTTCGCACACGATTGAAGGAAAATAAAGCCAGAGAGCTGATAGAGTACAAGCAAGCCGTTGCGCGTAAACAATGTCCGGAGTATTTGGCTGGATTGAGTAAAGCACAGGAAGAACTCGACGGCAAAAAAGCTGTAAGAGATTTGCTTCAACTCATTTAAGTTATCCAAGGGATTGTAGATTATCGAGACAAGATACAAAATGAAACTCGGTCAAATATTGGATGAGTATGAGGCAGAGACGGATATGAATAGAACCCAGTTTGAAGACCAGTATATTTACTCGAAAAACCGTTATATGGACTTTTTCAAGAATTTGATAGAGGAAAAGAAGAAGAGGGAGAAAGAAGTTGGAATCATTCTGGGAGCATTGCTAAGTACGTCAAGTTTATGATCTTGCTATGGAAATTTTATTGTCTTTCAGTTCTTCCGCCGCTTCCAAAAGGTATTTGTGAAAAGCCAGTCTTCCAAGACGTCGTGGCTGCTGGAAGGATGACTCGGAGCATGGCTCGCAAGGTTGAAGAGGGACCATCGACATCAAGCTGAATTTATTTGGTTTATAGACCTATTTTTAAATTATACTCATCCGAATTGTATCAGTTTTGTCTGTAAATTGAAAAACATGAATAAGTCTCACGATTACCAGTAATTTGTCAAAAAACACCCACGAACATTTCTTTGTTGACTCCAAAAGCCTTTATGCTTTCATCAAAAACAAGTGTCCTTTTCAACAATTTGCATAAGTGACACCTTTACTTTTTTTTGTGGGAATTTTTATGGGATTCGTCAAACAACTGCGATGACTTTATTTTTGGAATGCGAAGAAAATGCGGAGAAAGAGAGAAAAAAAAGAGTTTTACAAGAGTACGGTCATTCGGAACTATTAAAGAAAGTTGGAAGAAGAGGAGGAAGAGCCAGCTGAAGCACACACACACGACACTGGACGGATCTGAAAATTCAAAATTGAGAGTGAATGACACAAATTTGAAAACTCACCACAAGCACATAAAAACTTCCTCTTGTTATAGGTTCCTCTTACTGCTCGTCTTCTCCAGCGAAGAAGCGAGCGCGTTTTCCCCGCAATCCTTTCAACGACATCATTGGAACACGTTTGTTGTAGTCTGGATCCCTCTTTCCTCGCAACCCACGGAGTCCTGGAAATGCGAACATCTCGCCTTCGGAGGCAGCTGCAGCTGGTTGGTGGCTCCGTTTGTATTGGGATGGCCAGTAGACTTGTGCCTGCAAAACATTTTCTGACTTCAAATAGGAAACATGATGTAATATTTTAAGATGTGCACATTATCTCATCAATCATTCATATCGGAAGTTTACTTTACCCGATCGGGCTATAAACTTTAAGAAAATATTATTCCGGTGGCCGCGGCCGAAGGTCCCACAATGACAACTACAGTAACCTAACAATTGGTTTATCTTTCAAATTTATTTTCTCGATTTTGGTGCGTTTTCGGTCAAGTTTATAAAAAAAAACAATTTTTTTCCGACATTTTCGGGGAAAATAACAGAAAACCTGACAAAAAGCAGTGAAAAACGAAAAAATAAAATATATCCAGATTACGGTAGTGGGACCTTCGGCCACGGCCACCGCCGTTTCTCTTCCACAACTCCGATTTTTGTATCAGAATAATAATGCTCTTGTCGTTGTTCCTGTGATGAACTAAAAATTGCTATGAATTGCTTATTATCCTCCCCCATGACGGAGGTTCCCAAAAAAGCAGCATTCTTCTGAATTTAGTGCTTCTAAGCAGAAGGAAAAAGTAGGTTGAAACGTGATTCCCCGCTTATATATTTGACAATTGAAGCGTGAATTTCAGTGGGTTTCCGGTTCCAGTTTGATGCATAAACCTCTTCTACAAAAGTCACCGCACTTTGTCTAATTTTTCGGGTCCCTTGAGAAACGAAAAAAACTTTGGGTTATGAAATTTGATTTAATGTAAATTGTCTGAGTGTGTGTGGGAATATGATGTCGTGTCCTGATTATTTTTCTAATTCTGTGAAGTTGAAGAAAAATAATTGCATGACCAGATCAAAAAAGGCTTCTGGATTTTGAGAATTTGACGTTGTTGTGATGTGAATTTGGGAAAATAGGTGAACAGCAAAGTTGAAATAGGAAACCCTAAAACGATCTCTAACCAATGACTAATGAGGAAGTGAGAATTTTTTGATAAATTGAAAAGAAAATAACTATTTCTTTTATCGAATCTCAGGAAAGATGGGCAAAGAATGCACAACATATCAAAAACCAGCTCACTCTTAACCGTCAAATAACCGTCAAGTTTTAGTTCAATTAACCGTCAAATTTGAGTTCAATTATCTCGAATTCTGTGAAAGATATCAAAAACTTGGCAACTGATAAAATATTGGTAATATTACAAACAACATCTTATTAGTTGACAAATGTTTGATATCTTTTACAGAAATAGAGATAATTGAGCTCAAAGTTGACGTGTTGGATGGGTGTACAAATATACGGTTTACAAATATCGTAAAACCTGTATTAGGAGGGTCGGCCTACTATTGTTCCAAGGAACTTTTGAAGGGCTCTTCTATTAAAGAGGCCTTTCGATTACAGGGGACTGAGGGGACCCTGAGGGGAGCCCTTCTATTTTTGGGGCATTTTTTCCGAAAATTTTTATCAAAAAATTCAGTGAATTTTCGTTCAAAAATTCATCGATTTCACTAAAATTGAGCTAATTTTGATTTCACTAAAATTTATTTCACTAAAACTGAGCAGGAATTTCTGGAATATTTTTCTCTGAAAACAAGCAGAATTTTCAATTTCAAACAGCACATTTTGAAGAGGTCTATTACAGGGGCCCTACAATTTTTCCAAGTCCTTATCAGATTGCCCTTATATAAGAGGGGTCTTTCAGTTAAAAGAGCCCTTCTTGTATAGGTTTTACGGTATTATAAAAACTTTTGAAATATTTTGAACTACAATCGATTTCTCACAAAGGTTTTACGATGCAATTATCTTTTAATTTTTAATCAAATTTTACAAAAAATACCCCTGATGTCAATTCTACTGTCATGTCATTAGTCAGAGTCCTCAGATAGAGGACCTTCCATGGCGACACCGTTCAACTAAGGTCCATCATCACCCGTATACTCTGGGACCCCGTCAGATGATTAATGGTTTTCCATTTTCTATGAATACATTTTTCATGACATTTTCGAAACAAAAAAAGCCACAAATTGTTTTTTTTGTACGAATTTTAAACGAGATAACAGTTATAGGAGATTGAATGTCAGGACTTTCAAATTGAAAACTTGAATCACTATTTTTTGAACTTGAAAACATTACCCAAGGGGATATCAGAGGTTATAGGTCAAAAGAGCACAAAAAAAAACAAGGCTCACATCATCAAAGTGCGTGTCGAGTTGAGCTGTAGTGATAGACACGAACAATAAAAGAAGAAGACCCAGAAAAGAATAGTTGATAACCATGTCTCGGGTAGGAGGAAGAAGACGTCGGGAACTGGACGTCGACAAAAAGTGAGAAGGGTGGCGTTAGAGCCATATTCTCCCGACGGAGAGGCTCCGCCTACTTGAGTCGTTTTCTTGTAGGGGCGAGGCTTAAGGAGAAAGGATAGAAGTGTTGAGAAGAATAAAAGTGATGGACATGAATGGGAAAGGAGTAGGATTAGGGAAAAATTAGAATTCGTTTGGTATCTGGAAAAGTTTAGATGCGGAGAAGTCGTACTTTCCCAGAGTTTTCAGAATATCAGAATTCCAGTCTTTCAGAATTTCAGTGTTTCCGACTTCAAGACTTTCAAAGCTTCAGAATCTTAGGATTTCGGAATCTCAGAATCTCAAAACCTCAGAATTTCAGAATCTCATAATTTCAGAATCACAAAACCTCAGAATTTCAGAATCTCATAATTGCAGAATCTCAGAATCTCAGAAACTCAGTAACTCAGAACCACAGAGTTTGAGAGTTTCAGAATGACCGAATTTCCGATCTTCAGGATTCCAGAATTTCAGAATCTCAGAATTTCAGAATCACAGGGTCTCTGAATTTCAGGATTTCAGAGTTTCCGAATTTTTAGAATTTTCTTGCAGTATTTTTGAGTTTCTGAATCTGAGAATTTCCGTTCGTCAGAATCATGGAATCTCAGAATCTCAGAGACTCAGAATCTCAGAATCTCAGAATCTCAGAATCTCAGAAAATCCGATCATTAAAATCTAAGAGTCTCAGAATTTCAGAGTTTCAGAATCTAAGCTAAGAATTTCAGATTTTTAGGTTTCCGTAACTTCAGAATTACATAATTTCATAATTCAACAACTGTTCTCTTTCTTCTCCTTCTTCTCCTCCTTCTTCTCCTTTTTTTGTTCCTTGATTTGTTAGTCATATTTTCGCCTCCAAAAAAGATCATACTATTCTCACGCTATTTCGTTTTTCTCTCTTTTTTTTCTTTGAATGAATCAAATCCTTTTTTCAAACATGTCTGCATGAAAACTGAAAATTTCTCGAAATCAAAACGCTCGCTCATAGACACAGACTGCCTTGTGTGATTGAGTGATTAATCCTTTATTTTGAATTGTCACAAAATTATTCTTCTGTTTTGTTCTGGAAAGTCTTCTTCAGAAAACTGTCCTTTCGTTTTTCAGTAGACAAAACCGAAAATATAAATATTTCTGAAGTGTCACCGATCATAAATCGAGGCTGCACTTTTCATGTTTTCATTTCCTGTCGTCACGTCATCTCATAAGCAGATTTTTATGAAGTCAGATTTTTATTTTATTTTTTCTGAAGCCAGATTTTTATTCGGAAACTTGTCCAAGAAGAAGTCATAAAAACAGAAGATTAGAAATTTGAAAAAAAAAGGAAATTAAATTTCTTGGGGATTTTCTGACGATTTTTGAACGGTTTCATCTGAATAGTCGCGATCTTCTGAGAGGAAAATTGTCTCCAAATTCACATTCCCAATGTCATATGTCTTCAGAGCTTTCGTTCCGTAGGTGATGTACACTTGTGGAAGAAGGAACTTGGATTTTCGATTGCCGACCTGAAAAACATTCCACTCATTAAAATGGGACACCGACCAAAATTTGTATTGCTTTAAAATGTTCGAACAGTTATTTACGTTCCTAATATTATTGCCAAGGGTAAAAAAAAGTCCAATATCCTAAATAGGTCTGAAAGCTTTGGTCAGAAATCGCGCCCCAGATAACTTTTAGATCAGACGAAATTTAATAATTTACAGAAGCCTCATTCTCATTGGAGCGCTATTTCTGACCAGGCCGTTTGGAACCCTGCGTAGACTTACTTTTCCTCCATCGTTGCAATCATGAATCACTTCCAACATTGGCTCAATTCTAGTCAATTCTGCAGTTCCTCCAGACAGCGTGATATTTCCAAACCCATTCGTCACCCCTTCATCCAACAAGTCATTCTCATGGGAGTACCTATCCAAATCGTACAACTTCACAGTAATACCCTTTGCAGGACTCTCTCCACATGAAAATTGTCCATGTACTCCATACGACTGGTATAAAGTAGAAGCTGGAGCAAAGAAGAGGAATAAAAGAATGAGAATCATCTGTGAGACGAAGAATACGACGACTGATCGAAGTGCTCCTCCAGCAGACGAATGATTATTGTTTATTTATTAAACGTTTTTTTTTCTTTGAAATTTGTGTATATCGAGTTTCCCATCTCGCTCTTTTTTTCTGTTCGTGCCCTTCCTAATGAACTCCAGAAGAATGAAAAAGGGTATACCCAATAGTTCTTCCACATTGATCAGAGAGTTTTCAAACGGAAAGAATGAGCATTCATAGACAGTAAATAATACGTAGATAGAGTCATAAGGAGGGGAAATGAAAAGAAGAGTACTGATACTTCGGTGTTGTTGTTGTTTGGAAGAAGAAGAGACTAATGATCAAACAATACGTCAAAATTGAATATTTTGACTCATAGAGTACATGGTATCTACTATATTTAGAAGATTAACGTTTTGTAGTTTGATCGGTTTTTTTTTTGAAATGAAGCCCGGTTTTTTTTTAATTTTCGTTAAAAAATTTTTACTTTGATAGTACTCTGAATCACTACCAGGCATGACTTTTGATTTGAATATTTTTGAATTCCATTTAAAAATGAGCTTTTTCAGCACATACCGTAAACAATACAATAGAATGACCTCTCTAACGTTTAACTTTGAGTTCATATATCTGTAAGAGGGATCAAAGTTTGGTCAACTGACAAAATATTTTTGATATTATGATAAACATTTTTCTAGTTGACTACTTTTTGATATCTTTTATTATATCTCCTCCCCCAAAAAACCTTAAAATAGAATTTCGAATGATGACCAAAGTGTCTAATTTTCAGCTTCGTACTTTTCCCTGAACTTCTCGTATTTATTATACATGACTCATCAAAGAAAAAACATTGACAACTGCCATTGTCTCGTCTTCCTCCTGGTCAATCAATTATTCGACAACGTACTCAATGATCTTTTGAGAAAATTTTAATGGGCGGAGAGAGCGAGAAAATACAATAAAAGTGAGTCGAAGTACCGACGACTCTTGAATTCTTATCACTATAATAATTTTTTGATAAAATTTTTTTTGATAATAAAAAATTGTCAACAAAACTTTTTGCCTCTTCTCATCCCTTCAAAATATTTATATTTAGTACAATTTTGAATTTCAGATGAACAAGATATTCATCTTACTCGTCGCCCTTTTTGGGCTTACTGTAGCCATGAGGGATCAGTCAATTGCTGTTAAAGGACGTCTTCTTTGTGGAAATGGTCCAGCAGCAAATGTTCGTGTGAAGCTGTGGGAAGAGGATACCGGTAAGTTGGAAAACGATTTCTGGAAATATTATGATCACTGGTGCTTTGTTAGGTACCCCATTATGCTTTATCATTTTCTTTGCTAACACTTCCTTGTTGACGCTATAATCTATTCACTATTCAATCTCATTATTTCAGGACCAGACCCAGATGATCTTCTCGATCAGGGATACACTGACGCTAATGGAAACTTCCAACTTCAAGGAGGCACTGCCGAATTGACACCAATCGATCCAGTCTTCAAAGTGTATCACAAGTGCGACGACTCAAAACTCAAGGTGGGTGTCCATTTCTTCTTCTTCTCCCAAAAAAGAGAGAATAATACTGCAGCCAGGAGCACGCAAAGTGAAATTCGCTCTTCCGAAAAGCTACATCACCAGCGGAAAAGTGGCCAAGAAAACGTTTGACATCGGTGAGTGAAATTGTTTGAAAAGGATACGGATGAGTGATTTTACATGCGTCATTCAACCCAATATTTCTTATTTCAGGAGTGCTCAACCTCGAAACAGTTTTCGCCAAAGAAGAGCGTGAACTTCTCGTCTCCAGACGCCGTCGTGGGGGATTCAACGCCGACTATATGGATCCAGATGCATCTCAAGAAGACAAGAAGGAAGAGAAGAAGGTTGTGAAGATCGAGAAAGAAGAAGAGAGCGCCGAGTCGAATGAATCTGAGGATTCGAAGAAAACTGTTGAAGTCTAGACTTTTTATCAACTATTCGTCACTTTCTATATACTGCAAAAGGGTTTCCGATGTTATCATTTTTCTATAAATTGATTTGGCTTCTTGCATTGCAATAAGTAATGAAAAAGGAAGAAGTGAAAAGTCAAGATTACAGGAAAATTTCCGAGGGATTCCAGGGAAATGTAGATTTGGGGGCTTTTGAAGTTTGGTCATCCTTAATAAAGCTCAGAGAGTACCTGACTTAGCCTATCTAAACTAAACTGACCAAGACAGACCGAATGGAAAAAATTAGGTTATTAGGTCATCTGAGAGCGGAGATATAGCAATTTGAAGTTTAGATCTCTGCGTCTCTCATGCCGAGCAAGAGACGCAGTGTGTCTCGTCGTCTGCATCTCTCGCTTTCAAAACTTCGAATGACTGGATCTCGGCTCCTGGGAAAGCTAGAAACTTGGTTTTTATCTCATTTTGTTCCATTCATTTCATTCTGTCTGCCCGTTGGTTTTTCCGGATTTCCAGAAATTTTCGAATTCACATTGTGACAATTTGAACGGAAATGGCCAAACATAGAGATTCGAAAAAGAGGGGTCTTGTCATTTTTGATTTGTCTGGATTTTTGAAAAAAGTCTTGAAAAAGCAGAGCTTCATTTTGTGGTTGGCTTTTTTTCCGAATTCATTTGAAGGAGCGTTGTACCGCACCAGGCATGATTTTCGAATGATTTTCAGGTTTCGATTGCATAAAACATTTTCAGACCAATTGAGGGATTCTGAACTCTCAAAAAATTACAAAACGTTTTACCATGAAACCTGTAATAGAAGGGCACTCAAACTGTCATGGTTGAGCTCAATTATCTCAATTAATATGCAAGATATCCAAAATCTGTCAACAGATAAAATGTTTGTGATATTATGATAGACAATTTATCACTTGGCAACTTTTTAATATCTTTGACAGGTACTGAAGATAAAGTGCTCAAAGTAAAAAGTAAGAGAGCGCTTCTATTAGATGTTTTATTTGTATTAATTACACGGTTTAAAGATTTCAAAATCTTGTGAAACTATCCGAGTAGCCATCATTTTTCCCTTTTTACCTAACACCCCCGTCTCCTGGAGACATGAGATTTCCGCGCCTAATTGTCATATTCGCTTTCTGTATGTTCCTCTATTTCCAATGTCTCTGTGTCACCTCTCAATTACCGTTTCTTTTCCCCTTCCATACGCTTCAACTTTCTCCCCTCAACGGATAATTAGAGTCCACGCGGGACAATTCGATTCCAGTTTGTCCACTTTCTTATAGGTCACCGATCTCTCTCGCTTCTCATTGACGACTGCTTATATCCCTTACCTACCTACCTCAACTTGATCTTCTTGGTTATGAATATTCTTGTTCTGCTCTGCATGATATGGCATGTCCATGGTAATTCACAAAAATTCAGGATCCGAGAAGATTTTCAATTTTTTGATTTCCAGTGAATGCCGAAATATCATCTTCCTCTGATCTTAATTGCGATTTCTCTTCCACGTGCCGTTGGAGGAATTCATCAGATGTGGGTGGACATTTTGAAACGACGTCTCTTCTGGAAGCAGATGCACAAAACCGGATCATGCCAATTGATGAGAATAATCGTAAGTCTTCGTGGTTATGATGTGCATTGGATTACCTTCTGAGAATATTATCAGACGAATAAACAAAAAATTAATAAAGCCAGATCAAAAAAGTCTTCCCTTATTTGTTGATATTATTCTGGAAGACTATTTCCAAAAATGAAAAAAAATTTTCAAGGGACACTTTTTTCAGCCAAACCATTTGCGTATACTGCTGGATTGATGGGAAGGATGATGGCACTTCTTGTATCCGAAGTGATAACGTGTCAGTTGGGTGGTGCAAGTATCAAGTATTGGTATTACAAGACGGGATTTGATTCACAGCTTGAAGTGTGTATCCGACAACCACCAGGAAACAAGGATTTAAGCCAGATGAGGTATATTTTTGAAAAATTTCAGTAAATAAGGTTTTTTATTGGTTGCAATGGTACATGAGATTTTGTGGTTCATATGGAAAAAAGGAAAACATTTCACGGTCTTTTTTGTTTTTGCTCAAATCATAGGCTTAAGTTAAAACGCCCTACACCCCAATTTCCCATGCACCCTCTGAACCAATCCAACCTAAGAATTTGATGTACTCTTAATGTACCCTTTTTTGAAGTACCCTTGGATCGTAGACCATGAAGATCCACTTTCCCTTCTCTTTTTTTCATCTTCTGTCTTCTGGTTCTTTTTTTGATGATATGCTATCAATCCAACAAAGTTTATTTACTTTCAACCATTATGAATGTCACACTATTTCAATATTTGTAAAAGAATATAGGATACATTTCTATTTTGAAGCCACTGACCCAACCTAATAATAGAAAAGAGTAAACCTTACTTGATCTTTCAATTACCTGGCATCACCGAAACATTTAGCTCTAAATCAACAAACCTGTGACCTTTGAGATATTGATCTTCGATTCAAAATATCAAATACTTCAGATGCTACGATGGTGTCTCGACATTCGGAAAACAATGGATTTTCCGTGCCGTTGAACTTCCTCCCATCGCCCAACCATTCGAGATTGTGTTCAAAACGGTCTACTCTCCTCCCAGCTCTGTTATTGCTTTGGACAACATTGTTTTCGAAGCGACTCTCTGTGGTTAGTATCCTTATTTTCAATTCCCTTTAATAGTCTTCTGTTTCTCCACTCTAGGATACGGTCGTAATCGACGTGAAATCCGAAGAATTGGATACCACGACTGGCAGTCGTACCGTTCTTCGAATCTATACAATGGGGAGTTGATGTTGATTGTTGCTCAAGATGTGGCTGATAATTTAACTAGTACTACAACGTCTGAGCCAATTGGGCTAGAAGCAAAGATCTCGATATTGAGTACACAGCCTCCGACAACGACTACTACTACTACGACTACTACGACGACTACTACATCTACAACTACTTCAACCACCGAATTGCCCTCCACCACTACATCTGAACCCACTACATCATCAGAAACTACTACTACATCTTCTTCCCCAACATCTTCTTCAGCATCTCCCAACGTCACAATATCCAACGAGCAACAATTTGCCAACTTTGTCAATTTCCTCAAACAAACCGCTCCAGTTATTCCATACATTCCAACTCTAGTTCGTTCTCTAACTGCTCTTGATCCTCGATCTTCTGAAATCTCTCTGCCATCTGGTCTTGGCCAATCTCCACCTCCCGTGTATCCTGTAGACGTTAGAAGAAGTCCAGTTGTTTCCTCTCACTTTTACAATACAAACCAACCGACATTGTTGCCAGACAGCAATAATCAAGACAATCAGAAAACTCTGGTTGATCTTGCCAAAAAGTTTGGCATTTGGGAGGAGAACTCCCCTCCCTCGTCGACTATTCCTCCGATGCCAACTAGAAATTTCGAAAACAATAAGTTCGGATTGCCCAACAAGTTCACAGAAGAATCGATATACCCACCTAACCTACTGCAACATAAGAAGAAAATTACAATGAATCCGATAAAGAAGATTCCAACTCAACCTGCGCCATCTGTTGAAAATATTGAAGAATATCATAAGAGCTTGTTCAAATTGAGCACAACGACTTCATCACCAGTTGTTCAATCTTCAACGGAACTCATTATTTTCAAACAACCATCTTCTGGAGAAGCAGAAGTCGCTGAAAAATTGGCAGACATTGCAAAATTATTGCCATCTGGAGCTGTACAAGATTTAACAGCTCTACGAAACATTCCCGATTTGGATGGCCTAACAAAAGGAATGGAACTGTCGGATATACGAAAACCAGGCGGATTTGGAAGATTGAAGACACAATTTATGGAGAGATTGATGAGGAGAACGTTAGGATTGCCGATGGAAAATGATGACGTAAAGCTATTACCTCCGCCAATTGTACCAATGAAAGTGACGAGGAAAATGATGGCAGAGATGATGAAACGGAAAGCAGCAAGAATGAGGATGAATTGAAGAATTCAAGTAGTTAGAAATTTTGACTCACATGACTTTATTTTTTACGGGTTACCAATTATCAGTTGCAATAAAATTTCATCCCTAAAAGGTTCTTATTTGCAAACACAGTTGGGTTTCAACCCACATTTATACCTATCTTATCACACTAATCCAAGATCTACTAACAATTCCAGAATCCTCGAGTGGTGGTGCATCGGAAGGAGCAGGTGGCACATTTGATGACGCTGGAATCCCGGGAAGAACGCCTACACAGCTTCTAGATTTCGATGGGAATGACGTGACGATAAACCAATTTGAGAGTGTATCAGTTCCGGTTCCAACTCGGGCGGTTCATTATGGTGCACCAACTAGTCAGAAGATTACAAACCCGATTAAAGATGAGAAGAGAAAGGGAAATGATTTGGGAGGTCCCCGAACTGGACCAATGTTTGCATCTATATGTGCAAATGTGGATTGCACTTTTGATGAAAATGTAAGAGATGTTATTTGCTAGAAAATTAATCAAAGAATCTTGAATTTCAGACACTTTGCAACTATGTAACAAGTTCCACTAACGTGACTGCGGAGGATGGAAGTTGCTTGAAGAAATGGGCACTTTCCAATAGAAGTGTACTCAACTCATTGACAGGTATTCCGTCGGATATATCTAAAGGTTCATAGCTTAAGTTCAGTTCCCAGTGAAAATGAGTTTTTAGGTGGCTACTTCTTATACGCAGGTGGCACTGCCGCAACTCCAGGAGACACTTTCATTCTTTCATCAAACCATCCATTGAGCATTTCTGAACCAGCCAGAGTTGATTTCTTTGTTTATCAAGCTGGTATTCGAGGACAATTTAGAGTGTGTATAGATGATAACGAGGATTGTCCAGTGGTTTTGGAGGGGAAGTGAGTTGACCCGGATACACCTTTAAACCTCTATTAGAACACTATCAAGTTTGAGCTCTATTGTCCTATGCAAGATATCAAAAAAGTGTCAACTGACAAAACATTTCTGATAATCTAATAAACAAATAATCAGTTGACAAATTTCTTATGTCTTTGACAGGTACCGAGATAAATTGTCTCAAAGTTAAAAGTTAGAGGGCCCTTCTATTACAGGTTGTACGGTATGTTAATCAATTTCTATATTTTCAGAGATATCGACTCAAACGCTCAGAAATGGCAAAATTACTATTTCGACATCAATCCAGGACAACATGTGCTCCATTTTGTTGTCGAAGGACTCCACAACAATTATGCGATTGGATTGGATAATATTCAACTGTTGAACCGATTCGGGACTAGTTCCTTGTCTTGTTAAGAAAAACAAATGTATTTCCTAAAAAAATATTTATTTAACGAATCTATGAAAGTCAAAAAACTAGACAGCAAGAAGAAAGTTAAACCAGCAAATGTCCATTTTTCAATTAAAAAAACAAATAGGTGAATTGAAATTGCCAAATAAAATACTCAGTGAGGAAGGGGTGTGATTTGTTGCATGTAGTTGTTTGTTAGAGAAATCTAGTTCTCCCAGTTCAGACAAAAGCGAATAGTTTGCGAGGGGGTATATGAGATGGATACAGTAGATTTTTACATTTTACAAAATTCAATAATTTCTTCTGTTTTACAACTTCTTCTTGGCGCTAACCATGAACATTCCATTGATCTCATAGAGGACACATCCACTGTCAGATTCGTCGACATAGAATCCAGCCTTCGCGAGAGCATCCAGCATGATTTCTTTGGTGATGTAGAGGCAAGTGAATTTTCGTCCTCCAAAACTGCACCAGGTCTCTTCGAAAATCCCTCCATAGATCATGTAACCTCCTGGCTTTACAGCTGTGGCAATGTTCTTGATGGCCGAGTAATATTCGGCTAGGGTGTTGCAGCAGTATTCGACGCAGAAGATGGTAACGAGAGCCTGAAATAGGGGAAAATATGCTTCAATCAAAAGTTACATCTACTAACATCAAATTGCCCGAAAATATCTTTTGGACAGTCGACAGATGGGTTGCTGAACACGTCACAGTGATAGATATCGACGATCTGAAAGTTGTTATGTTCTCTCTCCTTTGTTGGTGTTCCAAAGTTAATGCTCCAAAGTAAACTATAGCATCTGATGCAACATGTGCAGACTTATTTATATAAACTTGTCTGGACAACTGCTCATTTGATCTTTCTCACCTTATCTCTGGTCTCTTGCTCCACGTTCGGAAGTTTATCCCAACTCTGTCCCTCTCTTGTCAAGATCATTTTAAGTGGAATAGACCAATCGAACTTGCTCTCATTGTTCACCCATCGATACAACTCATCGCGATTCTGTGGCAAATAGTCGGCCAGGTGGATCTGGAACATGTGACTCTTTCACTTGTTTGTAATCCGATCCTCACCTCGTTCGCCATCTCGCGGAAACACGCTGCCACGTGGATTGTCGGTCCGGCACCAAAGTCAAGCATCTTGCCGACTTTACCCAGACGAGCCACGATGTTGGGCAAAAAAGTGAGGACCATCTGCATGGCTGGGTCGTCGACTTTTGTGTAAAAATCCTCGAGATAGGCGTTCGTCGAGAACTCAGTGAAAAACGTGGTGCGGTCCAGAAGTTTCTCGCCATTCAACTCACGTACCACTTCAGTTGGGATATTTTGAACGATCGGGAATGATGATTCGTCCGATGCATTGGTCTGAATTTTTAGTACTATTACACTTTGTTGAGGTTTTGAGATGAGTTGAGATGAGTGGATTGTTGATGCTTACCTGAGTTTCGATGTTCACTGTCATTGTGTAGGCTTGGAGACTTTGAAAGTATTCCTGAAAGTTAGGTGATAATGAAAAACCTTGAATTCAGCTCTGAAGTTCAGCTGAGAAGAGTACCGTATTCCCTCTAATAGAAACCCACCCAAACCGTCAACTTTGAGCTCAATTATCTCGAAAACCGTGAGAGATTGTAAAAATTTGACAATTGATAAAATATTGGGGATGTTATGAAAAATAATGTATCAATTGACAAAATGTTGATATCTGTCACAGGAATGGAGATAATTGAGCTCAAAGCTAACGGTCTGGGTGGGCTTCTATTAGAGGCATTATGGTAGATTGCAGAGGATCCCTGAAGAGGATATCATCGAGTAGAGGAGGAAACATGGGAAACTTTATCAACCGTATGAAAATTTTGCTGGAAAAAATGTAATTAAAATTCATATAGAAGAAAAAATGCACTATTGACCACTATATGGCAACTATAGAAGCTTACATATTGAACCGCGTTAAATTATAAGATACTTTTTATAATTCTATTGAAATCTAGATGGAGATCTATTCTCATCAGACAAGTATCAAAAACAAATTGTTGTGTCCCAAACTATGGCCCCACCACCGCTGTCTCCTCCGATCGAAGGGCGACTAATCGGCGAATGGGCGTTGCATTCGGAAGGGACTGGAGAGATAGAGACGAGAAAATCCTCTCCGCCACACAGCCGTTTTCGTTTTTGCACACTTCTAACGACTCTCTCTCAATGCTCGAATCTCATCACTTGCCCATTGGATCTCTCGATGCGTCACTTGTTGTTTGTGTCTCCGCTCCCTCTGAGAAGGTTTTCTTTCTCCTCCACTCTATTCCTCCGATCATTGTCTTTATTTCTTTTTTCTCTCTTGTTAACGTCACAGAAAAAGAAAGATGAGCACAAAGATCGGGGCTATCGAATTTACTGGAAACAATCATGATGAAGATGAGATGCTGTCATGTGGCAACTATGTGTTCTGATTGAGAAGGCGACATGTAAACAGGATTTTGGGTTATGTAACCTGAGAATGATGAAGACGACGTAATAGTATTTAGAGTGGAAAGGGTTTGCGGGTGACGGGTATATGCGGATGATCTTTGAGAAAGGTCGGTGCAAAAGGAGTTCGGAAAGGTTAGCAAACGTGAGAAATATGAAATATTTACACTTTAATGAGATCACTTTGTCACCTACAAGTTTCAGGATGATCACAGCTGACTAGTGTAAAAGGATATGGGTTTCAGTTTAGTAAAAAAAAGTAAAATAGTTATCAAGGTAGAGCACGGAAATGATATCAGAGGATGTACTGTATTGCATACTTGTAAAATTCCGGGCCGGGCGCGGTATCAAAAATTCTGTATTTTTGAGCCAAATTTTGAGCTCTCAATATAATTTTCTCCATTTTTTTTGTTTTTTTGGATTGTTTGTCTGTTTGATCCAAAAAGATCAAAAAAAAATTTTGATCGAAAAAAAAATCACATAAGGGTCCCCCTTATGTGTTTTTTGAAATTTTCAAAAATTGTGAAATGACGAGCCGCCGGGCCAGGCTTTTGAAATCCGGAAAAAAAAACCCGGCCCGTTACAAGTATAATGTATTGCATCTGACAACTTTTTCTATAAAATGAGATACCGTAAAACCTGTTATAGAAGGGCGCCTAACTTTTTTTAGCCAATTTATTTAGTCATGTTGAGCCAATTTGAGCCAGTTTCTGTCGAAACTATGAAAAAGTTGCCAACTAATAAATTTCTTTTATAATACCACATACATTTGATCAGTTGACACATTTTTATATCTCTTTTAGGAAATGAGATATAATAATTGAGCTCAAACTAGACAGTGTGGGTGCCCTTCTATTACGGTATGTGAAACTGAAAAAAAAAGAAAAAGTCCACTGAATAAAAAGTTTTCCAATACCTCTTTGGAATGAATTTTTAGAGAAAAATTTTTTTAAAAAGCTACCGTAAAGCCTGTAACAGAAGGGCCCATATACTGTCAAGTTTTAGCTGATTTTTCTATGTTCCTGGGAAAGATATTAAAAAGTGACTGGTGGAAGTGTTTGTCATAATACCAGAATTGTTTTGTCAGTTGACACATTTTGATATCTTTAATAGGAATCGAGATAATTAAGCTTAAACTTGATGAATTGGGTTGGCTTCTATCAGAGGGAACGTATGTTGGGTTCATCTCAATCTAAAAATTCTGCGAACCATTTTATAGTCATTGCAGTTTTTTAGTGCAGATAGTGCCACGGACACTCAATACCGTATTCCGAAAACATGTTGATTAGTCTCCAGAAGTTTCCAGAAGTTAAATAAAGATTTCAATTCACTTTTCCCTCATTAATTTTTTCTTCCAGCACGTCATTTTACCAATTAGTGCAGCATCCGACTCTGACACTCTTAAGACTGTCTCTATACCCATTTTTTTGCAGCAAAAACTTCAGTCCTGCACTCCTCAAACTCTTCGTCAATATGTTTCTCAATCCGTTTTGCTGACCTCAATTTCATATTTTGAAAGAAACGCGTTTCCGTTTGTTGATTATCAGTCCGCAGGCGCCTCTGTGCGAACTCCTTCGCGTTTGAGGATAAGCACTTTTGTAAGACTTTTCGAGAAGAGATAAGTTATGTGATAAGAGAAGAAACAAACATATCTTGTGCTCTTGATGTGATCTCTCACACAAGAAAACGACAGGAAACTTGAGAAACTGGGTGACAAGAGCTCGATGGGTTGTTAACTAATTGAGCCAGAATGTTGAGGATGAGACGGGAACCGAAACGAATCGGATACCGTAAAACTTGTAATAAAAATAATAGAAGGGCTCCCATACTGTCAAGTTTGAGATAACTTTTCTTGGTTCCTATGCAAACTATCAGAGATGTTTCAAGTGATAAAATGTTTCAAATGTTATGATAAATTATTTAGAAGTTGACAACTTTTTCATATCTTTGACGGGAAGCGAGAAAAACTAGCTTAAAGTTGAAAGTTTTATTACACCCCTCTGTTACAGGTTATACTGTAACGTTGAATAAGAGAAGATAGTGACCTAAAAGCTCACGTTTTTTGTATAATCTATTCGAAACAACTTTTTTATTTTCGTGATAACTGGCGAAAAAAAAATCTGGAAATCTAGCTGTCCTCTAGCCTAAAAACCTTGCTCCTGTGCACCAGGACGCTCCCAACTCATCATTGAATGTCTCCTCTGAATCTCTCCACGAAGCAGTTGCAGTTTGCTCTTCTCCATACCAAGAAGAACAGGTACTATCTACTAATGTCTTCTTCTTTATCAATCTCTTCCATTTCAGCTGATCAAAAATGGGTTCCACTGAAGCATCCTCATCGGATACCGTCATCGTGCTCATTGTTATCCTTCTCGGCATTGCCATTCCAATTATCATCTTCTGGGTGCTCATCATCTGGTGTTCTCGTCGTAAGAGAAAGAGGATGGCCGCATTCAGCAAGGCTGCTGCTCAACCCGATCCAGTCGCTGATGATCCGGAACCTGCAGCTCCCGCCAATCCTGCTGCTCCCTCTCCTGCGTCAGGTGCTAAAGATGGAGAAGGTGCAGCTGCAAAATCTGGAAAATCGGCGAACAAGTCTGTAGAAGGAGCAGCAAAATCCGGAAAATCTGAAGTGAAGTCTAAGGAGCAGACTCAGTCGGGAGCTGATCCAAATGATGAGTAGTCTTCCAGAGACGTCAGAATCGGAAGGCTTGCATCATTATAACCTTTTGTCCCCCTACTTGTTTTCTCATTAATAAATCTTAATGACGTTTAGTTCGTTTCCATTCTCATTCTTAACTTTTCCAATTTTTCCTATTCTACGTTAAACATCGAAAGATCAGGTAGTCGAATATTGGAAGGTTTGAACGAATTCAATATGTTTAGAACATGGCTAATTCAAGCTCAACAAATATTTCGACGATTCTATCGACCACTGTCTCACTAACAAGACCCACATCTCCAGCAACATCTCCAGCAACCATGGCATCTACCATCACAAATACAATTATCGATGCAACTGTTCAATACGGGACAACCAAAGAATCTGGAAGTCTGATCCGAGAAGGAGCCGGTGTTGCTCAGAACGCAATGTACGTGGCAATGTTCATTCTCCTGGGACTATGTGTTCTTCTCTGTATCGTTTCGTCGATATGTTGGTGTTGGATGAAACACAGGCAGGACAACAAATTCAACGACTTCATGAATCAAAAGCCGGAACAAGAACCTTGATTTCTTTTTCTGAACCTCTTTGAGCGAATAAAATTTATCTGCTAGTACACAAATGTTGGAAATATCTCATAAATTCATTTATTCGAGTTTAAGAGCTATAAAATCGAGTTAAACAACGGCTCCCCAGTTGGACTTGGCGTCGTTGATTGTCTCGTTGTCATCTGCTGGCCGTTCAGCCATCTTTTCCTCTGAAATCATTAATCGTTTCTATTTAATAAAACCAAAACATTACGATTTCCCGGGTCCGGATCCGCTTGCTTCGAAGCTACAGCTGGCTCAATCGCTGGTTGCTTATTCGGAGTGTTTCCAGCCACGGGTGTCCCGGCACTGCCTTTATCCAGATTACGTGGCTTTAGCTTGGATGCTTCATTCTTTTTCTTGCATCCGACGATCATCGAAACAAAGATCGTACAGAGAAGGAACAGTTTGATGAGCATTTTTCAATTTTCAAATTTCGTTTGTATTTTGGAAACTGGCGCTCAAAATGCAAATCAGAATTTGATCCTAACCAATTGTTTTTTTACTCTGCTGACTTCTCAGATTAAAAAAAAACGTCTTGATGTTCACGTTATCTACTGTTTGCCGATTGAAATTTTTGGTCTACCCATGAATACCAGTTATACTTTTTGACACATTTAGATACTAAATTTATTGTGCTAACATTTCTCACTAAAAAAAGCTCCAAGCAAACAGAACAGCGGCAGTATAAAATGGAACTTTTTGGTAGGTTCAAACAAGAATCTACTCATTTTTCTATCAGCGAAAATGAACGCCAAGTTGTGAGTTTCGAATTTCTGAAATCTTTAAATTCTAAACTTTATTTGCAGCCTTCTCTGTGTCTTGGCCCTTGTCATGTGCTCCATCGTTCAAGAGGCTAGTGCTCAATACTACGGATACGGATATGCCTCTTCTTATTATCCATCTTATTACGGAGGATATGGAGCATACAATGGATACTACGGTGGATATGGATATGGATCTGCTTATGCTGGATACTACGGAAAGAGAGAAGCTGGATTTGGACCACAAACGAACTGATTTCATTTTGTACCTTTAACCTTAAACGACCTCAATAAACACGTCTTCATTTTTGTTCATTTTTCCGAACTTTTAGGAATGTTACATCTGACACCCTGGTACACTGTTCTTGTCCTCTGAGGGTCAGACTTATATGAAAGAACTTTTTAGAATCCATCAAAGCTTAACTTTCAAGATGGGGTATTTTCTAAATACAAGCTCAACGTCTACAGAGAATTCTACTATGACTAGTACCATAAGGTAACCATTTTCAGTTCAAACAATCTATTGTTTTTCTTCTAATCCGAAACCGTCAACTTTGAGCTCAATTATTTTGGTTCCTATGAGAGATATCGAACTTCTGTCAACTGATAAAATATTTATCATAAAATCACCAATATCAAGTCTGTTGACTGATTTTTGATGTCTTTCACAGGAATCGAGAAAATTGAGCTCAAACTTGACAATGTGGATGCCCTTCTATTACAAGTTTTTACGGAAATCTGAATCCTTTCTTTTTCCAGTGAGATCATTACTTCATCCATGGCTTTTAACTCAACTTCCTCGTCGTCTTCTACTATTTCCACCACGACGACTTCAACCAACACTTCAATTCCCACTACTATTCTTCTGAATTCTAAAGTCACTTCTCCTGCTTCGACGACTACAATGAAACCATTGACAACCTTGAATTACACCGAAAATGATGAACTGATTGGGTTTATCATATTCATCAATTTCATATTCACTTGTTGTCTTATGGTAGCTGTTGCATACAATCGACAAGTGTTCTGTTTTTCGAAACCAAAAACTGGAAGAGGTGGAAAGAAAAAGAAGAAAGCGAAAGGAAAAGGACACATTGCTGAGCCATGGGACGATATAAATGATGATGAGGATGACGAAGATTTCGAGGAGATTTGAAACTTGTAGTTTTTAGTTTTAGCTTTTTTGTGTTTTTTAAATGAAATGACTAGTTTATTGCTATAAAACCGGAAAATATAGGAAAGAAGAGATTCTAGCGACGAGACTGTAGATAGGAAAGAGATCACAAAATATGAGGTCGAAAGATATTTCACATAATATGTACAAGGATTTACGAATGTTGGTTTTTGCCGCTTTCAATATTATTCAAGATTTTTGAAATTTCAATGCGCGTCGTTGCCAACTGTTGGCTATTCATTTTGATGAGAGATTTAGAAACATCATAGAGAATCGCAGAGATCTGGAAATTTGTAATTTCGATAAAGTAATTTTTAATAAAAAATAACCTGTTCTTGAACTGAGTCTTCCTCATTTTTCTTCGCAGGTGGTGGTGATGGACTTGCCGGGCGGATCTGAACGGGAGCATTCTTTCGTTTTCGAGCTCTGGATGGTTGCTCAGCGACTGGCTCAACGGAAGTTGTTTAGCCACTGCCTGGATGGCCTAAAACAATTTTAATTCATGAGAAATCGTTTTAGACTCATCACATTTCCATTATTATTGCCAATAAGTCTGTCATAGAATGCTGCAAGATTCTCAACTTTGCTATCGTCCAATAGGTCTGGTGGTTCCACACTGCTTTCTTTTTTCTCTCCGGATGAACTGGACGATGAGCAATATCCAACATCTTTTGGTACCAAGACTTCTGCTTTGGATTCATCAATGTAAAATCCTTCTTCATCGACAAATTCTGGAGAGTTGTTCCCAATAAAATCTTTCTGTCGTTTTCTATTTCGATGCTCCACATATGGATCCAAGAAGGACATTTTGTGGTAGAACGCGAACCTGTAAATTGATACATATCGCCTTATAAGGAGATTATACACAGACCATTTATTAGTGGGCTTAATAGGTGCCTTCTGCTTATCCTGCTTCCTCAACCGAACGTATTTATCCCTCATGTGTTTCCACTTTCTCTCCAGTTCCACCGGCTGTCCATCATAATCGATTTCCACACCGATCATTCGCCATATTTGGTGTTTATACTCGGATATTTTATGTAGAGGATCGTAACGATTGTAGACGCACGAGTTTTTCTCGACTGTTTCTATGAGGGAGAGAAGGAACGGGTCTTCCAGAGGATCTTGGTTTGGTGACAGCTCCCGAGTTAGTTCGTTCATTGTACAGTGTGAGCCAGCCTGCAACAAAAACTGTTAAGATAAAAAAAGAGCGAGAAAAAAGAAGAGAAAAAATATATATTTGAGATTCAAAACGAAAAAGGAAAGTAAGAAGAGTGTGTGTCATAACTTTTTCTAATTCATATCTTATCTGACTCACTAGCCGTAAACAAAATATTATTATGACATAAAGTTATAACCAAACTAACCGATACGTAACGACAAGACAGGGCTTCTTTCCTCCTCTACGCCACAATTCCAACCAAGGTCGCCGTAAAAAGGGCGACGCTGCGCCGAAACGCAGTCAGTATAACACTAAACCGGCGGTGTGCAGTCTTACGTTTTGTTGCCTGCGGGAGGTATACTCACCCTCTAACCCTCTATTCTGTCTTTTTGTTTACGACACAACTGGGGGCCGATAGCGGAGACTTTTGCGAGCGCGGCGGCAACGGCTGCGAACGAATGATGATGATGAAAAAAAAGCTGTATTGGGCAAAAGTAGTTTTTGGAAAAGCGAAAAGATATGTAGAAGAGGAAGGTTGTAACATGCATGAGAAATTTGAAGAGAAGGGCAAAAGGAGTCAGCTGAGGACATAAGGGTACTGTAAGAGAGGAAACGAAATGTGGAATACCCTTAAACCTGTAAAAGAAAACCTCCCTAAATCTTAACTTTGAGCCAATGTGGTTCCTGTAAAATATATTTAAAAGTTTTCAACTGATAAATTGTTCATCACTATATCAAAAATATTTTATGTTGGTCACTTTTTTATATCTTTTACAGGAAATTAGATACATGGGCTCAAAGTAGACGGTTTGGACCAGGGGCGTTATATTAGAGTGTTTACGGTAATTTCCATGCCATGTTGCCGTAAGCAAGTGTCACTTCTTGAGATATTGAGTATGTGAAAGAATTTTTAACAGAGCTCGGTGGGGGTGGCAGATTACAGAAATCTCGAGAAAATCTTAGAAAAAGCTACAGCTAAAGAAGATGATCTTTTATCATTTTCAATTCATTTTGATCACTGAATCGGGTGATGTCACTACTGTAGAAGAATAGAAGCTTCCCGAATCGTAGATTTGATTTGAAACTAACATGGATCTTACCTGGTCTGATATCATATTGTCGCTTAAAAAGATGATCATAACCCATATTGCCAACAATACTTACTTTGCTAAATACTGAAAACATGGTAACAAAAACATTGAGACAGGCTATGGACGGTCTCTCAATTCCGGATTCTAATGATAAACCGATGGAGGCAAAACTTTTCAAGATAGAGAGAAAAGAGATTGAGTGGACGAGGTACCCGGGTTGTTGCGAGACACCAAATGAGACTGAAAAAAAAATGGAAAAATTGTGCTGCGGTGTGGTGTAGTGTGCGTGCGTTTCGGTCGAGACACAAAACGCACGAAAAGGAGACGCCGTCGGCTGGACTGCGACGATGTTTTTGCCGGGGGCCCCCGCCGCAGCGCAATTCCAACTGGCGCAAGAGCTCCGGCCGATAACACGAGACACGACGCAACTAACAACACAGGAGCACACGATGGAGCACCCAGTTTTTGAGAAGAGATGAGGGATGATGGAGAAACCGGGGGCACACAGGGGGAGTTACGAGATCAGAGGAAATTAGTGAAATTAGTTTGACAATCTCTGAAAATGGGTTCGCATGAAGGGCATTCACAATTTTCCAAGTTTTGGATACTTAACATTGACTAATTGAATGCACCATGTAAGAATGTTAATCGCTAGATATTTGAACTTTTGGAAAGGATTACTGTAGATCACACTTTTGTCCAAGAAGAATTTATGTAGGTTGCCAAAGACCTGTTGTCGTGGAAACATATTGATTTGGAGTAAGGAAAACATTGAACCTTTCACAACCTATCGAAGACTAGTTTTAACATTTTCCTAATTTGTTCTGCATCACCTACCGTATAACCTGTAATAAAAGAGCCCCCGCACTGTCAAGCTTAATGGTAAGCTCAGTTACCGCTGTTCCTATGCTAAATATCAAAAACGTGTCAACTGACAAAACACTTATGATATTCTGATTAACACTTCATTAGTTGACAACTGTTTTATATCTTTGACAGGAACCGAAATAAATTGGCTCAAATTAAAAGATAAGGGATCTTCTATTACAGGTTTTACTGTAATTTGAATTTTCTCTATTCCTGTCATTGTGATCTGCTAAAATGTTTAAGTTCTTAAGACAATATCGTTTACAATATGCTGATGCGGTAATATGGTGCAATATGGTATATTTGAGTACACGGTCTAAAAAACAGAACATTTTGAAAAGGAGAGTGAATACGGTAGATTAGAACCCACTGCCTCTACCCTTCAAAACGTCGACGCACTTTTGCATGTGCTCCACCCACTCGTATAGTACCAGCACATCCGCCTTATGTGGGGGCGTATATAATTGGCAAGACTTTGGTTGAGATGGATAGTGAGTGACTGTGGCTTCGTTCGACGACGACGACGCAAACATATTTTCGTGTGGCTATGTGTATGTGTATGTGTGAGTGAGTGGACCGATGAGAGGACGGCAGGAGAGCTAGAATGCAGCCGCCGCAATATTATTGCTCCTTTTCTCCTCCTCTTCTCGATTTGCCATTCTTGCCACGGCGCAGACTCAATTTTTTCCAGCGAACGTTTTTTGGGATGCCTAGAGGAAGAAGATGAAAAATGTCGTAGGAAAAGGTCTCATGAAATAGGATGGTGGATATTTATTTATTGTTTTTGGGTGGATCCGAAGAAGGGTTCTATAGTCAGTCTTCTGACAGCATAAGGGAGATCATACATTTCAGAAAAGCTATTCAAGTTGTCAATACTATAGGAAGATGAACCCAGTTTCAAAAAGTGGTTCGAAAACAAAGACCTAGTGAGCCTCAACAAAATATGAAGTTCAAGAGTCCAAAACCCGTTAGCAATAGATGATACATACATTTTTCGCAACGACTACAATCCTGCCGTGCGTATAGAATCAATGTTTACTGGGTTTCGCATACCAACTGACTTTGCGCGCACACGTGAGAGCATTGAGCAGTACCGGAAAATAATGTGCGCCTGATTATTTATACCACAGGGAAGGCGGCAAACTTTTAGGATCACTATCGTTTCGTGATTGGAAACAAAAGTGCATCTTCAGATACCATGAGTTCAAAATTGTAAAGCGCACAGTGGGATATCGAAAACATGTCAACTGATAAAATGTTTGTGATGTCATGATAAACAATTTATCAGTTGACAACTTTTTCGTATCTTTGACAGGAGCCGAGATAAATTGGCACAAATCTAGGAGTTCTTCTTCTACAGGTTTTACGGTGTTCATGAACAGTTCCTGAAAGAATCAGATCGATACAACTCGATCCGAAAATGTCACTCTGACTGAAAATTCTCGACAAACATGCATAGCAGTTCCTCTATGTGTTTTTGTGTATGTGTTTGTGCGTGCGCAGGCAGTCAACGCAGAGCTCCTCAAATGAAATCGTCGGGGCGGCGGCGGGCGGGACGACGACGACGCATGAATGAGCCGATGAGGTGTACGTTTTCCGTTTTTTTTTTCTTTCTCGCGCGTTGTGGAGCTCACACTTGGATCCGTACAAACCCGGCATTTACTCGAGAATAAATTGTGTATGTATGTGTAGAGATATCAGAATGGAAACGACTAGAAACTATGGTCAGGATGGTTTAAGATTAGAAAAGAAAGTGGACAAAACATATATTCGAAATTCCGATCATACAAGCTTTTCAAGGAGTTGAACTTGTAGGACGAGTATTGAAGGTGCGGCGCCGCTACCAGCTGAGCCACGAGCACGAGCGAGCGCAAGATAGTTGTACGCAGAGTGAACACTAAACACTGTACGTCATCACGTCAGAATGCATACCCTAAAAAGATCCATTAAGAAGATTAGTAAGCTGACTCATATCAATGATCATTGAATTATTGTATCCTTTCTTTAACAGGAAGTGATTATATATTGTATCGATATTAATATTTATTTTTTAAAAATTAAAAAAATTCTAAGATTTATTGATCCATAGATTATTGCGAGAATGAATGAGATCACAATGTGAAGCTATTCGGGAAGATTTCAAGTGAACAAAAGAGCATCGGAAGACATTTGGAGTACAATAAAAATAAATTACTAGCAAGCTACTTTGAATAATTTAGAAAAAAAACGATTGGCAACTTCTTACAATAAATAAATTAAATAGATTAATATCCATAATTTTTCATATCAATTTGTATAATTGGCATTTTATGGCTATCAGGTTCGTCATCTGAACTTGAGTCATCACGACGATTTGAACCTCCCATCTCGGCTTCGTTGAAGTCGATTCGATAACTGGAAATGTTTCAGATTTAGGTGATTATTCTACAAAGGAAAGTGAGAATGGCGGAAAACTGCTAGTCGCCGGCGGACCGTCGACGACTCATCGACGGACATTCTTATCACTGTGAATAGAGTCACAGTTGACCTCGAAGGAAACTACGCATAAAATTCAGAATCTATTTTTTCATCTCGTTAAAAAAGAATTACCCTTGTTGAACATCTGGAGCTTGTGTTGTTGGATTGAAAGCTGGTTGATGGAGTTCTGGTACTGGAGCAGCAGCGGCTTCTGGATTTACAGAAGGATCAGCCATGTCAAGATCAAGATCGGCACATTGAACATAATCGATTTCAACCTTAAATTTAAATCATTATTTTGCTCACTGGAAAACACTAGTTACCTTGTACTGATATTTGGCCACATATCTGACGAACTTCTCTACTCTATCACTATCTTCATGTTGTTCTACAGATACTGATCGGACTACGGTATTCGATACAGTGGCCAAGGGCATCGTGAAATCGACGTCGCATCTTGGAAGGAATTCTTCTGGCATCAAATCGAACGATGATAGCTCAAACCGACATTTCAATAAATGAGACTTGTATGCAGCGTGATGTTTCTCTGGAAGTCTTGGAATCCTCCAGACCAAAGATCGGTAGACGTGCTCGTATTTTGCTTCTCCAATAGCACATTCAATCAGATTCGGCTCACTGGCCTGGACTGCTCCCAGAAGTCTGTCCTTGAGGTTCTTCACTTTTCCGGGTCTCAATTTCTTCGAGTGAATCGATCCAACTCCCCAATGGCGTTCTTCTCGGAACAGATAAATCCATGCTTCAGGAATTGGGAATCTGATGGCAATATCTTCACATGGAATGTTTCTTCTTTCATCTGATCCACGAGTTCTTTGTATTTGAGCTGCTGCCATAGCTTCAAGTCTGATCTCGACTTTGGATCCAGCAATTTTCATGATCGCTTTCACAGTCATTGCCTTTTCACGATTTCTTGGTGGACGGACACGGAAACGCATGATCTGAAATTAAAAATTAGAAAATATTAAAAAGTTTGAAAAGAACCTCAAAGAAGCAGCCATCCGGCGGACTGAATGAGATCACTTGCTCTTTATCAAACTCAGGCTTGTTAACAATCGAATGGAATTCTAATGCTTCAAATCGAATCCATCTCTCAGTGTACATTGGAAGAATGTCTTTCCTTCTTACTATTTCTTTTCCTTGACGTCTTCTGTCATTCAATCCAACCTCCAGAAGTGGTGACCCAGTAAGGAATGCCAAACAGAACAATCGAACTCTTGCTCTTTGATCCGACAACACTCCTTCTTTATCAACAAATGCTGAATATTCATCGTAGCAGTGAATCTGTACTTCATCCTGTTTGTAGACTGGTTTTGCAGTTCTGGTGATTTTGCATTTGAACAGAAGATCTTCAACAGTGGTGACAAAACTCTGGAGATGAGAAGCATTGAGAGAACCGAACTTGAGAAGTACGGTACATTGAGCAGAATGCTCCAGAGGTAAGCCATATTTTGTGATGTGACCATCAACTAGACGACTGATTTGTCCCGGTCGAATTCCCACTTTCTCCTTGTAAACTACGAATTGCAATTTCACGGTATGAATCTTTCCATACACATCGTATGCTTGCAAAGTTGTATCGGATAGAGAATATGTGGCTTGAAGAAGGAGCTCTTGGATTGGTTGAGCATCTTTTTTGTCGTTATAAACATATAAAGTCAATCCGTGAAGACGAACATAACAAGGTTTCCAGCATCGTTCAGCCATGAAGGACTTCTTTTTTATCGGATGCCGAACCATCAGATCCCAACCATCTCCTTCGAATTTTGGAAGGAAATCAGTAAGTGGTTGAGAATCATCTTCATCGTACAAAGGTGTTGGTGTATCGAGTCCAGTGAGTTCTTCACACTTGAAATCATCTTCAAATGCATTCGGTCGCTGACTAATTGGACTTCCACCTTCTGGAGTGGGAGTGGAAAGTGTTGGAGACTGACGTCCATTGTAGAAGTCGTCGTCGTTTTCAGCATTTGCTGCAGCCTGTTCTGCTTTCGCCTTGGCCATGGCTACCACTTCTTCTACAGCTACAACAGCGAACGGATCGTAGCTCTGGAAATAGTTTCAACGGTGAAATTTAAAATCACTGGTTACTTGTAGCTTACCTCATCTATTAATGCAGCTTGTTGTGGAGCAAATGGATCTGCTACGAAGCTAGATCTTTTCTCAGAGCTTGCAGTTGTCGTTACAAATGGATCGTCAGATGGTTCTCTGACGACTCCTCCCTCATTCGAAGCATCTTTATTAGAGAAGAATCCAGATTCACTCGGAGGTAACATCGGTTCGGAACTCTCAAAGTCAGCCCATGCGGGAGCAGAAAGAATTGGGTCATCTGGAGCATGATCTCCTTTTGGATTTGGAGCAACACATTCTTTATCAGCAAGATGAGCGGGGAGCTCAAGAGAACCTCCAGAATCTTGTTGCACGTCTTTTATGGAACTTCTTTTTCTTGGAGGAATCGCAGACGCTGAGTCGACTCTTCGGATTTCTGGAGACTTTTTGATTTCGTTCACAGGAACCATTTCTGGAGCTTTCCAATCTCCCATATCGCTTCTCATACTGGCCATTTTCATTGCCAACTCTTGAGCAGCTCTATCCATTGCATCCTCTTCATCTGGATCATAAGTTGGTGACGCAGCTTTTTTACCTTGTTGCTTCAATTTCTTCTTCTGCATCTTTTCCATCTTCTTCTCTTCGGTAAGCCTTTGAATTTCTTTTTGAGTCGCTTCATTGACAAAACCTTGAGATCCTCCGACATTTGCCAAATAGCTTTCATCCTTGATATCGTTGGCAGCAGAAGTTTCTTCCAAGTTTTTCAAAGTGCTCTCGGTAGACTTCACGGCAGTACTGACCTGAAAAAATTTCAAAAAAAGGCTCATGATTGCTTTTATCCTCAGTGAACTAATAGGTACAGGTCTGTGCAACAATTTCATTGCCTAGGAGGTGAACTCGCGGGCGGCAGCACGACAAGCGCGCCTTCCCCCACTTCACCACCGAAAGACAGCGGCAAGAGAAGAGGAAATGGCATAGAAGAAGAGGGGCGAGTGTGTGGCTGTGTGTGTACCTTTTCTGTCATTCGTTTGAACTGCGCCCATGCGTCTTCTTCTGGTTCTGGTTCTTTCGTTTTTTCCTTTTTCGCTGGAGCCGGTCTTGGTGGAGGTGGACGAGCAGCTGGTGGTGGTCGTGGAGGAGCTTTAATTAAAAGAACTTTCTTTTTGTTCATTAGAGTACCGTCAACCTTTTAATAGTACGCTCTCTTAACTTTCTACTTTAAGCTCATTTATCTCGTTTCCTGTGAAAGGTATGCAAAAGTAGTCAACTATTGAAATATTTCTGATATTATGATAAACAAGTTATTAGTTGGCAACTTTTTCATATCTTTCACAGCAACCGAGATAAATTGGCTCAAGGATAATAGTAAGAGGGCCCGTCTCAGGTTTTACAGTAACTCTATCTCTTACCTGCTGCCTCTGATGCTACTTCCTCTTCCTTCTTTGGAGCTGCTGGTCTTGCTGGAGGAGATCTCGCTGGCGAAGAGACTGGCTGTGGAGCTTCTGGTGTTGGAGAGAGCTCTTGAACAGGAACAACAGCCGGTGCAGGTTCTTCGTGTCCCTGTCCTGCAGAATCCCATCCGAATGGATCTGGTTGTTGTGGCGCTTGTTTGAATAATGGCTCAATTGGAGCTACTGGTCGTGGAGGTGCTTCTTCAATAGATGTTGGTTGTTGCTCGGTTGGATATTGAGAATAATCGTACTCCTGTCCTTGATAAGCCGCCTCCTGTTGGTATTGCTCTTGCCCTTGGTAATAGGCAGTATTCTGGTCATATCCATCGTATCCTTGATAAGCATCTCCATATCCAGCATACGCGCTCTCTGTACCGTTCTGTTCAAATTCTGGCGCTGCTGCTGCTGAAGTTGTTTCATCAGATGCTCCAACTCCTTCATGATGATAATCACCTTGTTGCTCATATCCATATCCAGAAGTATAAGCAGCTTCTGCAGTTGCAGCTGTTTCTCCGTATGGCTGTTGTCCATTGGCCTCATCGTATGCTTTACAAGCAGCTAAATAACCTTCGTAACCTCCATAGGCAGAATAATCGTACTCTTGAGATGGATCGGTTGCTACTGCTGCAGCAGCATATGCTTGCTGATCCTGATAGGTCTGTTGTTCTTGGTAAGCTTCCCCTTGTCCTGGATATGCTTGAGCTGAATAACTGGGGTCTTGATAAGACTGATAGTCTGTTTGATCATATCCAGCATGTTCTTGCTGGTAAGTAGCTGCCGCATTTTGATCGTATTCTGCGTATGCAGCAGCTTGTGCTTCGTATCCAGATTGATCGTAGGTTTCTTCTGGAGCCACGTAGTTCGGGTCATACTCCCATTCTTGAGTCTCATAGTTCCAGATGTATCCTGAATTGAAATTTAATTATCGATTTTACAAAAGTAAAAACCTTACCCGGGTATGCGTTTGGATCATAAGCTACTTCTTGTCCTTCTTGCTCATAAGATTGTGGGGCGGCTTCTTCTGAAGGCTGAGCAACTGGTTCTTGCGCATCTTCCACTTTCTCCTCCGTTTTCTCAGTTGATTCAACCATCGATTCTGTCATCACTTTCTTTATCTGCTGCCTTGCTTCATCCATATCTTCAGAGAATGTCGGCAAATCGTCGTCTTCTTCTTCCTCGACTACTTTCGGCTCTTTTGGTACGTTGTCGTGGAAAGCCTTGAAAAAACATATGAAAAAGAAAGGAATTGGAAGAAGGCGTGAAAAAAGGGCGGTAATCCGATCGGCTCAGATTTCGTAGAAAAGTAGATGGAAATGAAAAAGGAAAATGAGCTTACTAACCCCTTGATGTGGTGCATCTGGAGACGTTATTTCGACGGTTGGAGGCTGAAAATGGGAGAATGAGAAGGGTTTGAGAGAACAGAGCAGTGCTTACTGAAGCATCTCGTGAGGAAAAATCTATACTAAATTCTCAAGGGACTACTGTGGCCTAGCCACTGCATCTGCTAGTCCGCGAGAAGAAGCTCTTCTCAAATTGATTAATTTACTTTTGAAAATTGTTTTATTGGGCAATTACCATATTTGCAACGGGCCGAGTTGGGCCCGTCCAAGTATTTTCAATGCCCTCCCCGGGTTTTCAGAACATTTTTGTCTTAAAAAAAATTTTTTTTCGGGATCCATAGAAAAAAACTTGACAAATTTTTGCCCATATTTTTGCTCGCGAAGAACGGAGTGTCATAATTTTTTTAAAGAAAATTTTCTGAAATTTCAAATATGTTTTTGAATGAAAAAAGCCCTAAAGATCACCGGCCCGGCCAGGCCCACAGGTCGATTCCTGATTTTTCAATTATGCCAAAAATACATCATGGCGATTGCCTAATTTTTCTCAATTTTGAATATTGGAAAAAAAACTGTTCGATGATTTCTGCTGAAGAATGCAAAAGGTTTTTGAAAACCATAAAATCTGTAACAGAGGGACCCCCACAATGGCAAGTTTGAATTAATTTATCTCTGTTCCTATGCAAGATATCAAAAATGTGTCAACTGACAAAACATTCCTGAAAATATGATATACAATTTATCAGTTGGCAACATTTTTATCTCTTTGATAGGAACCGAGATAAACTGGCTCATACTTGTGTGGGACGCTTCTATTAAAGGTTTTGTAGTGATTTTTCGTTTTTCTCACTCACTTTTGCATGGAATCCCAACTTTTTTTTCGTTTTTTCGGCTTCTTTTGCCTCTTTCTCTTTTTCTGTGACATCATCGTTCTTTGCGGTTTGCTCTGCTTCTTCCTTTTCTTTTTTCTCTTCCTGAAGTGCTTTTTCTTCAGCTTGTTCCATTTTGTCTGCAAGCGAAAAAGTTGTGATTGAGGTCTTAATTTTGACTTTTTTCCCACCCGAATAAATTTGAGTGAGCTATAGAATGAAAAAAGCAATAGTTTGCAGAAGCGGAAAAAGTGAAAAGTAGATGCTATAGAAAATGGAGAGGAAGACGTGAATTATGCGCCGGTGTGTGTCTCCTCCTGCACTTGATGCACAAATTAGGGGCCAACGCTTCCGTTGTAGCTTCTCTCTGCCTCCGAAGGGACCCCATCACCAGGTTACAAATGACATCATTTAGAAAGGGATATGTATAGAAAATGGAATCAAAATCCAATTTTTATGAGAACGTTTTGTGCTTGTGAGTGGGGACGAAATATAAGAGAAAAACATGTTATGACATGTTGTTATGTATAAGAAATGGATGGAAAAGAATAGGAAGGAAAATAAGTGAGCAGTTGAGATTCAAGTTTCCCAATGAGTAATGAGTTTCTGAGAAATAGGGGGATCTATTTTTAATGAGCAAGCTCGTATGGATCTGTCAAAGATCATTTAGGAGGGAGTCATTATAAATTCCAAAAGGAACTTTGATATGAATTTTTCATTTCAGGAGGAAGGAATTCGAAGAACGAATTTTTTGAGAAACGATATATAGAACGAAATAACTTTCTCGGAATCCGGACAACTAAAAAAAATCACGGAACATAGAAAACGGGAACAGGAACAAGGAATAAGATGGAAGCCGGAATTCGAATATTTCTGTAGAAATCGATGTTAGGATTTTTAAATTATCTTTAAGAAAACTAACTTCCAAAACGTTAACTTCGAATAATTTCAAATTACCGTGTTTCCTTTGTAGTCCGCCCAAACAATTTTGTCAACTTTGTGCTCAATTATCTCGATTCCTGTGAAAGATAAAAAATTTCTAGACTGAAAAATTATTTATCATACTATCACTAATATTTTATCAGTTGACATTTTTGAGATCTTTCACAGGGATCAAGAAAATTGAGCTCAAAGTTGACAGTGTGGTTAGGCTTCTACTAGAAGAACTTATAATTTTCGACAGGTGTTTTTCTAACAACGCGAACTCTTTTTTAGACGGTTCCAACCATTAAAACCACCTGGTCGTGTGCATAAACTATGAGAAAAGTATAAAAATAAAGGCATAAAAGTAAAAAGAGAAACTCTTCTTCCACTCCACACACCACCTCCTGCTTCTAAATCGCTGCTGTTTCAATTCACCGACGGCTTCCCCCCTCTCTACTTTTGCCGCTTCTCCTCCTCCAAAGCACATCTATTCCTTTTTCAGAATATGTGAATAGAGAGTATGAATATGAGAGAGCCGCAGAGAAAGAAGAGTTCCGACCCTCAAAACGCCTATGATTGATCAAATGAGTTTGGTATGTCAGAGGAGAGGCAGAGCAGCAAGTAAATACATATATGTAAAGCAGGGGGCGACAAAGAAGACAAGAAGACGACAGGGATTAGAGGATTGAGGAGCAAGTATTTTTATGGGGAGAAGACGAACAGGCTGAGAAGTTGAAAAAGAAGAAAAAGGAATAAAACGCGCTGAGAATGAAAGGAAAAAGTCGTTCGAGCAGATGAAGTTTGCTAATTGGGGGCTCTAGGAGCTAAGAAGTGACAGGAAAAGGATGGAGGAGCAGGATCTAGGAATTACATTTTACTTTTGAAAATCGTATGAAATCGGATTTCGAAGACACTTAACTGGAAAATTGTTACTCCATAATTACTCTGATAATGGTAGAAATCTTGGTTTTACTCAAAATCAATTTGGAATCTTTTGCAGCAACTGATATACCGCATTTGCTCTAACAGAAGCCTACACAAACCGTCAACTTTAAGCTCAATTATCTCGATTCCTGTAAAAGATATCAAAGATTTGTTAACTAACAAAATATTTATGATATTCTGATAAACAATTCATCAGTTAACAACTTATCCATATCTTGAACAAGAATCGAAAGAAATTTGATCAAAGTTAATGAGTGAAAAGATAGGGTCCTCCTATTATGAAATAGAAAGCCCACTGATTTTCTGGTATTTCCGATTCCAAAACTCTTGAAAAATGACTTTTAGCAGAACTTCTTATAAATGGAAAAATAAGTTTCTAATGGTTTTTGAGCTCTTCCTAAAAATGGATTCATTTTTTGCTCCTCCCTTTCCTTTTTCCCCGATCAAATCCGAATTTCTCTCTCTTCAATATCCGCTCGATTTCTCTTAACGATGCTCGTTAACGATCTACGCCCAAGCATGTTAAAGGCACATCCTAATGACCAATTTTACGAGATTTCTTTTTCAACGAACCTTCCATATCCGCAAAATTCTCCCATTCGATACTCGACCGTCGATGAACAACTGGAGCTGGCGGAGCCTGGAAATAAAAAATTATGAAATGCGTTCTATTAGAAACACCTACCTTATCCTTATATTGTGGATTTTCATCCAGAATGTCTCCTTCGTAATCATGTAGTGGAGTCGTCCTTCCAGAACTACTCATCCTTCGTCCACCACCTCCAGGAATCTGATTTTGCATGGATTCGTAGAACTCTGTGTATGACATATTCTCCGTTTTCCTTCTTCTGTTTGGAATCGAGACTTTTATCTTTTCAGAATCCGCCGGTGCTGTATCATTTGATCCATCCACACTTCCAGCGAAAAATGCAATTCCATCCAGAACACAAGCAGATGTTGGAGTCGTTGGTCTTTTCCTAATCTTCTGATCGTAAGCATGCCTTAATTCTTCAGCAGTTTCTGCGAAATTCAGACTCTTTGGAGGGGTAACGACTGGTTCTGCGGACGCTGCAAACACCTGTTCCACCTCTGCATCATCGTCTTCATCTCTTATCAAACTTTTGTGCAATTCCTGTTCTTGTTCAGAATGTCCGGGACCAGGAACAGCCATCTTATACTTCTGAGTTTCTCCTAATTGTGGATCCACTTTTTCTGGCTTCACTTCGATTATAGTGTCATTTGTATCTGAAGTCTTCATACTGACATTCTCAATCATATCAATATCCAGAGAAGCTGGTAACTCTGGTGGTCCCTCGTCTTCGATAGATTGGGTAAATGATCTCATTGCCCTCATCGATGCCGCCCGTTCTGATGATGACTGTTTTGATTCGTCGGTTAGGCGAAAGGCGTTCCGACCCCCATGCGGGTCGAAATCGCCGTCACGCCACGACATAAGTTTCTGGAACAAATAAGACATTGATGAATGGAATAGACAAAAAGGATAAATTAGAGAAAGGATTTTTTAAAAACTGCACGACATAGACTGAACGGCATCAAATTGATTAGAGATTTCAAGTTGTCAACTGATATCGTGTTAAATTGGTTTTCCTAAAATTTAAGCACTTAAAAAGTCATTAATATTTATTTCAGGAACCAAAAACCATTGATATCTCTTCAAGGGACCGATTAGATAGACGACTGTAATTAAAAGTAGCATAAAGTACCGTAAACACTCTATTAGAACGCCCTCAAGTCATCAACTTAGAACTGATATATCTAATTCCCTGTGAAGGATATCAAAAGGAAGCCAACAGACAAAATGTTTATCGCAATATTACTAACATTTTATCAGTTTACCTAATTTTTTATATTTTCAATGGCAACCGAGATAATTCAGCTCAAAGTTTATAGTTAGAGAGCTTTCCTATTACAGGTTCTACGGGATACAGTGGTAAATTGCCGTACTTTTTGGTATCTTTCACAAAACCGAGATAAATTGGCTTACAGTTAAAAGTAACGATAATTGGAAATGGACGAGAACAGCAGCAGATGACCTCAAAATCTGTGATAAAACTAAAAACTAAAAACTTTTCAAGTTTTAAGCTTATTGGTTCAATTTGCCCAAACATGTTACTCTAGAGAAACTAATTAGACCCTCCCTCCCACTAATTAAAGTGAGTAAACAGTTACTGTAGCTACTAGAGAAATCATACTTTGAAACTACCTGCTACCAAAACTCATATACTTTACGTCAGCGAAACAAAAAAAAACTAGAAGAAGAAAAAGCAGAAGAACGAGACGAAAAATTGGTGTGTCAACAACTGGAAACTCGATACGCATTGACTATGTAGGGGGGTAGGAGCTTCGTACCCGAAAACCCATCGTATCCTGATGAAGACAGAAGAGAAAGAAGAAGACATTGATTTTCAGATTATCCATTCCTTTTTCCTTCTCCTCTTCTCCCCAAAATCTACCCATCAATCTGCCCTGTCTGGGACCTTTCCGCTATTACCCCAAAAGACTCAATGCATAAAATGTGAAGAAAACCGAGGGTGGGTGGGAAGAAGAATACGTAGAGTCAGCCACGATTATGGGAAAGGAGAATGGGAAATAGAAGGAAAATGGTGAAAAAGAAGTAAGAAGAGGAGGAGGGAAATTTCGAAATAAGGAATCTCAAAAAGAAGGATCCTCTTCTCAAGTGGATGTCAGATGAGATGTACATCATCGTGATGAATGAAGATTTTTGTGGATATGTTGAATCCATTCGAGCACCAGCTGTCAAATGTGCATTCAGGTGAAAATTTGAATATTTAGAGTTTGTAAAGATAGGTTACTGTAGATTATATCTTTGTATACCAGTTTAAGCTTCTGGAAATAAGCTCTAAAATAGAACGCCATCCTTAACTTTTAATTTTGAGCCAATTTATCTCGGTTCCTTGTCAAAGATAAGTAAGTGGTCAATTAACAAACTTGTTTTGGTTTTATGATAAACATTTTGTTAGTTGACCGCTTTTTGATAACTTGCATAGGAATTGAGATAAATTGGCTCGAATTCGACAGTTGGAGGTGACGTTCTATTACAGGTTCTACGATAGTTATTTCGGTTTCTGTGAAAGATATCAAAAAGTGTTCAACTGACAAAACATTTTTGATCTTATGATAAACATTTCATCAATTGACAACTTTTTGATATCTTTTGCAGGAAATGAGATAATTTAGCTCAAAGTTGAATGCGGGCAAAGCTCTATTTGAGTGCGGTAAGTTTAATTATTCGGCTACTGTAACCTTCTAATTTTCAAGGTTTTTAACACTTTGATCCGTCGAAAAACAACTAACTTCAAAAAATTAGTTCATGGCCTCCTTTGCAAAGAAAATTCTAGGGAAAATCCGTTTGTAGTCGCCCCGTCCAAAACGTCCAGCACACCGAATTGGTAGTATATATGGCTCGTACATTCAATTATATGGACACGACAACACCAGAAAAACGGCAGCAAGAAAGAAAAAAAGGAAACGACGAGTGAACTGAAATATCTCATTTTCCTCCCTTTCTTTTTCTCGAAATCTGTTTTTGACGTTTTGTGATGGGTGGAGTCTTCATAAGTTCATTCAAAAACTGACACCTAAAAACCTCGCGGGCGGCGTTTACGAAGCCCGCCTTCAAATCCGATGTTTGAAATTTAGTGAGATTTTCTGTACCATCTCTAGAATCTATTTTCCACCAAAAAATCGAACTCAATTGCGAAAATCGCTCAAAAGAGCCAAAATTCTGAAGTATTACGTATTTTTTGCAGCGCCGCTTAGTATTTGAAAGCTGTTTTAAAAATAACGGCTCTCAAATTTTCAGGTGCCAGTTTTTTATTCAACAAAATAGACAATGCTATCTCATCATAGGCGCTTAAAAGTGCAAAACTGAATTGGGATCATCCACTAATCCCGACATAATCCAGTGCTAAAAATTGCAGATTTTCAGAAATCGAAAAATTGATAGATGAAACGAACTAGGCACACTTTGAACGGGGAACGAGAATGGAAACGAGAAATAAACTGAAAAGAAAAGTTTGCAAAAATCGAGTGTAGCGGTCGCTCGCTCGCCCCGGGGAGCCGGAGGAAAAGCGCTCCCAGAAGACGTTTGTCTTCTCCTTCTTCTTCGCCCTCTTCTTTCCTTTTTCCTTCTTCTTCGTTTTTCTTCTACTTCTTTTTCTTCTTCTAGAGCCTGGATGGGAAGAAGGAGGGGATAGAGTGAAAGGGCTCTGTCGGAATCGATAGAGAAACGGGAAAAATGTGAAACGCTGCGTCGACGACGACGGAAGAAGAAGCACAAGAGAAGACGTATTACGAATTGGCGGGGTCCCTCACTCTATTTTTTTTGTCTGCATTGCGTCGAGCGCACTCTGCACTTCTTCCGCTTTGATGAATCTTTTACTGAACTCAGGGAACGTTTTTTTTTCCAAAAGAAGAAGAATAAACCAAAACAAAGTGTGAACAAAATTGAGGATCTATGTCAAAGTGGAGAGGGCAACGGGATGTCCCGAAATGGGGTGAATTGGGGAGGGGAAGATGTAGATGAATGGGAACAGTTGTGCCATAAACTAAAGATATGAGATTGAGAATTTAAACAATGAATGAGAAAATGATGAGAAGGATCCGGGAACAGTTAGAAACTAGAAATTATTTGCTATTCTTTTCCGCCAGTCTCTTCTGGGCCTCCTCCGCTTTCAGCAACGACTCGCTACGATCCATGAAGAGCTTGGTGCACCGTTCGACATCTCCCAACTGAAAAATACATATTTCGCTTCCTGTTAAAATTAAAAAATAAGACAACTCACATCAATGATTTCTCTTCCACATGTCTGCGCACAAAGACGAGCTGGAGCAATTAACTGCAATGCATATCTCAACGACTTTTCTGAGCCAACTCTGCTCAACAAGTCGAACGCCTTCTCGTCAAATTGTACGTTTTCAGCTTCAGTACGATGTGCCAGAATCTTGCGGACATCTTCTTCGTTGTACTTCATCGTGGGAATGATCATCAGTCGATCGAGCATCTCTGGTGGAATTCCGTGCGGTGCTTTGTCGTCGAGTCCGCGAACAGTAGTAGTACCCCGATTAGTGGCGAACACAACAACTGGAGCCATCGGAGATTCAAGAGCACGGTAGAGATAGGTGAAACATTCCACGTCAAGCATATGGACTTCATCGATGAAGAGAACTCCTGGCATCAACTCAGCGACTCCACTTTCGATGTACTCGTTCACTACTTTGTTGATTTCCGATCGGAGACGATCTGTAACAGAATGAACGGGTCTATATAGATAAATCATTGCCTATCTTACCAGTGACTTCAGTTTTCTTTGGTGCCATTAGCTGAGAAACGATGTTGGTTACATCTCCTTGACGGCCTTGTGGACGGGAATTCGCCAGATCCAAATCATGCAATGACACGTTTTGCACAATATCCTTTGACTTTCTGACATCTCCTTTCGGCATTGGAACAAACTCATCAGCTTCCAAATCGAATTCGGAAGCATACACATCACATCTGCCAACTCTTTTTACGATACCCGAGTTAGCTTCGATGTAGATAACGTCGCCGACTTCAACACGCTGTTTCAGAATCGAATCATAGATACTTGGATCCAATTTCAGCTGCTTGCTTCCTTTTGCTGTCTTCAGACCGATAAGGAGATGAGAGATGGTTTTTCCAAGACCAGAGCTTTCTGATGTTTCAACTGGAGTCAATTCTGTGACCTCTCCTTCGTAGACATCCTTCGTTTCCTTGACTCTCAAACCAATAGCTCTTCTGAAGCTTCTCATCAGCACTTCAGTCTTTTTGACTTCACTGGAGAAAACTTCACTGGCAACAAGTGGAACGAATGGAACACCGTCTCCCAGTTCGTGAGACATTGCCAAAGCAATTGCTGTTTTTCCGGTCGCCGGTGGTCCAGCTAGAAGAACTGCTCTGCCAGCCATACTCTTCATTCGGATCATGTCGACGATGATGGAAGCGGCAGTTCTTGCGGCGATTTGTCCAACGAATCCAGCTCCCTAAAATTGTTTTTTTTTTCAGAATTGAAATTGATGATTTTAACACTATAATCTAGTGACTAGATTACTCAGATGCACGATATTTTTGAACACTCACCTCAGGAAGAGCTTCATTTGTTTCTGTATCAATTCCGAGTCCTTTAACGTGACTGTGGGCAGCAATCCGTTTGATCTGTTTGGGAGTTGGTTTAACCTAAAAAGCACAATGGTATAAAACTAAATACCAGCCTACTAACCTCTTCGATCGGCGCCAAACGGGAAGAAGAAGTTCCATTGGTGGGTTCATCGATTTCCATATCCATTTTAACTGAAAATTTCAAGTTAAGACTAGAAGAAACACAAAAAGTCTTTTTAGGAGGCAAAACTAGAATTCGAAATTTATTGTGTAGTCGCTTGATTTGACGCACAATTGCGGACTAAAGGAAAAAGGCGGCACCGAATAAAAAATGCATTTGAACGCGTTTTTAGGTTGAGAAACATTCAAGCGTTTCAGTATCTTACGTTAAAAAATGAAGCACCTTAAATTTTATCAGGAAAACAAGGAAATATGTCAAAAAAAAGTAAAAACCGAATTTTTGTACTTTCGCTCTGAAACCAACAAGATGAAAATGTGTCATGCGCCTTTAAGGATTACTGTAGCTCTCAGCAATGGTCTGTAAAATTCGGGGAACCTTTTTTTTTGGCCGCCGGTGTTTTCAAATGGCAGGTCTCCGGCATTTCGAAGAGTTTGATTTTGATGAGGTTAGTTGTAAACTCTCATTTTATCAACAATGCAAGAAATTACAGGATTTCGATTCAGAAGAGGAGTTTTCAAAGTTTCTCAGCGATGAAGATTTTGAAAATGAGTCTGAAAACGAGTCGGTGGATAACGAATCGGGTGTTAACATGAATTTCGAAAAAGCTGATATCGTTGAGCTCCCAGATGATATAGGTATTCCTTAAAAAATAGCAGTAATACAGTTTTTTTTCTCAGAAATTCCCCCAGTAGCTCCTCAAAAAAACGAAGAAACTTCTCTTCTCGATTCATTGCTTGGTGAGGCGTTGTCTGGAGAACAGGTCAACCCATCAATCGTAGGACTATTCGACGATTTGGATTTGTCGGATGAAGAACCACAGGTGATCAATCGAGGGCTTCTAGAAGACGAAGACAGTGGAATCAGTACTGGTCCCAGTCGTTCAGATGACACTGAGATCTCTCAAGAATCATCGAGCAAGATCCCAGAACCGTCTTCAATCGAGAAGTACCTTCGATACATTTCCGAAGAAGAGCATGAAGTGTCTGTCGACGAAATTCCGGATTTCGCTTCTAAAAAGTAATTTTTGTTCTCTATCTCTTTTCCCAACTAAAAGTGTTATAGAAATGTGTATGGGACTAGCTTCAATGTTCGAACTGGAAACATCTCTCGCCCTCCAAGATTCGAGTTCGCTCGTCGCGATGATCGCTGGATCAACTCTTGCAAACTTTTGACTTATGACAACGAGAAGCCATTGAACGAGTTGCTCTCACTTGGGAAGTTAGTGCCAACTGTAAAGGCTGGAATGAAGCTCAACTACAAGTCATGCAAGTTTACCGATGTACACTGCCGAAGTGCTCAAGAGATGTCCGATATGGAGACTCATGATATTCAACAAATCATTCGCGACGCATTCAACTCTCGTCGTCTAGCCGTGATTTTGTTTGGAGTGGATAAAGATGGAATAGTGACCGGGTGTCAAATGAACGCTGGAAAGCAAGATAATCTGCGTCTTGCCTTGGATACTGCGATTCAAACGGAATTCGTACCACCTATTGAGAATATCCTCGATGCTGTCGACGTTCAATTCTTGCCTGTTGAAAATTTGGGGGATATGTTTTTGATTGTTATTCGCATCAAACAAATCCGTAATCAACACTATCTCTTGGAATCTTCTGTTTGATTGTTTGGAATTGATTTTTTTATTTTCTTTGTTCTCCCCTGTTCTTCTTTGATCTGTTGCATGAATTGCCAAATGGTTACCGAAAGGTTACACAGTTAGTTTATAGTTAAGTGTTATTCTTCTTATTACTTTTTTCTCTTTATTCACACCAAACTCTCCCAGTTGTCAGATGATTCCTCGAAAATGCACAATTCGCTACGGCACATCCATCACCCCTAACTTCGCAAAACTCATTGACGCCGTTCCACCATCAGATGCAGACTTCAACAGTTCCGTAGTAGCAGTTGAAAAGCGAATCATCGAAAACAAAGATCTTGCTAAACTCCGACGCCCTTCCTTATCTGCTATTTTGTCAGCTATCAGTGATCAGAGAGCGCTATATTTGTGGCAAAAAGCAAAGATTGATGAAATGGGATTGAGCTCGTTCAAAGCTTACATGACTGATAGAATGGCAATAGGAACTCGAACTCATACTAGAGTTGAGGAAATGCTCAGGATAGGACACGATGAGGCGAAATTGGCACAAATTGTGAGCTGAACAAATAAATAAATTGTTTAAAACTTCAAAATAAAATCATAGATCGACTCTGAAAAGCAAGCAGCAATACGAAATTATATGAAAAGTGCGCTTCCGATTATTCTGGAGATTCAGGATCCAGAATCAGCGATTTGTGAAAAACGAGTAAGACATCCAATTTTAGCATATCAGGGAAGGTTCGATGCAGTTGTTAAATACAAGTGAGCACTAGAAAAATATTTATAATTTCTGTATTTTGTGATTTTAGAGACAATTGGAGCATTCTCGATTGGAAAACTGCTCCTGCTCGATCCTCATTCAGTCAACAAGGTGAAGACAGTCTCTCTTATGTCAGTTATGTTAGACAGTTAGCTGCCTACGCATCTGCTTTCAACTATGATGTCCGATATGAAAACTCACCTATTGTAAGTCATTTATATTGATTTTTTTAATCCTGCAATTATAGGCAAAACAAGGGTTATTGGTCAGCTTGAAAGAGGATGGAGCACCTGCGGAAGTATATCAGATTTCAGAAGATGAAATGGAAAACACTCTAGGCGATGTGAAAGAGAAGCTGAAGAAATTCTGGAATAAAGTCATGTCATCTAAACAAGCTAACATTGACCTCGCATACAAGCCTGCTAACTAATTTACTAAATAAAATACGGATTTTCTTTTAAATTTTTATATTACAAAATGCAAGCTGTATAAAAAGGAAAAGTGAAAAACGAGAAGAAAGAATCAGGATATTACATAAATACAATAGAACCCGTAACTGGGAGAACATTTAGCATTTGGAGCAGAGAGTCTTGGCTTCAGCGAGAAGTTCCTTCTCGTTGTCATTGGTGGCGGTCAGTTTCAAAGCCTGGTCGAAATATGGCTTGGCAGCAGACTTGTCTCCCTTTTCATAGAGAGCCTTTCCAAGGTAGACGGTGTTCTCAATCCAGTCTGGGTTGATGGCATGAGCAGCCTGGAAGTCAGCGATGGCTTCGTCGACAGTAGCAGTTGGTGGCTCGGAGTAGAGGAGAGCAGCAGCCTTGCGCTCGAACCAGGAGAGGTTGGCGACGGAAAGGGCCCAACGTCCACGGAGGTGGAGAAGAGCGTCTTCCCTTGGTTGAATGGAAATGGCGCGGTCGAGATATTCCTGAAATTAATAATTGAATTTAATAAAATTAATAACCTTCTATTTCTCTTTTTTTTTTCAAATGACGCTGAATATTTACCTTGCAATGCTTTCCTTCCTCAATCTTTTCCTTTGTTCCGAGGTACTCGGTGACCTTTCCGGACATCAAAGCAGCCCATCGAGCAGCCAAGAAGTTGTTCGAATCGGTGTTCCATGCTTCGATAGCGTACTTCTTTCCCTCGATGATGATATCCTTTCTCTTGTTCTTCTCAACACGATTTCCAATCTCGTTGCAGAACTTGGCCAAGCGCCAGAGCACATCAATGGAGTTCTCTCCGGCGTCGTAGCGCTGAAAATGTTCTTTGTACAAAACAATATAATTTCGCAAGAATATTGACTCACCTTCTTCAGAGCATCATAACCCTCTTGAACACGGTCGGTTCCAAAAAGAGCGTCAAGTTCGTCGAACGACATTGTTGATGATTGATTGGCGGTCTGAAAAATGTGATTTGAGTTTCAAGATAGTTTATCACATAGGCTCGTGGTCAGCGAAAAAATGTCGTATGAATTTCGTATCGCAGGAAAAGAGAAAAGATGGCGCGAGAACATCAGTTTTTGTTGATTCATGGACAACTGGTGGCGCGAAGACAACGAGAGAGTAGTGCGTGTTAGAGACAACAGATAGTTGGAGATGTTCTTTCTAGGCTACACGCAAACAAGAGGCACCAGGCGAAACTAGGAAACTGATTTTGAAACAATTAGTTTTCAGCCTGTTGTTGAAAACAAATCCGGTGTTTTTTTTTGAAAATTTCCCTCCATATGGCAGTAGTTTGAAGGCGCGCACTGTGAAAATTAACATGGGTCCCGGCACGAATTGAAACGGTTTATTGTCGAATTAAAAAAAGTGACACCTGAGAATTTGAAAACTTTTGCTTTTTTTGATCTACGAAAAAGTGCGGCAAAACGTAATATTTCAGAATTTCGGCTCGTTCGAGCTACTTTCGTGTTTAATTTTAGTTTTTTGCTTAAAAATAGTTTCTAGAGATGCTCGCGATCATTTTTATATCAAGAAATCAAAATTTTGTTCAGAAAATCCCACTAAATTCACATGAATAAATTTGTTATCTACAGTATCCGTTTTCGCTCCGCCCCCTCGTAAATCGACACGAGCGACGTCTCCGAGATTTTCAGGTGTCACTTTTTTTAATCCGACAATAGTTGAAAATAATTTTTCGCTGATAAAACAAAAGACAGGAAAAATAGAAAAATTGAGATTCTGAACAGTTAAGGGTATCACTAAAATACGAAAAAGACTACAAAAAACAAAAAAGCGCGAATGGCGCGACTCACCGAGAGACCGTTGACCGGTTTGGAGTCTCCGTAGGAACGATCGTCGGTATACCTGCAACATTTTTTGAATTCTTTGGTCGAGAAGAGATACAAATTTTATCTAGATTTGAATCTTTTGAAAATCCACCCAAGGAACACTTACCTGGCATAGCAAACCGGGGACAAAAGAGTAACAGAGAATAGGACGAGGAAGTTCATGTTTCTAGAAATCATGACTGACGATGCAGACACTTTTTCTATTCAACAAGATGTCAAGAAGTGTAATAAAGGGGAAGAATTGGGGCTCACGAGAGCAGATGATCAGAGAGAAAAGGATGACTGGGAGATCTGACGTCAATTTATATAGGGATTTTTTATCTTATCTGCTCTTTGCTACGGATCATCTATCTTATCTATTCCATGAGCTCTGAGATGATCTCTGGTCTACTTTTGAAGTTCCATACCAATCTTCCTCAGCATCTCCATATTCTGAATCTGAAGTAATCGAAGTCCAACTTCTGGTTCTTGCCATCTCTCGTTTGTAGGTGATGGGTTGAGCTCTCGCCGCTTCTGAAACTTTTTTCCTATTCACAAAGATTTGTATTACTCTGGTACGAAAATTGGAGCTGTGAAGGTCCCACCACGACAACTACAGTAACCTAAAAATATTTTTTTCTTTTTTTTTCATTCTTGGGTTACTGTAGTTGTCGTTGTGGGACCAGCTCCGATTTTTATGTACCAGCAAAGTACCTAATCTAAAGGAGACAGATTTAAGTGCTCCTCCACTATTAGACGTTCTCATTCCACCTTTCTGCTTCAAATCCTCAGTTAGATTCTTTATTACGGTTTCTAAATCTTCGATTTTCGCTCTGAAACAAATTAATCGTAAATGCAATCGAGTCAATTTTTTAAATGTACCCTAGAACATCAACCATCATTTGAAGGCGCTCGATTTCGACAATAGTTCTATCATCCTTTCTGGCAAAGTGCAGAAAAACACCCACAGCTGCACCAGTGGCAGCAGTGATTCCAATGTACTTCCATGAGCTTCCAGAACTAGTCGATGGTTCAATATTCATCTAGAAATTTCGGAAGGTCCTATAAAAAATAGACAGATGCTTAATAGCAAATACGAGTGGTGTAACCATTTGGACGCACGTGATTGGGGATTCATAGGCACACAGTGAGACGGAAAGAAAACGAGAAAGACAACGTGACTAGAAGAAGGGGTACTTTATTGAGGGGACAAAGAAAGATCAAAAAGTCACTGAACCCGGAAAATATATTTTCAGGACAGTCAAGAACAACAACAAAAAAGCTTCAGGACATAAATAAAAAGTACTTCAACAGCTTAATTATCCAACTTTTGCTTCTTAGCAGCCGGATTCTCTTCCCCGATTTCGAGAGCCTTGCGTGCCATGGCCAGCGCCCCTTCACGAGTCAGATTTCCTCCGATGAAGCCGGAAATATGGACGAAGACGCCGCCGGGGATTCCGCTTTCCTTACTGAGGTCATCGTCGCGAAGACCACGCCAGGCGGCTGGAAGAGGCATACGGTTTTCGAATGAAGACATTTTGTCGATTGGAATTGCTTGGACGCGCCACGAAGAGTTTGTAGAATCTGGAAAATTTTGAAATATTTGTTTTGAAAGTTTGGAAAGAAGAAGCATACCAGAGAACAAGATGTAAGTGATCTTGTCGTCAGCGATATTTTTCTCGGCTTCAATATCAAAGAAATGCTCTTTCCATGGACATCCACCGTTCTCAATCAGAATTATCCTTCCGGATGGATCATTCTCGAATCTTTCATCAACAGCAGCTTCGATAATCTCTCTTGCCGGCCACCACACGTTCGCCAGATACTTCACAGATCGCTCGAATTCTCCTCCGATGAATTCCATCGCTTGCTGGAATCGCTCGTCGTCGTTGTTACCCGGTTCGTTCCAGTGAGCATTGAATTGTCCGGTACGCGAAGAGAGATTTCCTGGCGAGTGATAGCGAGGAACACCGTCGTATTGGGAGATTCCGTTGTCGATTGCATCGATCGATTCGACGAACTGCTCATAGAGTCGATGGTAGAAGAGATCCACCATAGTTGGGGGGACATTTCCACCGAGGATCTGAGAAATTTATTGCTTATAAAATGCTTCGGCTGTGGGATACTATACCTGGTTGATAACGTCCTTGCCATAATGAGCATAGACAAGTCCAGCAGAGCTCAATTTGGTATCAAAATTGAGCTTCTCCAAAGTTCGCATGGTCTCAGTGAATCCCCTCTGATGATGGTCGTACCGTTGTTTGGAATGATCGAAGATACCACCGACGTCTACAACGATGTCACACTTTTCGAGCTGAGCTGGATCACGAGTTCTGGAAAGCGAGATGATTTTCAGGAGGCTATCAATCTGAAGTCGTTATACCTCACAATGGAGTGATCCTTAAACTGCTTCAGCTGCTTCAGCATGAAGCAAGCAAACGCTTCATCGCAGTGAAATTTTCCTGAATGGGTGCCAATCAAAGACGTCATTCGTTGACCCAGTTGGTTAAGGAATCGGGAGATCACCTGCCACGAAGTTTCCTTTTTGGGTCTCCGGTAGTGATAACTTATCACTGATAAGTGAAATAAATTTTTTCGAAGTTACAAGTTGAGTTAAAAGTGGCAAAAATTGAAGAGAAACTATTTATTAAGCGCAAATAAAAGGCAACATATAATACAAAAACTAAACTACAATCAGAAAAGAAACAAAATAGATAATCAGAAAAACCAGAACAACCAGAAAAGAAAATATATCACACACAAGTATAAACACACACAAGTATAGCACATGAGTTAATTTTAATTACAACTGAAGATGGTTCTAGGCAAAGGACATCCCAGGATACTGGATATTGGTTTGCAGGTATTGTTCGATATCTTCCCTTCTCGCTTGTCGTGGAAAGTGTGCAAAACCGTCATTCTTGAAACAGCGATATAGCTCCTTCGCCTTCTCACAAGAGAGATGAGCGTAGTGAACCGGTGTTGGTAGAGAAATTGGTTTACGGCATCTAGCCGAGAGGAATGACAATTCGTAGGTCATTTTCTGAAATAGTTCGGTGAAAACTATTTTTCTCTCCGAACTCACATATAATTCATCCTTTGTCATTTTCTTGTCGTCATGCATAACTGTGTAATAACCAGGTCGCGATGTTCCAAGCGCACCGTGATGAGACGAAAGGAAGAAGTCGAACTTATACTTGGAAACTATAGTTCTATCTACAGTTGTCCCAGAAGTAGGATTCACAAAACCCGTGTTTTGGCTAGCCTTCAGCTCTTCGTCCCATCGTTTCGCTGCTTCCTCATCTTTCGGCCGCTCATTTTCAATCTTGCGGAAAAGCCGAGTTTTGTGTCTCTTTTGTAGAACGATGAAGGTGTACTCCGGAATTTGCTCATTCTTGCCTCGCTCCTTCAGGAATCGTTCAACTTCCGCTTTCAATGACCTTAATTCATCATGACTGACACGCAGCATTTCTGAGTCGCTCACACCGTCTCGATAAACAACAATATGTGAGGGAATACGGTTTTCGTTGTTCTGTAAAACAAATAGAAACAAAACTATTGTTGCCTGTTGATAAAATGAAGATTAATACCTCTGCAAAGATTCTCAAAAGCTTCACGAATTTCCCTTCCAAGATATCAGTTCTCTCCCTTCCATGAGCTACCGGACGTTCACCTGGACGATTCTCTTCTTGAGTTACAATCATATTACGATAAACGGTTCCTCCTGGATTCATACTTGCCACAATAGCAGCTATCGAGTAGTCGATTCCACTTCCATTCGTCGGATGAGTGACATCAATCCCAACATACATTCGGAGTGGCATATTCTTCCTCTTTTCTTTTTCTTCAACTGTCATCTCTGCATTTTCTGACCAATCGAGTTCTTGATTCACACCTCCTAGTTTTCCATTGATCTTTAAAGCGATTTGATAGAAAATTCGTTTAGAAGGTTTATGAGAAGACATATCCTGTAGAGCTCTTTTCGCGACGTGGGCAGTAACATGTTGACTGGCTACACCAAGTTCAACATCGCAGAACTGTTTCACGAAACCATAGAAATTCCAACGACGTTTCGAAAAGACGATGAACAGTAGAATCTTGTTATTCTTGTCAGCAAGTCTCTCAAACATTGCTTTCGCATCGTTAGCACAAGCTCTAAAGTTGCGTACGCCCGCAGTGAGCTGCACGTTCGGGTAGAACTGAAAAATAATGGATATCAGTAACTAACTCGAGATAAACCAACTCACCCCATACTTCCCACTTTCAGGATCTTGCAACAAGGAACGAACTTGACTATTTTGATGTTTTCCGATTCGAATAGATCTGAATTCACAACCATCGATGAGCGTCTTGTAGAACCTCCTCACATCTTCTTCTTCTAAACATGGCTCTGTCTCTTTGTCCTCGCGAAGAACAAAAATGGCACAACAGAGTTCTTTTTCTGGAACCACGTTCAACGCTTTCTCTTGGAATCCTCTAACCACAGGTGTCATACTGATCTTTTGATTATCTTTGTTGACGAGTGATGGTTCCTTCAGCACTTTTCCAACACACTCTATCATTTTCAGATCGGTACTGAATCCAAACCGTTCAACAAAGTTCAGCGATCCAGATGAAAAATCGAGATCTTTCAACATCTCAAGCGCTTCCTTCTTATACATATGAGGATCGCGTGTCGCTGCATTCACAAATTTGTCTTGCATCGCAAAGTCGATTCGATTTTTGTAGCGTTGTGGTTTTTCGTACACTTCTAGAAACTCCATGGGGACCGAATACTCGTTATTACCGCTCTTACACACCACCAATGGTAAGCGAGGAAACTCGATGTATTTACGGTTCTTCTCATAAATTTGAAACAATGGAACTCTGTCAATTGGGGCATTTCTGTCTCTTCCTCTTGGAACTGGAATCATTTCTTCGTGGGAATTATACTTGCTCAATCTGATAAATGTCAGATGACGTTCAGCAAACTCTGACCTGAAATAATTTTGATTAACGTCTCATTCTTCAAATAGTAGTTCATACCTTTTAGGATTCCATACCGATGCTGCTTTTAACTTTAAATTCGCAAGCAATTGATCAATGCTTTGAAACATAGCTGGCTTAATTGTCAAATTTCCCGAATTCAACTGTTCTTTATGGTTTCTTCGAACTTCGTCCATATGAGATTGCGGATCCACAATCAGAAGCAGGTAGTCGAGGAGAGACATTTGTGGAGCGTTGTAGAACAATTTGTCAATAACTGAAATTAATGTTTTAATATTTTCAGCCTTAAAATTTTTAATTCTCACTGGCAAAATTGAGAACCGGGTCTCCGTCGAAAAGTTCTTTAACAGCGATATAGATTCCGAACCAAGATTCAATGCGTGGCGCGATTTCCAGAGAATGTTCAAATCGATCAGGGTCGTGAAAAGATTCTGGAACTCGGAGAATGGAGTTTCCATCGTAGATGAAATTTTTGGCAAGTTGGCTGAAAAAACGGCTTGTTCGAATCGGGGAATTGAAATTCCTAGAAAAACGAAAAAAAAAAGATTTTTTTTTCCAAACTAGTAAGACGGTGTTTTCGCTGCAGGACGCAGCTCAAAAAATTCATCAGGTTTCTTTAAATATGCTACCACCGATTTTCAAATAATTTGCGGACAGGGATGCTCGAAAATTCCGAAAAAAATTGACAAAAAGATTTCGAAAAAGCAAAAAAACTGCACGCTCTCCCACAAAACAATTCCGAACTGCAAATTTATTTTTGATCTACAGAAAAAGTTTGGCGCGATCACAATTGCAGGTCTAAAACCATAATTTCAGAATTTTTATCTGATTTTGTGGAGTTCCAAGATGATTCAAATGATTCTTTAAAAAATAATTAGTGGTTATAGATTCATGTATGGTCCTTTTCCGGAAGAAAAAATGTCAAAAATGGTCATTTTTGAAAGTTTTTTACAGAAAAAATCTATCTCCTCTTTCAGTTTTTGACATTTCTAGGAGTTCTATAGCTCAAAAAAACCGCAATTATTTTCTTTACATTTTCTGTAGATGAATTTTTAATTCGTCTGATAAAACTTTTTTTATAATTCAAAAACCTCATGAAATTGCACAAATCGCATTTCTGCGTTGTTTTTGAATTATAAAAAAAGGTTTATCAGACGAATTAAAAATTCATCCATAGAAAATGTAGAGAAAATAATTGCGGTTTTTTGAGCTATAGAACTCCTAGGAATGTCAAAAACTGAAAGAGGAGATAGATTTTTTTCTGTAAAAAACTTTCAAAAATGACCATTTTTGACATTTTTTCTTCCGGAAAAGGACCATAGATGAATCTATAACTACTAATTATTTTTTAAAGAATCATTTAAATCATCTAGGAACTCCACAAAATCAGATAAAAAATTCTGAAACTTTGTTTTAAACCTGCAATTGTGATCGCGCCAAATTTTTTCTGTAGTTTCAAAAATTAATTTGCAGTTTGGAATTGTTCTGTGGGAGAGCGTGAACTAGAAAGTAATTCCATTCGAAACCCGCAAGCAAACTTTTTGCGTGCGCCTTTGACGTACTGTAGTCTGGTCGAAATTTTTAGAATTATGTTGCGAACATCCCCGATTTCCGGTAAAAATTCGGAGTTATTTTTCTTTAAAGTCTCAGTTAATCAGACTCACAATCCGATTTCATTAGCCACATACGGTGCACAACGAACTTTTTGTGTCATAACATTCTGAAATCTTTTCGAAATAATTGTTTTGTTTAGAGTAAATACACGAACCTTCAAAAATTTACAACTTCTGTTTGCTTCTTCATCCCTCGTCGGATCTTCTCTACTAAAGTATAGATTGAATTTACATTTGTAATGCATTTTAAGCACTAATTTGATGTCTCGGTTTTGAGGATCAGGAATTTCAGAGGACATTCCGTTTGGGGTCTTGTGAATACTGTAAACCGTATCCTTCTCATCAAAAACATAGTCTTCAATTTGGAACGGATTCTTTTGTTGCTCGAATCTCAAGTGCTTCCAGAACGCTTCAGATCGTTCCGGGCTGCAAAAAAAGCACATTTCAGACTTCATTGTTTACTTTTTCATTTACATTGGATATGGCATCTGCTTTGTTTTGAACGACTTAGTTCTCTTATCCATATACTTCTTTTCTTTGTACATATCCACAAAATATCATAATACTCTCGATCGTAAATATTCGTGTTAAATCGGAACCAGTTGACCAGCAATTTTACTTTTTCGACATAATACTTCCCTTCGCATTTTTCTTCTGGCCTTGATAACCACTTCATGCTCTGAAATTTCTGATTTTTTTTCTAGATTCTTGCCGCGTCTAAAGACTCACTGGATCCAAGTGATGAGAGTACTATTTAATTGGCTCTTTGTCTATTTTTGGTGGCATGATCTGAAGAAAAATATTTCGAAAGAATTGACAGATCTCTCTGATATACTTATGCGAGGTGTGCCCCCACCGTGTTATATTTAACATGAGGAAGTCCTCCTATGAGGAGGACTTCCTCATGTTCCAAAACATGAGGAGGACTTCCTCATGTTAAATATAATATGTCGTAACTTAAATTGCCTCAGCTGTGGCAGCGCGTCATGGTGTTTGCGTCCTCGAAAAAAGTATTTTTCAGAGAAATTTTCTTGATTTATTGATGGCGTTCCCGTTCGACATTTTGCATTCGGAAATTATCCGAACAGCTTTGGAAGGTGAAAAAGATAGATGCGAAGCGAAGGATCAGTTTGGAACGGTACATAATTTTTTCCATTCTATAAATACATCCTCTGTTAGAGATTCGTTTACAGATCATTGAAAACCTGAGTGGTCCAGCTGATATCGATAAATACGATGGTCTAGTGCAAAAAGCGTTTCTCCATGTGAGTTTTGTGCTTTATCATAACAACCATAATACCAATTGAAATACAGGCAAATGCAGAAACAAAGCTTGAAACGATTGGATATCGAGTTGGGAGACAGTTGGTAGAAAAAGTCTCGAAGGAAGCTCCGAAATTAGTAACAGAACTAGAGGTATGTTGTATTTGAATTTTTCTTAAATCTAAAAAAAAAACGAATCACTTAGGTTGTAAAATTCATTTGCAAAGATTTCTGGTCGTCAGTCTTCGGCAAGCAAGTTGATAATCTACGAACAAATCATCAGGTATTATTTCCACTTTCTTTATCACCATCAGACATAATTTTTAGGGCGTCTATGTAGTTCAAGATGGTCGCTTTACAACATTGCGAACTTTCCCAGAAGGAGATCAGTACGTCAAGGAGAGCGGCTACTTTCTAGCGTTTCCATGTGGTCTTCTTCGTGGAGCACTTGCTGGACTCAATATCAGAGTAAGATTTCTGAAATATTTCAATGCGAAATTTCGTATTTTTCAGGCTGTCGTAACTCCTACAATTGAAAGTGTGCCATCTGTCAAATTCCATATTCAGATTCAAGCGAAATAGACCTTTTTGAAAAATTGATTTCATGTGAAAATTGTATGTCTGTATATGTATAATTTATTGAACGACTATAAAAAATGGAACCGGTAGAAAGACTAGAAAAAACAATCATATAAGAGACTATGATTTTCAAAAATTAAAATTTCAACCCGATTATAGACAAAATCGTTGAAAAAGCGTTCCTATTATACGAGATTTCTTTAAATTATTGAACAACTGTTAAGAAACAGTAAAAATTAACCAATTTCGAGTATTCGACGCAATTTTCAGTTGTTGGAGCTGTTTTTCGTGTAAAGCTGTACAAAAAGTACGAAATCTCAGTAGCCCGTTCAACGTTTTACAAATTGTGTATTTATAAAGCAAACTTTAAAAAATAAGACACGGTAAAAAAAGGCACGGTATTTATTTAAAAATATGACCTGATTATTGGGGGAAAAATAAACGTGGGATGAAAAAGTACAGAAAATTGAGATATGAAATTCTGGACTTTTGAGGGAGAAGAGAACGTGGAAATCATTTTTCTAATGAAAGTACAGAAAATCCTCGATGAAAATTCTGGCCTTTTTAAAAAAGAAATAAACGTGAGAAAAAAGGTGACACTGAACATTTTTCGGGATGGGGTACATGAGTGTGAATAGTTTCTGGACTTCAAAAAATGAGTTGGATTGTTCGCCAAAAGTGTCTACAAATCTCAAGGAATTTCGCTCTTCGTGCATTGTTTAGTTGCCCAATCTGCCAGTTCAGTTTATCAATTTCTTTATTATTAAAGAAATTTCTGGTTTCCTGTTTTCGTTTTTTTCACTCAGGTCGAAGCTCATTCTCCTCTATAATAATGAAGAAAATTGATAAACTGAACCGGCAGATTGGGCAACTAACCAATGCACGAAGAGCGAAATTCCTTGAGATTTGTAGACACTTGGCGAACAATCCAACTCATTTTTTGAAGTCCAGAAACTATTCACACTCATGTACCCCATCCCGAAAAATTTTCAGTGTCACGTTTTTTCTCACGTTTATTTCTTTTTTAAAAAGTCCAGAATTTTCATCGAGGATTTTCTGTACTTTCATTAGAAAAATGATTTCCACATTCTCTTCTCCCTCAAAAGTCCAGCATTTCATATCTCAATTTTCTGTACTTTTTCATCCCACGTTTATTTTTCCCCCAATAATCAGGTCATATTTTTAAATAAACCGAATCATTTGTTTTTTGACGTTATCTTATTTTACAATCTTTAAGTTTGCAGTGAAAAAGCCCGAGCTGAAAATTTGTACTATTTGTCCATTTTTCTAACCGCATATTGCATGAAACAAATAAAGTGGATAGGGTACAAAAACTTTGTGATTTCAACAACAAGAGATGAAAAAATATTTTTTTTTGAAAATCACAGGCTCTTATATCTAAAGCGTTTGTGGGTTTTTAATAAATAGAACCGTAGTTTCATTTGCGTAGAAGATCATGGATTTCCACCGGGGTTTTTCCTTTTGTTTCAGGGAGATACCTGAATTAGAGTATTCAAATGGTCCAATAAATAAAAAAAAATAAGAACTCACATGAAAATGTAGGTAGCCGTAACTGCCAGAGGAACTATGAAAAGTAAGAATGCAAGTCCTCCAACTGTTTCAACCAGTGACAAATAAATCACTGGAGAAATAAACGATCCAATAAATCTGAAAATGAAAATTCGGGAAAATGAGAGTAATCATCTGAACATACTGAACAGAAGTACTGTAACTTTGCATTTTTGAAATCGTCCCGGGTGTTGCCAATTCTGCTCCAATAAAAACTGCGGCTGGACCGATTCCAATGCTGAATACAAAAGTGAAAAGCACAAAAAGTCCTAAGAATGGCCACGCCAGCAATGGATCCTTGGTAGAATCATACAGAAAGACTAGTGACATCATAAGAATATTGATGAGAGCCAGAATTAGAAGAGATGAAATCAAAAGAGGGCGACGGCCAATCTAAACTTTGAAAAATGAAGTTTGGGCATCACAGTTTTGAAGTTACTTTATCAATTGCAATAGCGGCTAGAAGGGCTGAAAGAATAGAGGAGGAGCTACATAAACTGTTTGCCACGGCAGATCCTTCCGGAGAGAAACCAACATTTTGGAGTAGAAATGTTCCGAAAAATGATATTGCCGCAATGCCACTGAAAATAAAATTTCGAGAAGTAAAAACCTAATTGTAAGAAAATATGTTACCTAAAAGCCACAGAGAAGTTAATAGCGACAGAAAGGGATAATGCACGAGAAGCAGCTTTATCTTTGAGAACTTCTCGAAGAGTCTTGTTTTCCGTTGCAGTTTCACTTCTCAGATCTTCCAGAACCATCTTCACTTGACACGATTTTCCATAATACGTATATAGCGATCGTTCAGCTTCGATACTTTTTCCAATCGATAACAGATATTTGGGACTGTCGTGGAACATCGAAATATTCAAGATGACATGAGCAATGCAGGGGATTGTTTCAATAAAGAACATATATTTCCATAAGGATACGGTACCTAACAAATAGGGAGTTCCAAGTGAGGCGGCTAGCACGAACGCAATATTTCCAATGAGACCACTCAAAGAATTCGTCATACCGCGGTATTTGGCTAGAAATACTTAAAAGTTAAGGTTCTAGATATAATGGTTGAATTTCTGTAAATAAATGATTACCTGGACTAATTTCTGTGATAAAAACCCCTTGGGCCGATATCCCAATTGCCAATCCGATTCCTGACAGTATTCTTGAAATCGGTAAGAGTTCTACGAGGTTCAGAGAATAGGCAAAACCAAATACCGGTGTAGAAAATAGTAAAATAGTTGCAGCTGTGAGAAGAGTTTTCCTTGGTCCGATTCTGGAAAGGAGGTGGACCGAAAGATAAGATCCAACCATGGCTCCAATGAAAAGACATCCTGCCAATGAAGACCATAAAATGGAAAGTTGAGAAGATGAGAGAATGAAGGAATAACGTCTGAAATCAGAGAAATGTTGTTTTGTGTTCAATAAAATATTTTTGAAAATACTTTATCTTCTCTAATAGATGCCCAATCAAACTTTGAGTTCAATTATCTCGGTTCTTGGGAAAGATATCAAAAATGTGTCAACTGTAAAAATGTTGGTGGTATTATGATGAACAATTTATCAGTTGACACATTTTGAATATCTTTTGCAGGAAACGAGATAATTGCACTCAAAATTAAAGGTTGTCGTAAGCTTAACTTTTGTAGTAGAAAAGTTTTTTCTACTGATTCTTTTAGATTTTAATTACCGAGGTTTGAGGTGATTCAAACATTCTCCTGATGTTTTTCTTGACATAATTCTCGGGACACACTGATCCCAAGCGGATTTTTATTACAAAAAATAAAGATATTGAAACAATGTGTACTACACTGTCAAGTTGAAGCTTAATTATCTCCATTCCTGTCAAAGACATAAAAAAAAGTTGTCAACTAATAAATTGTTTATCTCAATTTCAAAAAAATTTGATTAGTTGGCACATTTTTTATATCTTCCACAGGAATCGAGATAATTGAGCTTAAACTTGAGTGGGCTTCTATTATAGAAATACGGTAAACCAATGTTCAAAACTACAAAACCTACATTCGAATTTTGTCTACTATAAACTGCTCAAGTATATCGGATAGTGGATTGACAGCAGAGATCAAATAACCGAAATGGAATCCACCGGCGAGCGAAGAGACTATAGAAGTTCCGAGAAGACGTGAGGTGAGCCGAGGGGAGGATTCAAAACTGTCATCTAAAGGGACAACCTTCATCTTCTGAAATAAACAGGACTTGAAAAAAATTCCAAAAAAGGGAGAACAATAAAATATTGTTGATGAGGGCGAAAAGCATGAACAAAAGTGCGTCTCTGAACATGGGTATGATGGTCTTGGTGTCGAAGACGTGATGCAGAAGAGTGTATCGTTTTGTGTGTACGGGTGAGAAAAGAACTTGTTTTGCTGGTTCTCTCAATAAGTCGCAGCTGCAAATGCTGATAATGATGGCGAATGAGAAGAAGAGATGATCTTCTCGAAAACCTAATGGAAAAATATTTTCTTGTGTCTTCTGATGGTCCCGAGTGATGTTTGATGTACTTCAAGAGATGAAAATAACCATTCCTTTAGATTTGATTATCCAAAGTATACCAGTTCTACTTTTCGACATATTTAGCGGCGGAATTCAGTGTGCAAAGAACCAAAAAACCCAGAGCAAATAGAACAGCGGCAGTATAAAATGGAACTTTTCGGTAGGGTGGAACAAGAATCTACTCATTCTTCTAACAATTTCCACTCTGAAAATGAACGCCAAATTGTGAGTTTCAAATTTCTAAAATCGTCTAGTAAATCAGAAACTTAATTTGCAGCCTTCTCTGTGTTTTGGCCCTTGTCATGTGCTCCATCGTTCAAGAGGCTAGTGCTCAATACTACGGATACGGATACGCCTCTTCTTATTATCCATCTTATTACGGAGGATATGGAGCATACAATGGATACTACGGTGGATATGGATATGGATCTGCTTATGCTGGACACTACGGAAAGAGAGAAGCTGGATTTGGACCACAAACGAACTGATTTTTTTTGTAAACAACATCAATAAATCTTTTGCATATCTACAAAGTGTTTATGAAAAAGGAAAAAAATTGCAAAACTGTGAAGCGACCTTGAACTGAAAGGCCGGTCAGTTCATAATGATAAAAATATAGACAAACATATTATGTGAAGTCTGAATCAAAGGAGTTAACTTGTAAGAATTTTCAATGATCCTGGTTGTCTGAAAATAAAAAATAAAATGAAATTCGGGTAAAGAAGTCAGTGAAAAGTCATACTTGTAAAATTCCGGGCCGGCCCGCCAAAGCCCGGGCCCGGCCCGGAAGGCCCGGTAGCAAAAATTTTGTAATTTTGAGCTCTCAATACAATTTTCTCCATTATTTTTTGTGTTTTTGGATTGTTTGTCTGTTTGTTCAAAAAATATCAAAAAAACTCGAAAAAATCACATAAGGGTCCCTCCTTATGTGTTTTTTGAAATTTTCAAAACTTGTGGAATGACAGGCCCGCCGGGCCGGGCCTCCGAAATTCGGGAAAAAGCCCGGCCCGTTACAAGTATGTGAAAAGTAAACATTCCGAAAAATATGTTGGAAACTTTTGCTGGCTGTGGGAACTGATTTACATCATGAGAGCGTTTCTTATATTACATGAGTTTATGTCCTGGAACAATTTCAGGGAAATGTTTCACATATTATGCTTGTACAAAAATCAAAGCTGGGGAAAGGAAAACTCGTGAGTGTGTCCAAAGGTTCCAGTAACGAAAACTACCGTAACCTGAAAAATGTTGGATCTTTTTTCTCGATTACCTTCTACAACTGTTGGGTTGAAAACCTCCAAACGAGTCGGAAAATAATGGTTTATTGCATACCAGCATACCTTACAAGTATTCCCTAACTTTGAGCCAGTGTATCTCGGTTCCTATCAACGATATGAAAGAGTTTTCAACTTATGAACTGTTTATCATAATGTCAAAAAGATGTTATCAGTTAAAATATTTTCCATATCTGGCATAGGAGTCAAGATAAATTTGCTCAAACTTGACAATCTGAGGGCCCTTCTATTACAGGTTTTATGGTAATAGCATTCGTAATATTTTTGCATTCCTTTCTTTCGAAAATTTGAAACGTGTTCCTCTCATTTTCTTCTTTTCCTTTTTCTCAAATCCCCAATATCCAAATCTCATTCACTTTTTCATTTATTTACTCATTTCTCAATCAAAGTTTTCTAACAAGAAGCGAGAGGCAAATTAATATGGATAAAACTCTCGACGTTTCCAACTTATCTCCAGGTACTCAGGTAAATATCTCTCAACCTGATTTCGAAGATCTGTTCAAACTAAAATTTCTTGGTCAGGTGTACAAATGGACAATCGACAAGAAAATCGCACAAGGAGATTTCAGTTATATTTATGCGTGCAACGGATCCAGCAACATGTCGAATCACAAACAGTTTGCCTTGAAGTGTGAAAATGCACAGAGCCCATTGCAGGTGAAACCCTGGAATTAGAGAGACGGGGAGATCAGAGATGAAATGGAAATTTCAGATGCTGAAAGTGGAGGCGTTTGTTTTGCAGAAAATATCCAAAAGGAGTTCTCGTCACTTTTGTGATATTGAGGATATTGGAAAGTTTCAAAACATTCACTATATCGTTATGCATATGGTTGGAAGGGCTCTTGTGGTTAGTGGATTACTGAAGTCTTTCTTGTGGTTAGTGGATTACTGAAAATTTTAAAGGTCGTTTACAGGACTACATCAAAACTTCCCAATCTGGTGTAATATCTGTTAACTGCGCTCTAAGCGTCGGAATTCAAATCATTGAAGCGCTCGAAGATCTTCACAACTGTGGATTCATCCATCGAGATCTGAAACCCTCAAACATTTGTTTCGGCAGAAAAGATCGGGGTGAACTCGGGAAGATGTATCTTCTAAGCTTTGGGATTTCGAGGAAATATGTTGACTCCAAAGTGAGCCAAATTTCGAATGATCAAAAATTCTTGACGTCTTCAGAATCAAATGCGAAAGCCTCGTGAACATGTGGAGTTTCGTGGAACAGTGAGATATGCGTCTCTGAACTGCCACCAACTCATGGAGCTGAACCGAAAGGATGATTTAGAGTCGACACTTTACGTTTTGGTTGAAATGATAACTGGACAACTTCCATGGAAAGGTCTTCCGGATGGAGCAACAGTGGCTCGAGTCAAACAGCAGAGTCGTCAGCAACCGGGGATTGCACAGTTTTTGAAAGGTGCATGTCCAATGGAGGAACTTCGAGAAGTTATGAATCTCATCGATTCTTACACGTATTTCTCTCCTCCAGATTATGCAAATATTTACAACGTAAGTTTCCTTTCCCTCCCAACTATGGAATTCATTTCGGTGTGTGTCATAAGGCTAAATATTGTATCCTATTTGCGTCATTGCCACTATACGAGCCACAAATATTTTTTTGTATTTTTAATCTTTAGATATACATATCATATCATATATGACGACAAATTTTTCTTTTCCAGATTCTCCGTCGTGCCATGCGCCGGAATCCACAACCAGAACATCCGTATGATTGGGAGCAAGGAGGAACGAACTCGCTATGTGATTTATGAACTAATTGCAGTTGAAGAATAAAAGTTGACAGATTTACATTTTTTGAATTTTGAAATTCTTAGATTTGAGTTTTTTGACAACCTTTACACAAGAACCCGTTCTTGCTGGAAGTGTTGACCTTAATTTTGAATTTTATGTAATTAGATTGTTTAGCAACAAACATTTTCTGAAAACATGAGTCGGTTTGATTAGTTTTTGGATATGAGCCAGTTCATATACTTTTCGCTCCGAGCACCAGAACTTTGAGAAACCTTTTCAAAATGGACCAAAATATTGTTATGTTATTGGGACCGCCAAACACATTTTCTCATAAAGACTTCTAATAAAAAGATTCTACGGATTCCCTTTATCGATAGGGTTTCCAAGGGGTTCCGATGGTCCGTCGATGGTCCGTCGACAGTTCGTAGGTCCTTCTTCGGCTGCCAACTAGCTTTTTTGTCAGTGCCCCTGTCAGTGCCAACTAGCTTTTTTGTCAGTTACCTGTCCTTCTACAGCGTTCAGCTACAGTACCGGTCAATAATGTCTTTCAGTTGGTTTTTGGCATTTTCAGGAGTCTGGAGCTCTGCTGTCAAGTTTCCGAACTCTTTGAAAACTTTGTTAGGTATAAAACAGACTTAAATTGAAATTTTTGAATTCGCAAAGCTATTCGCCGAGCTCTGGAAGACACCTGTTTTTTCAAGTTTACAGTACAAAAATAGACCAAAAGAAGTTTCCTTCAGAAGTCGTAAAATATCTGAAAAACTAGGAAATTTCAAAAGTTCTGTGAATGAAAAGTTTTCAATCTAGGTCTGCTTCACTTTTTTTTCAAAGTGATTGGAAACTTGAGACCTGAGCTCCAGACTTCTGAAAATGGTCAAAACGGGTAAAAATCCTCTGAAAAAAGTTTTTGTATATCTTTTTGACAGGTACTGTAATATGTTTTTGGGGGTGATTCATCACTTCTATATCTGGAAATGTTCAGTTATGAGAAAAGTTATGATTCATAGAAAGGATATAAAATTGGTCCATTTCAGAAATCAGAAAATGAAATTGAGAAACTTCAACAAGAAAGCAGTGCCAAATAAGTTCAGAAAAAGACATTAAATCAAGTGTTTTTCTTGGAATTTGTCGAGAAAGCTAATTTTTCCCAAATGGTATAGCAGACAGAATGAAAAAGTTTCGTCTGGGTCATACATTTTCCGACTACTTTATCTTTAAATTTTTGCTCTGAAAAAGAGTCACTAAAATTTATTCTCAACGTTCTTATTCCAGACTCCGTCTCGTTTTTTTCCTGACTTTCTCCAACTCCACTAGTCGACTCTCCGTTAGCTTCTGATTTTCGCCTTCTGCTCCGTCTTCTCATTCTCCCTGGGCAACGAGGGCGTGGCTTCATCAATCTCTTTTGCCTTATTCGTGTTTCGGGATCTCATTTCACTCACTCTCCCTTTCTCCACACCTCCTTCATTCTTCTTCCTACCTCTTCGGTTTGGTTTCACACTCTCTTCTCCATTTTCGCATTATTCTAGAATGGTTATCTTTGATTGGTTTTGAGCCGCCTTTTTGATGTGATTTGAATATGAGTATGTGTGGGGCGGAGAGTTCCAGGAAACGATTGGTTGTAGCCTTTGTAGTGTAGGGAAACTTCTGATTGCTTTTTGAATTAGTACATTCGATTTCGGAGGAGTATGAGTCAATCAGTTCAAATTTAGACATTCCTTCGGAAAGTTGTGAGTTTTTGATTAAATTATATTTTTTGCGCCTCCGGCGCTTCAAACAGCTGGAATTAACTTTTTTCTTTTACAGTTAGTCGCTTCGCGAATACTTTTCATACTAGTATGTCTTCTACAATTACTCTTATTCTGAATATTATTTGATTTGATCGCTGAATTAGTTAGTCTTGACGTAACCAGTTGTTTATATCTGTCGACCTTGAATTTACTGGATCGAAGCTCACAAACCTCTTTGAAAAAGCTCTTTAAAATTTTTATCTGATTGTGACAACGAAAAATCAGCTGAAAAATTAACTTTTTTGAAGAAAGATCCGGAATCAGTAAATAGAATCAGTGTTCTTTTTGTTTTGTCACTAGCATAGAGTAAGTTTTTAGATAAAAACACAGAGTCCATGGTTTGATTTCGTTTAGAATGAAGTTTGTTGGTAGGATACAGTTAGGAAAAGGAAGTTCAAATAAAAAACGGATCCAGCTCGGAATTTTTAAAGTTTGTTTTAATAAGTTATACGAAATGACCGTAGTAAAAATACGGTTCCACAAATCCAGCATAAATACTGTATGCTCTAATATAAGCCCATCCAAACCGTCATTTTTAAGCTCAACTATCTCGATTTCTCTAACCGATACCTAAAATGTGTCAACTGATGAATGATTTAAATTTTAAAATGTGTCAACTGATGAATGATTCTATTTTTGTAGTAAAAAACTTTTTTCTAGTGTTTCCTTTTGATGCGAAGCTAAAGCGGTAGAATCCAATATTTTCCCCCCACCCATCCCAACTATTTTCCCCCACGGGAAGACTAGAAGTTTGAGATTACCTAAGAACCAACAATGGCCCCCTAAATCAACTGGTGGGGGGTAATCATTAGATTTTAACATTTAACTGTCATTTACCCATCAACGCCTACATCACTTTATTCACACACTCTTTCTCGTGGGATTTGCGTCAACTGAAAATTGTTTTTAGAGAGCTTATGGGAAATTTTCGTTTTCCATTGAATCTTTGTACTTTTTCCACCTTCTTTTGGACTCTTTTTCATTTTCTGATCAATGACATCGTCATCGATTCTGTGATGACTTTTTTCACCTGCTCTTCCGCCCACGTATCTTACAACGTTGTCACCCATATCGTGATTTTCCTTTTTTTGTTTTCAGAATGAACGGAAACTTTGGGCAGTACATCAACAACTGCGATAACTTAGATGAGCAAATCAGTGTCACCGATTTCATCAAGACTCTCAAGAAAGTGGGTTTCTACAGCTCTGATTTCATTTATGAACTCAATAATATCCTAACTAGCTACTCGGAATTCTGGTCTTCCAGGTAGAGTCATCGGACACTCTGAATGGTCGTGACAGTACCTCATCGAGTTCATCAACTGATAAGCTGGCCAAGTTGCCAGAAGACGGGCGTAAGGTTGACAAGAAAGGAAGTGCCAATGATTTGCTTCAAAACATGAGAAAGCGATTCGTCCATCGGGCCACCGAACCGATCTTCCACGCCTTGCCAGAGGCGCAGGTAAGCAGGTGTGTGCTTTCCGCTGATTGGTGTTGTGAAGCTTCTATACATTTGCATGAGTCAGCTTGCAATTATTGTGTCATTCGAACTTACCTCCCTCTCTAAAAGAAGGCCATCCTATACTTGCACTTTGAGCTCAATCATCTCTATTTTTATTTTGTTTTGTTGTTAGTCTAGAAAATTTTAAATAAACTTTTTAAAAGCCTAAAATCGTATCGACAGGATTGTAAACTACCTGAAAACGAAATCATCAGTTGGTCCGCTTTTAATCCGTTTTTGGTCCGTTTCAACTAAATTTAAGTGAAAGTGTCAAAAAATAGTTACAACTTGAAAATCAGAAAACTAAAAAATTGCTTAATATCACATTGATTAGTATAAAATTTCTACTACCGTTAAACCTTAATAGAAGTCCCCCTTCCTACTGTCAAGTTTGAGCTTTTTTTGACTCCTACGCAAGATATCAAAAATGTGTCAACTGTTAAAATGTTGGGGATATTATGATAAGAATTTTATCAGTTGACAGATTCTCGATATCTCACATAGGAACCGAGATAATTGAGCTCAAAGGGCCTTCGGTGTATTAGAGTGTTTAAGGTAATTTTGAAATCATGAAATGTAGTCCAGGTTCATAGTCAGTCTTCCTTGTATGAGTGCATGCCCATCTTCCCATACGAAATCACAAAATTATAACTTCCAGGAGCGACGGGTCGTCAGCGGACGGGACGGTTCCTCCTCCTCTTCCAAGAACTTCGGCCTCAGCCGGGAGCCGAAAAGCGTCGAAGGAGGATGCGACGACATCGTAAAGCTTCCAAGCTTCGACACTTCCCTCGACAGGAAAACTGACTCTGAACCGACGTTATCCAAATCGCGCAACAAATATAATGTTTCATGAATTGTACATTTTACTCTACCATTTATCTTTCTTCCCGATAAATCATCCATCTCCCCCCGTTCGCCTAACAATATATAATTTTCAAACTGGTCATTTGCTAAGAAATAAGAATATCTTTATTAAAATGCATGTGATCTTGAATATCTGGAAATATACTACTTTTTCCTTTGGTCTCCTCTCTATTTTTCTCTCTATTTTTCATCTGCTTTCCTTCTCTCCTTGATCTTCATAAATATATTTTGGGTTTTGATTTGTTCTTCGCCTTCGTTTTGCATTTGCACGCATCTGCCATTCAGTGTTTTTTTTTCATTTTCTTGCAGTGGTCGGTCTCTGTTGTTGAGAAAAGAAGAAGAAAATGAGAAATGAGAGAGGGACGAAGTGGACAGGAGGAAGATGAAGATAGAAACCAGTTCGTGGCCGGTACTCTCTTCGCACCGGACGACGATTCTAGCGCGTACATGATGCAGAGAATTTTTCGAAGATGTCATCTTTTCGCTGAAGTTTGAAATGGAATCTTCTACTCGACCGGAAGGGTTCTGTTCTCTTGTTTCGAGATGCTTCTGTTGTGTTTTTTTTTCGTTTGGCATCAGAAGTGTTTACACACTGAGAATGCAGCTAAACGAGTGGTTTTAGAATGCATGCTAATCGCCTTTGCACCACATCACGAACCGGATTTTCAGCAGAAAAAGAGAAATTCTGTTTCTGCAAATTCTGCTTGAAATGATACAGTGGATTTTCTGCTACTAATTTAAAAAAACTTGTTAGATTTCGATATTTTTTTCATCAAGACCAGTAAAAAATCATCGAAGAATCTTCTGAATTCGGAATCCAGAAGACGTGTTGCACCAAAACTTGGTGGATTTCCTGCGTCCCCACTCTCTATCCCATGCAAATAGAGCGCGACTTCCTACTCGACGCTGTGTACTCCTCGTGGACAACCTAACCAACTTTTTTTTTCGATTTTTTATCCGACGCACTTCCAATTTTTCTATCTCTCTCTATCCCTTTTCTCATGAAACAGACGCTGAGCTATAACTTGCAATAAACATTTGACACCACACAGACCCAGCCGACTGCATTTTTGAACTTGCTCTCTGTCTCCAATCACTAAACTTTGATAAATATTTGCTTGTCAGTGACATTTCAGTCTGAAAACATGATTTACTAAAGTATAGACATGCTAAAAATACAAAACGCAGTGTGTCTACGGAAGTTAAGTGTTTTTTGTACCTATTTATTCCTCTTTCACATGTCTGGGGCTGTCTGAATGTAGGTTAAATGAAAAAACACAAATATTTAATATCAGACCACAAGACATTGTTATCAGTATTTAGTCATAAACTCCAACTTCTCAAAAAAAAGAATTTCTCGCGAAGAATACCCCCTTTGTTTCGTTTGTATTAGAAAGTATATAGTTGACCGGCATTTCTTCCTTCTCCAACGAATTATTTTTGAAGACGTTTCTTTGTTTTTTTCTCGATAAGTAAGAACTTTGAAATCAAAAAATTCTTTGCATTTGATTTTTGCACTCATTAGTACGGTCACAGTTGTGTCAAGGGTACACAAAAATCACCTCCTATTCACATGTTTCCCACTTATAATGGCTAAAACGAAGGTCACATGAAACAGTTTTGGATTTATAACTTTACACACTACAGACTACAAACTTCACATTGACAGAAAATTATCATTGATTCTCCCGTCCTCCATTTTCAAACAATCACTTTGTCATTTTGGGGTCAATCTCCTTCCACTTGTCCCCCATTCGCTCTTTATTTGCTCTTTTCTCGAGCTGTTTATTTGATTGACAAACGGTTTTTTTACAGACTTCCCCTCCCGCTGCTCCCGATTTCACCACCAACTCTTTTCTCGTCACATCGATAAATTGTGAAATGTGAAAAAAGAGAACTCCTCCTTTCGAGACGAAACTTCATTCCATTCCTCCCCTATCCCTAAATCGATAATCTGTGATTCTTGAAGTCGGGTTAACGCTTCTTCTTCTTTTTTTTTGTCTCGTTATTCTGTTATTCACACCACACATTCACAATCAACGTCATGCTATTCTCCTTCCTTTTCATCTCCTTTTTCTCACTTTTGTCCGTCGTAATGACGAAAACTCAATACTGGTGTCATGGAGACGGAATTCTGAACAATGTGAGTACATTTTTTATGTGAACGAAGCTAAGGAAAATAATTGAAAATCTAAAAATAGAAGAAAAATAGAAGATAGAAAAATGTCATTGACCCACTCAGTGTGCAAGAGCGAGACAGCTTTACACTTTTTCTTGACCCATCGAAAGAGAAAAATGAAAAAGAAAAATGATCTTCAGCAACACACATGTCGATTCTTCACAATAGTCATAGATGCGGGATCAACGGGCACCCGGTTACACCTTTACAAGTTCATTCATGACCCGGCGACAGCGGCCCACGGAATGCCTTTCAAAGTGGAAAAGGAGATTTTTCAAGAGGTATTCATTCACCAATCTAGTCCCAGTTTTTATTAAACAGTTTGTAGGTGAAACCAGGTCTTTCATCATTCGCGAAATCTCCAATCGGAGCCGCTGACTCATTGGAGCCTCTTCTTCAGAGAGCACGGAAAGAAGTTCCTCATTTCATGTGGGAAAAGACTCCGATCACATTAAAAGCAACCGCTGGTCTCCGTCTTCTTCCTGGTGATATGGCGGATGATATTCTGGAAAAAGTGGAAGAACGAATCTTCAACAGTGGATTCTTCGCTGCTTTCCCGGATGCCGTTAATGTTATGCCGGGAAGCGATGAGGGTGTGTACAGCTGGTTTACACTCAATATTCTGCTCGAGACTCTATTCACCGGTGAGTTCTTTTTTCATTTTGTTTGCTTTTGGGGTGGCATCCTTTAACACTATGTTTCGAGTCGAATTTAAAAAAGAGCACGTAAGCCAGACAATGATAGATGGTTGTTTGAAACAATTTGGCTTTCGTTCTGCAAATACATTTGATTCTCGAACACGAATCAGAAACATGAGAAATCATAGAAATTGATAAGAGTTACAAGAAAGACGTCAATCATCGCCAGTGCTGTTAAGAAGTTACAAACATCTAAGTGTACAGTACCGGTCAATGATTTTCGGCCGGCAATTTTCTGGAATCTGAGGCTCTGCTGTCAAGTTTCCATCAGTTTGAAAATGCTAAAGGATGTAAAACAGACCTAGATTGGTAACTTTGCATTCATAGAACTGTCTGAAAATTCAAATTTCTAGTTTTTCAGCTATTTGCCGATTCTGAAAGA